CCAGAAAATAATAATTAATATAAAGTAAAGTAATATAAAAAATGTGATCGTATTTTCAGAACGAAATTTTGTTTTATTTTTGAGTTATGCGATTTTTTTTGTCAAAATTGCAATTTATGTGAAAAAAATTTTCTGAAAAAATTAAATACAAAGCAGATAGCTGTAATCCTTAGAGTATAGCTTTTATGAGAAAAATGATTTTATAGTGGGTTGCCATTTAAAAAAATAATTTTTCTTGTAGAACTCAAAAACAAACGGAAATTTCGAAAAATTTTATTCTTGTTAAATCATCACATTTTTATAGTACTTTATCACTCATCAATTAGTTTTTTCAAAAAATAAATAGTTTAAGGAAAAAACGTTTGGTTCCATACTTTTTATTCACCTGGTACGTATTATAAAATTTGGAACAGTTACTTGCAAAAACATACCTTTTGAACTGCTGATGAAAACTGGAATCATTTACGCCAGTTATTATTTAAATTAACATCATTTTGTGGGTCAATTTTGAGATTCAGAATTGTTTCATATTTATAAATGATCTTATATTCAAAAACCAATCAAAAACTTTAACATATTGAGTGTGTTTGTAACAACAATCGATACAACTAAGCTTTATTAAAACTGATATAGTATTTTTTTAATTATATTAAATCAAAAAATGTGAAATAAATCACAAACATTACAATAAATAAGTATAAAAAATGGAGAGGTGAACTATGTGAGTAACTGGTTGTATACTCACATCGGTTTGTACCCAAGAACAATCAAAAGCGCGTCGAGAAACACCGCTGGTACCAATTGGAACAAGAAAAATTCGACATTGTGGTGCCATCTCCATTTCTTCATCGAACCTCCCGGATACCACAGAACTCCATTCAAAGGTATTTTATTCGAAACAACGTCTCGTCCAATTTTTATAATTTCATCAAAGGACACTTTATACTCAGCCGAACTCGTCAAATTGAAAATTCTTTTACTGGAAAAAATGTCGATTAGAAATTTTCTAAACCGGTCCTGCATTATCATGACTAACTTGGATTGCAAATAGATGAAAGTCGTACAAATCAAACAGTTGGCGACAATATCAACAGGGATGTAATCGGCGTAACTTTCCCCTTTGCAATACATGGTCCGTATCACACCTTTTCCGGCACCGATTAGGAGACCCATTGGCCCGTTGATGTTGTCGGTCCAGCCAGGGAGGGGCTCCTTCCAAATTGGAATAACTAAAATTTAACAATTTTTATACAGAGTGGTTATAAATGATTTACATCTAGCCAGCTTTGGAATTTTTTTATTTGTGCCGCTCTACTTTTTTGAAAGATCTAGTTCTGTCATTAGTGTCACTTATTAATTAATAATAAATTGTTGTTAATTAAACTTTTATTGTTTCAACTAATTTCGAATAATAACTGATAATGATGTATACTTTGGAAGAAAACAAGTTTATAATTGAAGTCTATTTTCGAAGTGGACGATTTTTTAATTTTGAGTTAAAACAAGTAGGTACCTCTATTTTCGTAAAGCGGCATTTTTATTTTACATGGAAAATTCACTGCTGGCTAGATGAAAATCATTTATAACCACTCTGTATTTATATCAAGAAAATGACAATTTGACAACTTACTGACTGATGGTCGAAGGATTATCGTGGGAAGATTGTCCATTTCATCATTAACAAGACTCTCGCCTAGGGCTTTAGTAAAAGCATAAGTGTTAGGAATGTCACCTAGAATTCTGAAAAAAATGTCAATTACAGGAAGGAAAAATTGTCAAAAACTAACTTATCTGTGATTGTATCTAACACTTCTTCGTCCAACCATTCGCAAGCTTTAATCACGTGATGTGGACTGCTGGGAGGAGGGTAAGCTTTTTCGTACAAGACACGTTCATGGAGATGGCAGTAGGCGGTGCTCAAGTGGGCAAAAACCTGTCAAAAATGCCACTTTTAAAAAAATAAACTTTAAAGTGTGACTCCTTTTTTCACACCATTTAGGCGACTTACAATCAAATTTTTGCATTCCTTTGCCAATTCAAGCATGAGTTTGGTTCCTCTCGTATTAAGAAACACTGCTTTGCGTAGCGATTCATCAAATCTAATTGTAGCAGCACAATGATATATCATTTCCACTTCCTCAGTTATTTTTTTTCGATCAAAGTTCGACAAAGCCAAATCCGGTGCTTCCATATTTGCTGAAATAGCCTCAACTTTCTTCAAAATTTCTTCACCTCTTTGTTTCTTCAACAACTGGAACAACTATCACCAAAATCAATTTCTTTGCTTTATGTTTTTTTTTTAACTCACTGGTCCATTAAACATTTCTTTGATTCTCTCGTTGGGTTCCTTGTCTTTTTTTGTACGAATAAAAAGGTAAATTTTTTTGATACCGGGACATGATCGAAGCAATTTCTCGAGGAAAACTTTTCCAACGAAACCGGTACCGCCTGTGATTAGAAGTGTTCGATCTAGGAAGATTTGGGCCACGCGATCAGGGTAATCGGCAAGGTTCTTAGGGTCCATTGATCTGCTTGAATGGGTTAAAAATATTTCAATGAGAAATTTAATTGAGAAAATTAAATTAATTAACCTCGATTTTAATTAATTATTATGCTATTAATTGTTATTATTTAATTTTAGGTTTTTTTATCGATTGATTAATTTTTACTTTTTTAATTAAATTTTAAAGTCATGGGAACGACAATTAAAGAAATATACTACAAGAGAGCTTTTTTATAGTTTTCACAAATTTTTATTTTTTTTAAACTTGGGGAAAGATTAATTTTACTTTATATCAGGTGAATCAAAAATATGGAACCAAACGTTTTTCGCTTAAACTAATTATTTCTCGGAAAAACTAATTGATGAAGTGTTATGCGATGTTTTATCAAGAATAAAATTTTTCGAAATTTTCTTTTGTTTTTGAGTTCTAAAAAAAAATTTTTTTACATAAATTGCAATTTTGACAAAAAATCGCATAATTCAAAAACGAAATAAAATTTCGTACTCAAAATACTATCACATTTTTTATATTACTTTAATTTATATAAATTATTATTTTCTGGAGGCAAATGATTAAAAAAAAACGCTTGATTCCATTCTTTATATTCACCCTGTATGTAGGTATGTACCTATTTTGAAAATTCTTTGGTTTTAGTTTTAAATAAGCAGTTTTTAATCTTATGTCAAATTTGACAATTTTTTAAAATTAAATAAGAGCCATGTATAACTAAACTTGCATAATAGTATATTATCTTATTATTCCAGCCGCGCAACATGAAGTCACTTTATTAGCACCGCATAACATACAGGGTGTTTCATTTTTATTGTACCAAATTGTACCAAAGTCGAAAATAAAACGATTTTTGCTTTTTTGAACGTTTTAGCATGTTTTTAAGATAAATACTCAAATTTTGAGTAAGACTTCATCGAGAGAAGAAAAAAAATCACGAAATTAAATCGAAAATTATGTTATTTTTCACTTTCAAGTGTTTAAGAAAGTTCTTCAGCCAGAAATGCAATTATTTTGCAAAATTTTGTCCAAACCAGTCGAAAAGTCGATAAAAATTGTGCTATTTTTGCTTTTTTAAGCTAATAAACTGTTTTTTTCGTTAAAACAGACCAAATCTCACCAAATTAGATCAGAAATGATAATATTTTTGCCGTTTAAATTATTTTTGAACTTTTTTAATATGAAATTTTGTTCAAAAAGGCCCAAAAATTACCAGATTAGATCGAAAATTATGCTGTTTTTGACATTTTCGAGAGAAAAAGAACGTTTTTTCAGCTAAAAATTTTTTTTTGCAAAATTTCGCTAAAATAGGCCACAAAATCACTAAACTAGATTCAAATTACCGTCCTATTTTAGTTTGCTTTACTGGATTTATTTTAGTGACCTAAATAACTACCTACTTTTTTTCACAAGCAAAAAACCACCAAGTTTTAAAACGTTTAACGTGTTATTGAGTTAAAAGATTTTGCAAAATTTTCGCAAAAAATGACCAAATTTGGTCGAAAATAACATTCTTTTTGACTTTTTCAGTTAAAAAAATGCACTTTTCCTTAGCGACATTTTGCTCAAATAAGCCGAGAAATCTTCTAATTAGATACAAAATGGTGTTTTTTGCTTATTTTTGAGTAAAAATCTCAATTGTTTTTGATGCCCAAAATGCCCAAAAATTAATTACGCAAAAAATTGTATTAATTCCATTTATTTTCAAGCGAATAAAAACGTTTTAGAGCCAAAACTGATTTTTTTCACAAAATTTTGCTAAAATACCCAAATTAGGGGTCGAAAAGGAAATTAGTTTTGCCTTTTTCAAGTAAAATTTCACCCAAATGGGCCAAAAAATTAGCAAATTAAGTTGAAAATGGTATATTGTTTGGTATATTTTTAGGATTAAAAGAACTCTAACTATTTTTGCTGAAGTTTCTTGCCACTTTCAGCAACAAAATTTTAAATTCCATAGTTTTTCACAAAAAAGAGTTCTTTTACGTTTTTTTGATACAACCCCATTAAAAACGCACCCCTTTCAGAGGGTGTAGCTCCTTTACAAAACATTTTTTGATACATATTTATAGGACACTTTTGTCTCAAATTGAATATTCTTCTACCTGTTCAAATTTGTAACAATAAAAACGGAACATCCTGTATACTATTTTCTTTTAAACCACGACAAAAACTAATCTAGAATTAATTAAAAATAAAAGTAATTTAAAAAATCGGAATCTTATTTCAGTGGTTATTTTAGTTTGCTCTATAATTACGTTACCTATAAACAATCAGAAAAAACTCGGTGTGTCAGAAAAATGGCTGCATTTTGTAAGTTTTACCAAATATTTTAAAAATCTTTTGCATCAAAACTAATTATTTTCTAGTTTTTTCCATGTCAGACAAAGCGGCCAAAGCAGCAAAAATTATTTATGGTATCTGTAGAAAATTGTCACTTTAATGACGTATGAAAACAAAAATATTAAAAAAAGGAACAAGTAGTGTTATAACTAATTCGCAACTAAGACAAAAATTACAGTTTTGAAACTTTATGAAATGTGTTTGAAGTACAATTTGTAAAAAAGCTTGAATTTTTGACAATTGTTGAAAGGTTACAAAATAATTCAAGAATTAAGCAAATGGTGTTTTTAGGTGAAATTCTGACAATGTTGTTTGAAAAACAAAACTTGCGACAAATAAAATTTTAAATTACATATTTTTTTACCCAAGTAAAATAATTTGAACTTTTTATCTATTTTAACAATTTTTGAATAGAATATTTTGGTACAGTACATTATTCAAGTGCTAATAATAATGATTGCACTAATAAGATAATTTTTTGATAATTATGTTGATTTATATCTTGGTGAAAAGGTGGCAAAAAGTAAATTAATGTTTAAGATTATTCGATTTTAGTTAATATTTCTTGTCAACTTTCAACAATTTCGGAAAAATCAGATTTGTGAGTACCTACCTTGAAAAAAAATCACTCAAAAATTACACTCACTAAAGTCAAAAACTAGTTCGTTTCGCGTTCGCCGTACAAATGAAACAAAAGAAAATGCAATAAGTTAAGCACGCCAACTGCGATCCCCACTTGATTATTTTTCTTTAAGAAAAGTTTCGACAATGGTCGATTAAAGATTTTACTGTTTCAACTTGGATTGATTATCAACGATGCAAAACACCACTTTCTTCAGTCAACTACGATTTCTTGACTCAATAGACGATTATTGAAGCTATTAAAATACCATTTGAAATGCCAAATTCGGCCTCGATGCAAATTTCTATTGTAACAGTCAAATTGTGATTTAAATTTTTGGTAATAAATTATAAAAGTGTGTCTCGATTAACAATTTTTCAATTATAAGTTTGAAATGTCTGCTGCGATTTTTCCAAATACAAAGAGACAATGAAGAGGCGAAAGTATGTTTCGTTACATGAGCATAGGCACTTGTTACATCCCATTATCATGTTAATACCGAACTCGAGTAACGATTGGAAAATAAAGTGTGTCACACAAATATGGTTGAAGATTCGTCGAAACGACACGTAATTCCTATTTACCCAAAGTGAAATTTGGCCTCAAAATCATTCAAACTCTATGACAAACAATGAAGCAATTACAAATTTTTGACGCCTTATTACGAGAAAAATAAATAAAACTGAATTAGAAATTTTTATATCTTGTGCGTTTTTAAGGGAAAATTTTTGTTTGCTCAACACACTATTTTTCAAATACCACCCATTGATTGAAGTTTGATTGGGCATTTAATATAAACGCTGCCCACAATCCAGAACCATATTGAAAATTAAGATTTTTTTTTTCTACACCAAATTTTAAAATATTTTTTAGTTGGAAGATTTGAAAAAGTCGAAGAAGACAAGAAAAAGAAACAGTAACTAAAAATAAAGAGAATAATAACTGAATTTTAAAGATGTTTAATTATTACTGGTATTTTTAATTTAAAATTTGTGTTACGTACAATTGTATAGGTAGTTTTTGTTTTTAAACAATTTGTGCTATTTTTTGCCATAGCCAAGCCACTTGATTGTGACAATTTCTGAGCTATCTTCGATAACAGTTGTTTGAAGCAATTTAAGCACGATAATTGTACAATTCATTATGCAGGAAACGTTTTACTTATTTTAATGGATTTTGAAGCGGCAATTATCTTTATAACAGCGTAATTGCAAAACTTTGTCACACAGCAATAAACATTCATTGTTTGTAGATTAGAAAAAAAAATCCAACATTTCTACAAGCCATAAGTTTGATAATTTACAATTAAATGAAACTTTCGTTTCATTTGCGACCTTTAGCCTTTTGTAAAACACGAGATAAACTAAATTCTTTATTGTATATTTAGTTGCATACATCACAAATTGAAAAAATTCCAAAAACTAGTGGGTTTAATTAAAGCTTTTATATTTTCCTGTTGTTCAAACCATGTAGTTGATTTTTCCAATTCCCTTATCCATGATTGTTTCAATTCTGTTAGTTTACCTCCACCGCCACCATATTCTTCCGGTAAAATATCCCTAGGGACATAGTCGTACAAACTCTCAACGTTTCGATGCACATAAATGCAATTCCTCAGAGTTTCATTCAAAAATGGCTTAATCGTATTTATTGCAAAATCAATAAACGAGTTGGCGTTGACAATGTGCACTTGTTTAATTACTACCGGATAGGCTTCCTGTATACAAATAAAAACCTTCCGGAACAAAAATGGCGACACTTTGAGAAAATGGCCGAACCAGGGAAATCCCGCGTCTAAAATATACACATCGTAAGGCACTCCTAATTCTTCCATGTCGAGACGAAGATCGCCGATCATAAAAACCAATTTGAAGAATTCTGAAGGTGTTGGGGTGTCAAAATGTTGACGGGCGGCTTTGGCGATTGTTACGCGACTAAAATCAGGAGTGAGATGAGGGAGGACGGCAGCATCTCTAAAAAAACACGTTAATTGGGGGAATTACATAATTTTGGACATTTACAAAACTTCGAGGACTTCTCGGATTCCGGTATTTGCAACGTTGCGATTGGAGAAGAGTTCAGGCATTGTGGCACGCACTGTAAAGTACATTTCGAGTTTTTTCTTACAAGTGGGAAGACAGAAGCGGCAACCACGCAAAAATGTGAGAAGACGGTTATCGTCTGAAAAACAGATGTACATATTCGTGTTTTTTTTTACTATACAGGGTGTTCCGGCTAAACCCCACATTGGAAATATTGGGAGTTCTAACAATAATATTTATCTAAAATTTTGTTTATATCCATAATCGGTCAGGTTCTACTCAATGAAAATATTTTCAAGATGGCGGCACTTCCTAGTACACCGGAAGTGGATATCAACTTCGTTATTTTAAATAGAAAGTTGTGTTTTTTATTGCGTTTTTGGATTACTCAAGTGATTTTGAGAGAATTTTTATTAGCCTTCCCTATGCCTAAGTTTAACCGTTTTCGAGATATTTAGACCTTTTTAAATTTTTTTGGATTTGAATCTTCCTATTTAAAAATTGATAACTCTACAATTTTTAATTATTTTGAGATCGTATTTGGGCATATGAAAGAGAAAGGTTAGGTCTTTCCTTTGGTGTATTCATAATTGGAAAAATAATTAACAAACCGCCAAAATGTAAGGTTACGTTTAGGAAACTTCAAATACCCTTAACTCATTTTTAATATTTTTTAAAGCTATATTTTTTTTAAATTTAAATTGAATTTATAATATAATTAGATTGTTATTCGATTACTTTTTATACTTAAAAGTATGTAGTAAATTGGTTTGTTAAGGAAGTTTTTTGTCATTTTTCCAACATATTTTGAAATTAACCAAACTTGGTAGGTAACTAATTTAAAACATAATAATAAATTGAATTAAAATTCAATGAAAAACCACGAGACAACAATTTTAACAATTAGTTTGTTTTTTTCCTCAAAGACAAATACAACGTAAAAACCAGTTTTTATATTTGATAATAAAAAGAGAGAGAGAGAGAGAAAAGATATAGGAAGTAGAAAATATGTATATATTTAAGATAATCATGTTGTGCTTGTAAAATAAATAAAAACGTTTGTTAAACGTTTGAAATTTCGATAATGGTTCAGAAAGAACAAAATAAATAATAAATGGCCAGACACACATTATAGATTGTATTATTGGTTGCCTATACAATTGCTATTACCCCAAGAATCTGGAAGATGAGGTTGTTCCCTCAGCCACTCTTTAATTTCCTCCAAGTGTTTCTCAACATTTTCATCTTCTTTTAAAATTTTTTTCGTATGAATTCTTTGTTCCGGTGTTGGTTGACGTAGCAACATCTCTCACACTCACTTTCAAAACCACTCGCGCGACATTGAAACCCAAACTACGGACTCCAAAACAAGTTTTCAATCATTTATTCAAATTGTGGCAAGGTCTCCGACTTGTTTTTATATCTTTGCACATTTGAAATTTCCTAATTTTGATCGATATCCCTATAGCAACCTTATGATAGCAACAAAGTTGTGTCAAAATGCCCGAAATGGGGGCTGATATGTATTGTTCTCAACAAATCTGTATTCCACCGACTTTTCCCTACCTTTTGCGGCAGTTTGCTAAAGCCGCGATAAGGACACAACCCAACGATCTTTTGAAGTGAGTTTGTACCATTTCTAAATCAATAACATCACTAAGTCGCCTTTTAGATGGTCTACAACGTACTTTCGGTGCTTGTCTTTAAATATTCCGCCACCGGTGAAACCTCGACTTGAGTACCCCATCCCACGGGATCACCATGGTCTTACTCCAGGCTGGCTTCGCGCCCTTTTATACCAAATGGTCGGTCATCAAACCGTCACGTTTAAAACCTTATGGGATAGATGGATCGGGGCTTGTCTTCAACACCCCAACCTGATCCAAATTTTAGTCTTGGGGGGCTTCGATGACAATCAAGCCGTCCCTTGGTTGCGTTTCCTTGCTCTTTGTGCGGCACATCTCACCGATAATCTCACTCAAACAATGATTCTCATTTGTGAAATATTGACAGAAGAACCAGAAGGGGGCTCTGCGATGATTCCTCTTACGATTTTTCTTGATTTGTACAACTTTCTAGCCCGAATTGATGCCTCGTTGCCTCAAACATTAAAAAATTACTTCTTTTTGGATAAGTTTCTTGAATTGTTTCGCGAAAAAATTGCGAAAGATTCCGGAGAAAAACCGCAAGAAGAAGAACAAGAAACGGATTTAATGAGCGAAATTATGTCAGAAATGACCGAAAAAAGTGAAAAAGAAACGAAGAGAGATGATGAGGGGTCGGTTGTTTCATGTCCGAGTGTTACAAGTCAAGATCCGGATAATTACATGAAATTATTGATGAAAATTCGGGCTGAAGGTGAATTTGAAGAAGCGGAAGAAGTTAAAGAAGAAAAAAGCGATACTGAAGTCAAAGAAAGTGCAGTGGAAGAACCGGAAGAACGGAAAGAATCAATGGTTTCGGAGAAGAAATTTTCAGAACAGTTGGCCGAGGATGAGAAAAGTCCACAATTTCCCGTCGAAGACGACCTTGTTTCGAAGAGTACGAGAATGTCATCAGAACCGAATGAATCTTTGAAGAAAGATGAGGAAGATTTGAAGCAAGACAAATATCTTATGGAAGATTTGGAAAGACTTCGGGTAATTCCTTCTCTTATTTAGGGGTTTTCCCCGAATTAATTGGTTTTTTAGTCGTTACAAGAAGCGATGATGGGTGAAAGCGATGACGAAGTTGAGAAATTTAAAGCAAGCATTTTAGCAGAAGCAGGCCTCACCGAGTCTCAAATGGCTGCTCCTCAACATTTTGAAACACGAATAGACAGCGAAATATTCACTAACGAGTCACTTAAAAGCGACGAAACGTCGACAAGTGAACCTTCCGAAAAGGAAAAACCACCAGAGGTGAAAATCTAAGACGCAAGAGTGTTTTTTTTTTCATTATTTTGATTTCAGGTTGAATATGAAGATGTGTTTGTGGACGCTGTACCCGGAATTGGCCCCAGAGTCCCAGAAAATTTAATTGCGGCGGTTTGTAATTACATGAAAGAGGTGGCAAAATGGCAACATGATATGGTCATGCCGAGGAATATACGACATTTTGATTGTCCGCCCTTGGAAATTAGAAATGAATAGGGGGGTTTTCGGAACAGGGCTGACAATTTCAAAAAAAATTAAATCTTAATATGCTAAATAAAACGCTTTATTTTTTTTCTGTTTCAATGTCACAATTTTGGGTAACTTCATAAACGTACCGAAGTTTACCGAGTTACTCCCTCGGCATGCACCCGACAGTAGATAGAATACAGTTTCCTGCATTCCAACCAAAGGAAAATATTTTCTTTAGAGATTTATTCTTTATTAGTTTATTAAGACACGTTTTTAATAAATAAAATAATACTCCATATTTGAATAAGACGTGTTTTCTTATTTTGAACAAAATTATAGTTTCCTTTAATGTCAAATGTCAATTTTAGTGTTTGTGTTACCAGTGATGCCAGATTAAGGAATTTTTCCCTAGTTCTAGGGATTTTTCTAACAAAAAGGGAAAAAAGGATTTTTTAATTTTTCTTAATAATCTAGAGATTTTTTATATTTTCATTGAAAATCTCAATTTTGTTCACTCTGCTGGCACAGTTTCAAAAATTACAAAAAATTTTAATATGATTATTGTAACTTTGCCAAGTTAGCGAATTTGTATATGAGTTTAGCACATAGTAACGCGGAAACCAAAATGTATTTTCTGTAGTTACATGTGTAAAGATAAAAAAAAAAACAAGGTAGGAAGTGCACTAAAAGCCGTTTGCGTTTTTCGCGTTGCCAAGTTTACTAATTATTGCAGTTCATTTAATGTTTTAGACGAATACTTAAAATTAATGAAATCCCATAATTTATAAGTATAAATAAAAATTAAGTAGGTATCTAAATATACACGTTTATTTGAATTTGTTTTAATTGACTTGTATTTTATTTTTTTATTTCTTTAGTAAAATTCATTTTAATTTATTGTTATATTATTTATTGATTTTTTGTTGTTTGGAATTAACACAATTCTATGTTGTATTTATATTATATTACCTCAACAAAATAGGCCTATGAAATAGTAGATTTTTAATTTTTTAAGTAGTTTAGGGAATTTAGAAGCTACAATCTAGGGACAAGCGCTTAATCTCATCTGGCATCACTGTGTGTTACGGGTTTTAGGCGTCAACAAACAAATTCATTGAAAATTGATCAAAATTCGTCTCAATGACCGTTTTGGTCAACATTACATGCTTTATTCTTGTTAAGATTTGTGATGAACAATTCTAAGCGCCAGATGATGCAGAAAAGTTCTCTTCGTGGGGGCAAAGCGAAAGAGGCCCCTTCGTCCTCTCGGCACGATTCCACCACTCTAGAAACCGCAAACTTTATAACTGCTGTACCCTTAATCCGTCAATCTGATAACACAAAGCTTCTGCCTCGCTATTCATCCAGTAATCAATCCTAACCTCAATTTTAATAATTCACTAATTTTACTTACTAGTTTTGGGGCGCACGGAAGACGATGGAGTTAACATGGATGACTTAGATCAACTTCAACTCGACCTTGAGAAGTTAATATCGACGTGTGCGGTTCGAAACCGATTTTTGAGGGGTGAAATTGAGTCTATTGATCGAGTTGAGGAAAAAAGGGACAAGAAGGGCAAGTCTTATGATAAAGGAGGGTTTAAACGGAAAAGGCCCGATGATAAAGTGAAATATCGGGATTTGAAAAATGGTGCGCGTCCCCTGAAACGGCATTATCCACTTCCAGTAAACAGTATTATAGGGGATGTGCCCCTGAGACATGAAATGCCCAAAATTAATTTACCGAAAAATGATACTTCGGACAAGTTTTGGGCCACGGTGGAGCCCTACTGTGCTCCCGTTACGAATTCACACGCTACGGTTCATTGATTTATCGTATTTTTTCCAATTTTTCTTAACAAAAATCTTTTTTAGTTCCTAGACAAATTGATAGAGGAATGTTCGCAAGAAATTGATGTAAAAATCCCCGAATTGGGTGAATATTACGCCAACGAATGGTCCGACAATGCGACAGGAGTTGAGCAAGAATTAGGCCTCACCACGAAAACCGTCGGACTTGACTTAAAAAAGAACGGTTTGAGTGCGTAAGTATTGTGTGTGTGCAATATTTAAAAAAAAAAAATTGAAAATCAACTCAATAGAATGGTTGACACATTTTCAAATCCAAAAACTCAACGCTTATTGGCCGCCCTTATCGAGGAGAAAGTGATGACATCATTTCCAGGCGTGACTGGAAAACTTAAACGTAATAAAGTTAACAAATCCAACTTGAAACTTACTTAAATTTTTTTAAAGCGTCTGATTTGAATATAATCAAGTCGACTGGTGGTCCACGTGCTGCCATTTGTATGGATCGTCGCCTCAAAAAGGATTTAGTCGAACAAGGATTATTAAGTGTTGAAGATTTGTCAAAAACAATACCTGATGATGAGATTTTACAAGAAATTAAAAAGTGTCAACAAGAATTGACAGCTGTTAATGAGTATAATGTGGAGGAATTGAAACGATTGAAATGTATAGTTGTCAAAGATTTAAAACGGCAAGAAATCAAAGCGGCTATGGATGCAGTTGACGGCGAGGTTTGTCGTTTGTTTATCTCGATTTATCATCATTGTAAAATTTCAGGTTTTGGAGGTTTATAATAAAGTACTTATGACCAAACAGAAGCAAATTCAACAAGCCAAGGATGAGGATTTTGATAAAGCGGCGTTTACAAAAAGCTTGAAAGAATTCGAGGCTAAAACACAAGCCCTTTTGGAGACTCAATTTAAGCTTCAAAAGGCTATGTCGGCATTGCACGATTAAAAAACCAATTTAAGTTTTATATAATTTTTTTTTGACACATTAATTTACAAATTAGTCTGATATTTGGTGTTTAGAGTTGTGTTTCTTTTCTCGATTGTGCTGTGCACAACCTTTGTCTAATTAACACTCCTAATTAAATAATTAAAAAACACCGACAAATTAATTTGTACTGGGAGAGGTTAGATATTCATCAAAAAATGCTTTTCGTTTCATTTGGTTGGTAAAAAATCACTCTTTTGAATATTCAAATTGGCACCAATGGTATGAAACGAATGAGTCAATAGTGCCAACCTGACAATCACAATTGTGCGATGAGATGAACTTAACCTAAAGAACAAAAAAATATATATTGCTAAAACATGAATACTACCAACGGCTAAAATCGATTTTTCCCTAAATATTTATATAAAAAAAAAACAATCGTAAAATCAATTTCGTAATAAATATGACGCAACAGAACAACAACAAAAAATATGTACACAGAATTCGCTTAGATCTAGAAATTATCACATTTACATTCTATACAAATGATTATCATGGATTTTATGTGTCCTGAAGAAGTACGTTGACGCTCGAAACGTCACTAACCTAGCCGACGACAAGAAATAGTGGAAATGTCGCTCAAAATTTTGATTTTGTTTTACATTGTATCAACAAAGAGATTCAATACGCGATGTATCAATTCGTATTGTTCGGCTGTTTGTACCATTCCGCCTCGATTCAATCTCAACGAGCACAAAATGGCCAAAACATCAACATTGAGATTAGTTTTCAACTGTTGAATACCGTTCAAGATTGCAAGAAAACAACCAGTTCGACCAATCCCAGCGCTACAATGAACAACAATAGGCGGAACTTTCGGTCCGCTGTCACTTGATCGTCGGCGTTCGCGTCGTGTCGGTTTTAATTTCGGTTTTTCGGTTTTAACCGACATTTCGTTTTTCTTATTGTCATTGAGCAAATGCAAAGCCATCTTGAGAAGTTGCTCCGGATTGGCCATTTTATGATCCTGCCAATTGGGGAACCAATAATGGCAAATCAAACGTGATTCGTTTTTGTCACGGTATGTAATTTCAAGATGGCGAATGACACATTCATCAAGATTCTCTTCTTTGATGTATTTGATAGTGTAGGAGCCATAGTCGACTTGATTTAATTCCTCGAATTTAAATATTTCTTCTTCGGTTTGTTGATTGGTATGGTCAAAGGTGAATTTATCGCGTTCGCGTGTCGTTTTAACATAATAAAAGGATTTGGCCGCTGATTGGTCCTTCTTGCCCAATGGAAAGTACAATTCGCATTTGCTCCGCCCCTTTTCGATCAAACCGGTCAACATTACGATGCGAACGCACTAATCAAAGATCGAGAAATTGAGTCACGTGATCAAAAATAGTAGGAGTTATACTTACATTAGTGTGCCATACCATATCCCAGAAATCTTGACAGGTGTGTGTCATCGGACCTTGAGTTGCGATGTAAGCTGTTTCGGTGTAATCCGGACCCTGGAAAAAAACGATTTTACACGAATTTGAACGAATCTAATCGATTACCTTGATATAGTTGGCGTGAATATAACTTTGAGGTCCGGGTAAATGAACCCGACTATGTTCATTGGGTAATACGCCCTTGTACCGATTACGACTCTGACTACCAGACACGTAGCACTTTTCTTGTAAATTCAGAGGCACTTCCCAAAATTCCGAGTGCAGTTTTGGTACTCGTGACACCTGTAAAAATAACACAAAATAACACATTTAAGTAATACAAAATGGGGTTTTATACCTCACACGCCATCTTCAGGTCACTAATGGAAAGTACACTCCCGGCAGTTTGCAAATACTGGACGTTTTCAAGATGCATTTTGAAATCTTCAGAAAGGAGTTGTGACGAGTCCAAATCGGGTTGTCTTGGATAGTAGGCTTTTCTATAACCTTTGCAATGCTTGGTGGTACAGTCTTTGTAAGCCCCCTTTTGACAGAAACCACAAGGGGGCACATAGAGATTCTCGTTTGAGAGCGATTTCCGTCGACATTTAATCAAAGAACAATTACAACGCTTAACAATAGCCCCACATTTGTTCGTTTTGCAACCATTGGCTTTGCTAGGAACTGATTCGTATATTATGCAATTTCCACAGGCCTCCTGCGATTTGCGTCTTTCCGATTTGATGATTGCGCAAGCGCACTTGTCTCCAAACGTCGAAAGATTCAAATTTGAGACGCTTTTGGCCGAATTGAGTCTCGTGAAAGATGTCTTTTCCGAAATGCTCGAGTTTGAACCCAAATCGATGGTGAGACTCGCATTGGAGCCTCGGCGTTCCAATAGTCCTTTTGTCTTCACTCTGACCGGTTCAGTTCTACTATCAGAAAAATCTTGCAATGTCATGATTTCCGGAAGTGTCTTCAAAGTCTGCGACCCTGAAATACTATTATTCGATGCGAATTTTTTCAAATTTGAGCTGAAATTCGGCGTTAGAGATGTCTTATGGTTCCCATCATCGAATTCACAAGAGAGCTTGTGTTTGACTTGTCTTTTGGGGGTATTGGGCATGGAGAATACATCCCGAGATACGTCGAGACTCGTTGATTGTTTCGGGGGATCCGAATCAAGACTCACAGCTTTGAGTTTCCGGGATAAAGTGGGGGTTTTCGGGGATTGGATTTCGAGACTCGGTTGAGGTGACACCCCTGTTGGGGTTAGTTCCAAAGTTGGGAAATTACGTTCTTTTTTCACTTGATTCGAAGCTTCGTCCATTTTTCACCTGAAAAAAAAAATTAATAAATTTAAATTTTTTTAAGGTTATGTTAATACCAACCACCGATTATAAAAATCCCCAAAACCGTTTTTTTTTCACAAAAAATAAATAATTGGGAATTATTGGTGGAATTGGGTCAGTGAAACCCACCCCTTTGAATCGATTTTAATATTTTTAATGACTCACATTGAAGTTCCCGGTAGTTAAATTAACACTTGTTTATATTGGAGTTTTCTCTTTTGGTTAGAAATAGGGGAGTCATATCAATTGTTGGTTGTTTTTACGTTGTTACAGTCATGGTACACTTGATTTTTGTCACGTTTAAATAGGGAAAAAATTGAAATTCTTTCGAAACATTTTTAAAACACGACTAGGGCAAGACTCGTCGGCCATTATTGCAAAGATCGTAAACAGCTGTGTGTAGGTCAAACTAATACAAAGCTCGGACCTAAAATCACAAAATTCTGACATTTAACAATGTATTGAAATGAGTTGTGTGAATTTCGAGCCGGCTGTGAACGATCGATTCAGCTGTTTTGTGAATGAAATCGAAAGAGCGACATCTGTGACCATCGACAAATACAAAACAAGTAGAGACCTAATTCGTTAATTTTAACCCTCATTTTCTTCGAATTTGTATCAATTATAATTCAAATAATTTTATTGCAATAGATTGTCTTTGTTCCTCGCAAAATAATAATAAAATAAGAATCAACTGGTTTACTTTATTTGTATCATCTTTACGATTCGACCAATCAGAAGCCTCCATATGACTTAAGTCACTAAGCTCGGCTTTTGATTGGTTGCACAGCTACTTGTTATGGCCACCTGTTAAATGTCAAAGAACGTGTCTTCTTTTTGACACATACTCTTCTCGAAAATCGTTTGAATTTTCTTCAAGTGATGTGAAAGTCGCGAAAAACTCGCCAAAGCCGTGAAAATGATCGACTTTTGATGAAATATCATGCAAGAAATGGACACGTTATCGGCCGATTTGGCCTTACAAGCGATTTTAGGTGAGTGTAGGGGGGCTTAGGGGGCTCATAGTAGCCATTGTATTCGAATTAACTTGAATTAAATTGAATAAATTGGTAATTGAGGGGAAGACGGCTATTGTTGATATAATAAAGAGGGTCATTCGGGGAGTCCCTTGACCGGAAATTGTGAATTTGCACCGGAAGAAGCGACAGGTGGGTGAGGGGTTGTGGCTATTTTAGACGAAAAATACGAAAAATTTTTTGGATAGAATATCAATTTACTTATTTTTATAAAGAATTGTAAGAAATTGAAGCAAAAAATAATTCGAATGTGTAACTGGTTGCCTATATTATATGGCTCTTGTTTTTAAATACATAACTTTAATTTATTGTTGATGTTATGTAATCTCCAAAAAAATATTAATTCATGTTAAAATGTACAAAATAAAGTACATGGTTTAAATTAATTTGTACATCATTTTAATTCAGGTGTCATTATTGGTTGTCTACTTTTTATTTTTTCTGTAATTAATCACGCTTGTTGATAAGAACCAAAAACAGAACATTTATTATTGTGATATTTCGTGACGTCACAACTATGTTTTGTTTCTGCGTTCAAAATTAAAGTATCGATATAATTTCTCGGGTCGTTGATGCGTGAACGCAGCTTGTGCGTTTATCGACGATTTAATAAGGGTATCAAACACACCCTTGGCAGGTGAGGAATTTTTCGATCCCCCTTTTTGGTGATCGCAACAAAAGTGAAAAATTTTCAAAAAAAAATTATTCCAGTCAAGTGAAATAGTTCAAAATTGAGGGATTGGTAGACAAAGCCTTGAGGCAGTTTGTCTGAAAATTTGATCAAAATCCTGTAATTTTTGTTGGAGTTATAACAAAAAGTTTTAAGGGGGGAAGGGCAAAATAACTTGAAATTCGAATTTGTGCCTTGAAAAGAAAATTTCAGTCAAATAAATTAAACAAAAAATACAATCTTTCTAGTTTTTTTTTATTGGGTTTGTCATATTTACTAAATCAAAATCTCAAAAAATATTTCAAACCGAACAATTGGTGAAATTTTTATTGTGTTAAAACCAAAAAAACAACCATAAGTCAAAATAAGCAAATTTTGGAAAAATTTATTTATTTGTCGCTTTATTCCAAGAAAACTAAAAACTATAGGGAGTTTTAGCCCGTGCTAAATTACACTATAAAGTCATTTTCACCATAAAATAATCGCCTCTTGAATTTTTGGATTTTTTTTTGAATTTGTGAAATTTTATTCAAATTTGAAAGAATGCTAAATAAAACCCTGATTTTGACGTTTCTTATTAAAGAAATATCAAATTTTTGCAAATAACTACCCAGCAATATAAGGTGGCCGTGGACACTTGATACTTGATGAAAATGATCAAATTAGTGTCCCACCGCCTTCCCCTCGTCTATCTCGACTTCCGTATCGACCAAACGTAGTTGTCAACGAGCATTTACACGCGATCCCTACATTATCCCAAAAATCAAGTAGGCCTTTTTTGCAAAAATCCTCCATCTTCGCTATTTCGTCGGCCGTCCATTCCCCACCACGATGACCAATCAGCGCATCGATCGATTTTTGCGCGTCTTTACTATTGGTCTGTCTGTCGACGAAGCTCCGCCCTTTCCAATCCAATTTGGAAATTTTCGATTTCGCACTGCTCCTTCCCCCCTATGTTGCCAAGCAACGAGTGGGGGGTTAAATATCGTTTAACTCTTTAAATATTTTATTAAATAATCCAGTTATCGTTGCAACAGATTGTTGTGTGTTTTGTTTTCTATATACGCCTACTAATAAAGGAGTGCGAAAAATGACATGATTGAGGGATTTGTGTGACTTTTTCTCTCTCCGAAAGAACATTTTCGTTTGTTTGTTTTTTCTTTGGGATATGTGTTAGTGATTGAAATTATGGAATTTTGGGATATGGACGATCGCAGAGAGAACAGACATCGTAGTGGGCCAGGTATATTTTTTCGCAAAATTTCACATTTCAACTTTCATCTGTTTTTTGCAACTTTCTTTTGTTTGAGGCTTTTTTAATGTTAAATTTTAATTAATCGTGTCTGTAGTGAAAGACGAAGAAAAAAATGAAAGAACAACGTAAGTAACTGAGCGAAGGTGACGCGACGAATTTCTACTTTTTTGACACTTTTATTTGTTTGTGATATTTTTACTATAGGTAGGTAAGATTTTCTTAAAATTGTACTTGTATTTGATTTGTTTAATCAATAGAACATTTGATTGTTTTATTTTTACAAAATATTACATTTGGCAGTTTTTTTAATTGTTTTTGGAAAATTATATTTTAGCGAATTATTATAGATTCGAAAACAATTTTTATCATTTTTCTTTGCTTTTGTATCGAAAAAAATCAAATATTTATGAATTTTGACATTCTTATTTCAATTGACAATTGAGGCGCAGACTTTCAAAAAGCAGTTTATCCAAATTTGCATTTTTGCGGGAGAGAACAAAAACTGTGTTTTAAGAAATTTAATTTTTTATATCATTGACAATAAATGTGAAAAAATATGTACAAATTGGACACTAATTTTACAGATGGAGTACTTAGGCAAGGCATTTTACAAAAAAAAAAACTTTAAAAACCTTATCTCAATTCATAAAAACATGGACAAACTGCATTTTGAAAGACTACTCTTCAATTTTAGACCAAATCTTTATTACATTATACATTTTTATTTTTGATTGTTTAAAAAATCAAATTTGAAACGCCACATTTCAATCTCAATTTTGACATATTCTAAATTTCTATGGTAAAATTTTGCTAAATTGTATCTCAAATTGATATACCTACATACAAAATATTTTTCAGTAAATTATTTCATGGAATTATTTTCATTTCTCTTTTGTAAAATTAATATTTTTTGATAGATACTCTTTCTTAAATCAAAAATATGTAATCGAAAAGTTGATAATTTTTTGGGGTTTGTCAAATGTTTCGTATACGTTTTCATTTGTTTTAGCTCAGCTAACTATATGAAAACATCTTATTCATCCATTAGCGTAAAAATAATCAAATATTGTCCAATTGTGACGTCATATATCTGTTTGTACTTTTCATTAGACCTAATTATTATTTTTTTTTTTGATTTATTTTTATATCGCGTTCAATGCCAAGTTTATAATAATTTTGAATTCTCGTTCATTTTAAGATTTCGATAGTCATCATCGGTGGTGGTTTGTTTAGTCGATAGCACACTTGATTGTTTATCGTCGTTGTTATTGGCAACAACGTTTCATATTTTTCATCCTAGTTGGCGAATAACAGGTTGCCGAATCGATTCTCAAACTGTTTTTCTTTTTCTTTCTCTCTTGTAAATTCTTCTCCCGTTCAATGAACAAAAGCGCGTGCCAACGCCAACTCGATTCGTTTTTTTTTTCTTCTCGCGTTTCTGCTTCAATGTTCTTCAGTTAATGATCATGATAAAAATAATTATCCAGCGAAAGTCAATCGAAATCTAGACAATAATAATAATATGTAACGGTTTCGATTTTCTTTTCGTCGAATGAAGAAAAGCATTTCTTCGGTATTGATATGCTCTGTTAAGTCGATTGTCATTTGTTACACGAAGAAAATAATTAAAATCGGCGAGATTGGATCGGAGCGGTTAGGTTAACCTAGAATTTAGGTTTTTCAACATTGCATTTTCAAAAATTTATTAACAAACCTAAAACTTTTTGAGTTTAGAAAATGTGTTTTATGACCAAGTGTGACCCCTCATTTCAGACTAAAATGATCCAATTAAACGTTTTGTGAATTTATTCAAATTTATTATTTCAGGTCGCGGTTCGGACTTTGTTAGCGGCATTGATAACGAAGCCCTTGATTTTTCTCAATTGGAGGACTTTATAAATAGCGAAGGCTCCCAAAGTACGAACCCTTATTTCAACGAATCTCTCAATTCGACTCCGCCTTCAGGCAAACTTCTCAATGTTATCGTCGAAAACAAACGAAATAATGCAGGGCATTCTTTGCCCGAAAGCCCTCCTGATAGCAGTTCAGAGCACCCTTATAGCCCTCAAGAAGGCTGTGAGCCTTCAATGAACCCTTCTGAGACTCTCTACACGACTTTGGGTCCCAATATCTACAAACCGGGCTCGATAATTGGTCCCATGCTAAGCGATAATTTAATTTTGGGCTCACACATCGTAGTAGCCGAGCAAAACGGGGATCAGTTGATCGAAAACGGGAATATTCTACAGGATGGCAGGATTATGCAAGATGCGGGATTGATGATCCCTGAAGATAATAGACAGATTCTGTTGACTAATGGGGATTCGAATCAAAATTTCACGGATAGAGGGATGTATAAAGGTGATGAGAACCATTTGGTACATTTGGGCTATAGCCCTGCTATTGAAAATAATTTATGTGAGCCCAATTTGGACAACATACAAACGGTTTACACGAATTTGCAAAGTGCCCCCAAAAAAAGAAAATTATCACAAGATTCGCCTTTAGTCAAAAGCGAACCAGGTATTTGCTAGGTATACAAAATTTTCAAAAATTTTGACAATTTTTATTTTAGAACATTGCTCAACAAGTCAATTGAGCCCCCCTGGCCCCCTTTCAACGCCACTAGATGAAGAATATGCATCGTCTGAAGCTTGCCTTTCCGAATCACAGTATCAATGTATCAGATTTAGTCCGTTTCAGCAGCCACAATGGCACGCACTCTGCGATCAAAGTTTAACAGAATTGTATGTTTTTACTACATACAGGGTGTCCCAGAGCTTCGTATTTCTTCGATTACTTTGATAGTAAAGAAGATAACGAAATGCGATTTTTTTTGAACGATAGACATTAATTTTTTTATGGTCCAAAAATTTTTTCGTCATTAGGTATAGGTAATTCCTATATACAGGGGTTCCGTTTTTATTGTTACAAATTTAAACAGGTGATATTCAATTCTAAGACAAAAGTTTCCTATAAACATGTATCGAAAAATGCTTGGTAAGGGAGCTACACCCCCTGGAAGGGAGCTAATATGTTTTTGCTAATTTTTCAGAAACCATTTAAGATAAAATTACAAAATTTGGTACAGATGATAACCTTTATACACCTAAACGAAACATCAAATGTCAAAATTTTTAATCACAGGCGTACGAAACTGGAGGAGTTTAAGGTAAAAAAAAAATACTCTATTTATTTTGGCTTTAGTTTCTCGGTACTTTCAGCAACAAAATCTTAAGTTCGATAGTTTATCACAGAAAAGTCTCTCTTGTGTCGATACGACTTATTGTTTTTGAATAAAATTAATTTAAAATTTATGTTATACACCAATACAACATTTAAATAAATCAGAATTTACAGAATAATAAAAGCAAGAAATTCATATTTTCTAATCAACCTTAACTAATTAACATTACATTACAGTAACAATAATAACATTAATTAAATGAATTTGCCTGTCAATGCATAACTAAAGAAACTAAAGCCAAAATAGATAGGGTATTTTTTTACCCTAAACCCCACCAGTTTCGGACGCCCCTGATTAAAAATTTCGACATTTGATGTTTGAATTCGTTTAGGTGTACTAAATTTTGTAATTTTATCTTAAATGGTTTCACAAATATTAGCAGAAACCTATTAGCCCCCTTTCAGGGGGTGTAACTCCCTTACCAAGCATTTTTCGATACATGTTTATAGGAAACTTTTGTCTTAGAATTGAATATCACCTGCTTAAATTTGTAACAATAAAAACGGAACACCCTGTAGAGTGGCGCAACAAAGTTATATTTTTTTATGGAACACCCGGTATATTATACGCTTGTTTGAAAAAGTTTTTAATTTTAAGAATATCCATATTAGGTTTTACGGGTCTATCATGGACCATTTATCATTTATGGGCAATTTTATGAAAAAAAAGTACCATTTTTGAAAAAAATGTTTAGAAGAGGAAGTAACGCAAATCTACTTGATTTTTAACGCTAAATAGAATAATTTAAACTTTTGTAGGTTTAAAAAGGCGTACAAACCCTAGGTTTTTTAGAAAGCTCATTAAAGCTCTACAGGATAAAGTATATAATAACATACAATGTGTTTCATTTGAATGCAAAAGATTGATTGAATTTCTACCATAATAATTTAGGACCAGACTCAGTAAAAATGGTTGCAATTGTTTTTATTCACTTTTTCTTTCTAGCAAAGCCGTTGTGATTTTTCAAAAAATGGTACTTTTTTTCATAAAATTGCCCATAAATGATAAACAGACCATGAAACCTAATATGGATATTGTTAGAATTAAAAACTCTTTCAAATAAGCGCATAATATACCGGGTGTTCCATAAGAAAAAATATAACTTTTATTGCGCCATCCTATAATAACAACAATATTTTCGGATCATAGAAAAAATAAACGCCTATCGTCCAAAAGAAACCGCATTTCATTATCTTCTTTACTGTCAAAGTAATCGAAGAAATACGGAGCTCTGGGACACCCTGTATTTTCTGAAAATAGGTTTTTTAATGTCACGATTTATTTCAGGCCAGTACCGCATTATAGGGTCGATGCCGATAAAGGATTCAATTTTTCAAATGCAGACGATGCGTTTGTATGTCAGAAAAAGAACCATTTTCAGGTAGGGGACGTCGGAATCTTTTTGTGCGAATTGTAAAAATTTTGTTAATTTTTAGATAACTTGCCACGTCCAATTATTGGGTGACGCACAATTTGTTAAAACTTCCGACGGATTCCAAAAGATCTCAAGCTTCCATCTTCACTTTTATGGTGTCAAACACGACTGTCCAACTCAAACGATACGAGTTGAGCAGAGTCAAAGTGATAGGAGCAAAAAACCATTTCATCCAGTTTTGTGCGTTTTTACACTTTTTTTTTAACATAAAATATCAACTGTTTGAATTTAGGGTCGAACTTGTAAATTCACAAGTGACGAAGGTCACTGTTGGCCGATTACATTTCAGCGAAACTACATCTAATAACATGCGAAAGAAGGGCAAACCGAACCCAGAACAGCGATATTTTCAGGTTTCAAAAAAAAAATGAAATAAAAATTTTTCGAAATTGTTTTTTTTTGTAGTTGGTTGTAGGTCTACACGCACATACAACTAACGGTAATTTCCCGGTTATAAGTCACGCGAGTCAAAAAATAATCGTCAGGGCGTCAAATCCTGGCCAATTTGAAAGCGACGTCGAATTGTGTTGGCAAAAAGGTCAGACGCAAGTAAGTCAAATTTGATCGTTTTGACGATTTTTTCATTTTCCTTATTTTCTGTTGGAGGACTCAATTTTTCATAATGGTAAAGTCGGCATCAATACTGACCGACCGGACGAATCATTGGTCGTTCACGGGAATATTAAAGTGACCGGACATATTATTCAACCAAGTGATATAAGAGCAAAGAAAAATATCGTCGAATGTGACACTGCTGAGCAATTACGAAACGTTCAAAAACTGAGAGTCGTCAGGTAGGTCTAGCCGAATCGATTGGCTATTTAAAAATTTTTAGAATGATGAGGGTATCCAGTGAGCGGCAAAATTATACAGAGTGGTTATAAATGATTTTCATCTAGCCAGCTTTGGAATTTTTTTATTTGTGCCGCTCTACTTTTTTGAAAGCTCTAGTTCTGTCATTAGTGTCACTTATTAATTAATAATAAATGGTTGTTAATTAAACTTTTATTGTTTCAACTAATTTTCAATAATAATTGATAAGAATGTATACTTTGGAAGAAAACAAGTTTATAATTAAAGTCTATTTTCGAAGTGGACGATTTTTTAATTTTGAGTTAAAACAAGTAGGTACCCCTATTTTCGTAAAGCGGCATGTTTTATTTTACATGTAAAATTCAAAGCTGGCTAGATGAAAATCATTTATAACCACTTTGTACAATAGTCTTATTTATTAAAACTGAAAATTTTGTTTTGGAAAAATGCTCGAACAGGTCAATTTTCTTTTTAAAAAAATACAAAATTTTTAACTTGATTTAAAATTCTATCTTTATTGATATTATTTCACTTTTTGGATAATTTTTTTTTGGAAAACTGTATGTAATAGGTACACCCGGGGAAAAAACTATTCACCAGTCTAACTTTCTGCTCACACTGCGCTTTGTTGCAATAGGGTTTCCGATTAACTAGTTGGGGAGCAGGTAATAAGACCCTTATTTAGGAAGTTGGTCCGGACTCGGGGACACACGTTTCTTCAAAACGGTCTTTTCCTGCAAATTTCTTCAACGAGTATAGATTATTAAATGGTGATTATAAATAATAATTTTCAAAATGACACTAAGCAAATTTTAGAGAAAAAAATGCATGCCTATGTATTTCATTACCTTAACAAACAAATTTTTGTGATTTACTTTTAATTTTATTAACAAATAGCTAGCTAAATAACAAAAATGTTTGTAAAAAAAGATAATTTTAATAAATGGCAAGTCAAAAAAAACATCTTCTAAAAAAACAGTCATTTTTAACAAAAACAAACATTATTTAATTAATTAATTAATTAATTAATTGTCAAAGTGACATCGTGGTCAAAAAAATGAAATCGCCAATGTGATGGGACTTGAAAAGCAAAGAAAGATTATTATTACAAGTTCAAAAGTAAGAAAAAAAAAATAACTTTTCTTTCCACTGAGTCAGAATAATGAAGTTTTAATTACAGATTTGCTCGTTTCAGATAAAGCAAAATTAACCCTTGCTGTTAAAGTGTTACTTTATCTACTCAAAAGAATTTATAAAGAAATAGTTTAATATCTGATATAGAAAAAAAAAGTATTTCCTTTGCTTTTTGGGCGTAAAATCAAAGGTAAAAACTTGTTTCCTTTTGACTGTCTACATATTTAATATTTTGGTGTGGCCAAGTCTATAGAATTCTTTAAAAAAATTACGGGTTTCCATTTAAAAAAAATGCCGCTGCTGTCATTACCCAAAAACCAAAAAGTGTAGAATTTTAAAACAAGTTGAAAACTGTGTATAAGGTGTTCTAGTGAGTTAGTAAAGTTCATTATTCAAACAGATATAAACTTAATTTAACTAAATACCTACGATGTGGCCTAAAGAAAATTACAATTGATTTCTTTTTAAATTAGTAAAAACTAAGGAAGTATCGAGAGATCAAGATAATTTGTCCTTGTATCCAAAAACGTATGTCCTGTGCGTATGTCTGTGAAATGTCAAATAAAATGACAAGTGGAAAGGTAAAATCCTATGATCAAAAAGATAACTAAATTTATGATTTATCCTCAAAAAAGAACGGTCTTGTTATTATTTGACGTTTCACCTGCAGTTAGTTCAAAAACAGACATACGTTCAGTTGCGGAATTGATCACTTTGATCTTCTGACTATGCCACAAATCACTATTTTTGAAAGTAAATAAATGAGGTTATTAATATAAAGGTTGTTTTAGAGTTTACACTATGTATGATTTGTACAGTGCGATCAAAAAGTCTTTCTATCAAGTAAGCGTCCTAGTTGAGGACGTATGTTGCATGGCAGTTCGTATGTTATCGAGATGTCAAAAAATTATTTTATAAAAATTAAAACGTTGAGCTAATTAAATTGAATTATTTTATGAAACGTCTTAAAACAAACTAAAATGAGATTTTGTTGGTGTTTATTCATAAAAATCGTTCACCACGGTTTCCTGTAATAATTTACATAAAAAATATTTTGACATTTCTCATTTGTCATTGTGACATTTTATCTTCCACAGACATACGTTTTAAATTTCTACGCTTGCTTGATAGACAGACTTTTTGATCTCACTGTATTAATAAGTGTGATTTAAAAAGAATTCTAATGTTTTTATTTAAAAAACTTTAGGTCATAAGGTTTTTATATTAAAATTTAAATATAAAAAATTGAAGCTTTTGGTGGCAAGTCTTGGCCCCCTGGATCCGCCCTTGTGACCTCCTCTTGTATCAAGCTGAAATACCTATTTTTTGATAGTTTTAACATTTTTTCCAAAATTACGGTTTTCTTAAGGTATGACTATGAGCCATCTTTCGCATCCCAATTAAGTCGTGACTCCCAAAACTCGGATACCGGTGTAATAGCCCAAGAGGTGGCTAAAATCCTCCCGGAAGCGGTCAGACCGGCTGGTGATCTCGTCTTGAAAAACGGCCAATCCATTGACAATTTTTTGGTAGTCAACAAAGAACGTATTTTTATGGAAAATATCGGTGCTGTCAAGGAATTATGTAAAGTAACTGATAATTTGGAAACTCGAATCGATCAATTGGAACGAATAAATCGTCGATTAAATAAACTGAAACGTGGTGATAGTCTCAAATCGACTAGTACAGGTGGGTGACGTATTTTTGAAATTCTATCAAAATTTAACAATTTTTTTACAGTAAGCAGCTTAAAACATTCCTATTCGCAAAAATGTTCTAAACATCATTGTGACCGTGACGATGAACTATGTTCGAATAAATTTATCCAAATTATTATCGTCATTCTGGTCCTCATAATGGCATTTTGGTGAGTTTTTGACTACATACCAGGTGAATAAAAAGTAAACTAAGCACTTTACGAAAAAAATAATTACTGTAGCGTAAAGTACAATTAAAATGTGACCATTTATCAAGAATAACATTTTTCCAAATTTTTTAGTTTTCGAGTTCTCGAAAAAAAATTTTTTTTTAATGGCCACCCACCATGGTAATTTTTTTAATTAAAGATTATGATCTAAAAATGACCTCTAATTAAATAAAATTGTTTTTTAGCCAGTACTTTTTTTTTAATTAATTGTTAAAGTTGCGTTCCGAACACATCACGAAGATTGTCCGAACTGACTAAAAAACAATTCTGTTTAATTAGAGGTCATTTTTAGATCATAATCTTTAATTAAAAAAATTACCATGGTGGGTGGCCATTAAAAAAAAAATTTTCCAGAACTCGAAAACTAAAAGAAATTTCGAAAAATGTTATTCTTGATAAATGGTCACATTTTAATTATACTTTACGCTACACTAAGTATTTTTTCCTAAAGTGCTTAGTTTACGAAAAAACGCTTGGTTCCATACTTTTTATTCACCTGGTATGTTTTCTTTTGACATTTTAGTTTGGCCGCTATCACAACTCTGTACCTGATGGAAGCATCACGACACAACCAATTCGCCCATACAAACCTCCAACAAACCCATCGATCCATCGTAACAAAAAGACAAATGAAAGTGCCGAAAAATCACCAGTCACGACACACTGCGACCGAATATCACAAAACGAATAATTATAAAGACGATGATGTCACACGAATCACCATAGATCCGAGTTTGACAAAACGGCCTTCGGCTATCATCGGTCGACCCCCCGATTGTCTATCGATAGATCAAGATCTTGAAAGTAGTCATCTTTGTCAGATTTATTGTTGCGCAGCAACCCAACCGGTAATTCCCCCACCGGAATCTCCAAATTCCATCTACGGTGACAAATCCACCAATCGAACAGTGTTGAATCTTGAACAAGCGAAATTAGCCACGCCCTTTCACTCGACGACTAATGAGATTGACAAGCGACAAAAACGTGATGCTTATGATTTGACAGGCGAGATAAGCTCATTTGACATGCCAGGTGATTGTTTTTGGTATTAGCCAATTGGATTTTATACAATTTTTGTCCACAGATGACCAGATTTTCCTGATTATCGTTCAAGGTCGTAACTTTAATACTACCTTGACTCATAAATATCTGATAGCTCAGCCTGAACCTCACAATTATTCCTATTCCGTTCCTATATCGAAATATATGCCAGACGAGTTCATCAATCTCATATTTAGGTGAAATTTTGTGTTTTTCGAAAAAAAAAATTCTAATTTTTTTTTCACAGATCGACTCAAGACACGATTAAGGAAGTCGAATATTGCAATAACAATTACAAAGAACGCGGATGTTCATTCGAAAAGCCACAAACAAGGCATAAAGTCAATGAGCACAGTCCAAGTCAGTTGATAAGTACTCAAAGTGTCATTTTTGAAGTCAATATGGCCGACTTTCAGTCAAAAATTATGACGTACAGGGCGTCAAGTCGCGCCAATCAGGTATGTGTAGGTTTGGCCTTATTTTTTATTAAATGTGAGTCAATATATTTTTTAGAATACGTGTAAATTGAGCAACTCGGATGAATTTATCGAATATAATTTCCATTTCTACCGGCACTGTGATGAATAAACGATACGTACTACTCAGCAAAAAAGGAAAGTAAGAACAAGAAATGCATGACATTTATTTATTTACGTTTTTTTTTTAAATATTATATTTTTTTAATTGTTTTATCAAAGTGTTCGATGTTACTACAGCATCACCTAGTTGTAGAAGTTGTACCTGTATCTGAAAGATTTGAACACTTTTCTAGATAGTGTGTATAATGAAAAAGCACCAAAAAAATATTGTAGCGTTTTTAGTGGATTATTATGACTCTCATCATGTACTTAATTTTTCTTGTCCGTCCAATAAATTGTATAATGTGTAGATTAGACTTTTATCGTATTGTAAAATATTTTCTTTCTCTCTCTCTCTTGTTTGACATTAAGACAATTTTTTATTATTTTATAGAGTTATAAAATATAAATGAACAAATAGTTTTAGCATAAATATGATGTATTATTGCAATATTGTTTTATTTTTTTGTGATTGTGTAAAATAAATTGTTTTTTTTTTTATTTATTTTGACTTAAAACACCATTTTTTTAATACATTTTAATGACTTTTTGTAATACATGCGATTCTTTATTTATGCTTTTACATTATTTAAGGCGCTACTTGGTGAATCTCAAACTATACAACAATTCACGCTTTAAATACAATTATATAAAAAAATAACAGAACCTACGCATTGAAGAAATTGGACAAAAAATGCTCGATTACAAGGTTTTGCAAATATTTGTGTTAAAAGTACATCAAAATTAAAAAAAAAATTAATAATCATAAAAACGAAACAATCTACTTATGCTCCAGTACCAACTGTCTAAGCTTCTCATAGTTGGCACCACTGAACTGCGTGATCGTTTGACTATTCTTGACGAAAACAAAAGTAGGCATTGACGAAATATTGTACTCCATAGCAATATCCTCGCATTCATCCACATCCACCTGAAACAAACGACAATCAAAATATAAAACAAACGCCACAAAGCACAGCCTACCTTAAATACATGCACGTTTTGGAATTCCTGAGCCAACTCTTCCAATTTCGGTGAAATCATCTTACAAGGACCACACCAGGTGGCGAAAAAATCGATGACAACGAGCTGGTCGCCGGCATCAGTAAGCTTCGACACGAGGTCGTTCTGTAAAAAAAAGATTTTCACTCTGTATATGACCTTGATAGTATTAATCGAACACGTGACCTGTATATTGTCAACCTAGACAAAAAACAAGCGACTTATCGCAAATTTTTGGCGCACACTATGAAAAAAACCTCAATTTTCCGGCTAATCGAAAGTCACAATCTGTCAAAAAATCTATTGCGTTTCCGGAAAATGGACCACGCCCACATGGGACTTACCTTGTCGTTGATGTGAGTGACCATACTTGGGCTACGATAGGTTTCTGGTAGCTGATGGGTCTTTTTTCGCCGAAATGGGCAACAGAAAGGAATGATTTGAAAATGGGCGACAACACTCGACCAAATGACTTGACACAATGCCACTATGTTATTTAAATGCGCATGTGTGACAAACACTATATTGTGATTGGTGGAATACATGAGCAAGGATCGAGTAATAAAAGTCGGCTCATTGCACCTACTTGGTGAAAATTTAACAATAAAATCGTTTTGATTTATTTTCCGGGCTGGAAATCACGATTTGGTTTTCCGGTACCGTCGGGAAGAAGTTATTAGCGAGTTTTCCTCAATTTGATGATATTGTCACACTTGTGGAACGCTTGGCCTTAGTCATGAAAATTTGTAATAATCAAAATTAAATTTTTACGTCAGTGTTCAATCATCAGTTTCGAGAATTCGGTGAATAAATCACGATTAATTTGGTTGGAGTGAATTTTTGTTTATTTTTATGAAATCGATAAAATTATTGAGTTATTTTATATTTTATCAAGTAACCTTCGCTTGGCGGGGCACGTGACGCTATTATCGGTCACGTGGCTTTTGTAATTACTTAAAAAAATTACTTTGTTCATTAATTATATTTACAAAAAAATTGAAAATTTTAATATTGACATTACTCAGCGGATTTGAGTAGATAAAACGGGTTTATCTCCTATCTTTGTACTAAGATTTGTGTTTAATGTGTGAATTTTTACAGAAAAAAAAAATGTGACCATGAACACTATAAAAAAACACTAATTTCTAAAATTTACAACTTTTTTATTTCACAATAATTCAATTTGGAATACATATGCAGTCAGTAATACATACACTCGAAATTTAAGTGTGTTAAAAAAAGAAAACATTAAAAAACCACTGCTAAAAGTGATAAACAATTTAATTTGTTGAAAAATCGTTTGAAAAATAGTTCTTGTATAAATCATTGTCAAAAAATATTATACATGTATGCAACCAACAATACATCAATTGTCAGTGGCGACGTCCTCTACGTCACTCCGCTTCGACGCCGTCATCCACGTCGCCACCTCCATCATCGATCAATGCATTCGTCGCTTGCGCACCCTTTTTGAAAATGGCCGGCGGCGATCTCGATAATCTCGAATATTACATCAAATTTCCAAGTCCGAACTTCAACTACAGTCAACCAAACGGGGGCGAAAGTGACTACGTCTTCGTCGTCAACGAGGAAAAAATCCCTGTGATTCTACTATTCGGTTGGGCCGGATGTCAGGACAAGTACTTGGCCAAATATTCGCAAATTTACGAAGATCGGGGGTGAGATTTTATTTTTTTTTTTGACTATTTATTAATTTTTTTACAGTTTGATAACGGTGAGGTACACCGCACCGGTCAAATGCCTTTTCTGGAAGCGATTCCAAATGATCGCGATTGGGGAACGACTCGTCAAGCTTTTAATTGACTTGAATTTCGAAAATCATCCAATTATTGTGCATTGTTTCTCGAATGGGGGCGCTTTTTTGTTTCAGAATTTCACGCTGGCACTTGAAAAGAGCCCCAAACCGATTCAGGTAAAAATTTCCACTTGTTTAGATTATTCATGAGGCACAAAACTGTTAGCTTTGCAATAAAACGCTTTGTTTGTAAACGATTTAATCACCAAAAATTATTATACAATTTTGTTAACAGTTCTTTTTAATTTTTGCAGATAAAAGGTGTGATTTTTGACTCTGCACCGGGCAAACGTCGCGTTTTGAGTCTATTTCGTGCCATTTCAGCAATTTTGGGTGGAAGGCCCCTCTATAATATCCCTGCTTCGGTCCTCATGACCATGTTTATATCTATGATTTGGTTATATGAGGTGCGTTTACAAAAATATTTTTTTAATTTTAATGCATTTTTGCGTTATACCTACATAGGTTGTCAGTAATTACATCAGCCCTAAAAAAACATTCCAATCGAATCCTTTAGAAAATTTGAAAGACGATAAAAATACTTGTCCTCAACTATTCATCTATTCGAAAAAAGACATTCTGATTCCTTATACGGTAAGTATCACTCTTGTATAAATAGTCAAAAAACGAATTAATTTTTTTTCAAGGATATTGAATATTTCGCAAATTATCGAAAATCTCTAGGTATCGATGTAACAACTCTCTGTTACGAAACAAGTCCTCATGTCAAACACTACACCGAAAACAAAGAAAGTTACGTGAGTAGCATATGCAATTTTTTAAATAAATGCCTAAACGGCACAAATTAATTCACAATTAGGAAAAACATTTCAACGCTTAATTAATGTTTAGGGTATATTTTATTTTTTTAGACGTTGTTAAACTGCACAAAAATGTATTTATTTCAATTGTTTCATTAAAACTATGTTCCAAAGTAACCTGTTTCCTTCATCCCGCCACTGGAGTGAATTTTATTTTTTGTTTTTATTCTAGTACTTACACACATGTGCGACTCGCCTATGATAAAAAAAGGGGGTTTTCAAAGTTTTTTTCTCTAAAATAAACATTTTTTAAACAAATATATTTCGACAATAGTGGTAATAAACATGATAAACCTAAATCTAATATCTTTCGTTTAATTAAAAGCCGGTTTTATTGACGTATCAACCTTTTGCAAATACGGATGTAAAGCAATTCGTTTGGCCGAAATCCTCTTGACTGGATCATAGACAAGCATTTGTTTTAAAAGGTCTATAGCATCGCTACTCATACATTTGACTTCACTTTCCAAAGTGCAAGATTTCCAATTGGGGAAACTGACCTTGTATTCGGGTAATTTGGAGACTCCTGGCCAAATTTCATCACTTGGAGTTTTCAAAACACTGAAAAAGTCCCAATGAGAAATTACATGAGTGAAATGAAAACAATCAAGTACCGAAAAATGCGGAAAAGTTGATCAATTTCTGAGTCACCCTGAAAGAGGGCTTTCTTATTGGCCATTTCAGCGAAAATGCAACCTAAAGACCAGATGTCAATGGGACAGGAATATCGAGCGGAGCCGAGGAGCACTTCGGGGGCACGATACCACAAAGTGACCACTTCGTGAGTGTAAACACGGACGGGGACCCCAAACGCTCGACCTAGACCAAAATCGGCCACTTTAATGGCACCGTTGGCGTTGATGAGTAAGTTTTGAGGCTTAAGGTCACGATGGAGAACGCGTCTTTGGTGGCAGAAAAGTATAGCTTCGTTAATCTGGTAAAGGTAGCTTTTGACCATTTCGGGGTCCATGTATGAGCCCTGAGGGATTGTATCAAGGTACTTTTTCAAGTCCATTGATAAAAACTCAAAGATTAAATAAAGACGGTTCTCTTCCATCATCACGTCTTCAAGGCAGACAATGTTAGGGTGGCGTAGCTCCTTGAGGAGGGAGATTTCGCGGATGGCTGTGGAGGGCACACCCTCATCTTCAGGTTGGAGTCTATAAAAAGACAAATAAAACTTGTTTCCACAGAAAATGGGGCTCACCTGATTTTTTTCATTGCGACTAATTGGCCAGTTTTCTTGTTCTTACCCTTGTAGACCACGCCATAAGTGCCTTCACCGATTTTCTCGATTTTGAGAAAGTCATCCATGTTGGCGCTCTGCTTCGACATTGTTGGTTTCGGAGGCCCCAATCTAACCAAACATTAGACTTAAATGAAGTTTCAAACATCAAATTACAATGCTTACTTGATCACTACAACGAAATTTTAATAAAAACACACAAGTTTTGTCACTTTTTACACTCTTTTTCAGTTTTTAACACTCAACGGCTTGTTCTAAGAAACATGGAGAGTTTTTTGTTGGACAATTTTAAACCGGCCAATAGGAAACAACCTTATCACCGTCTCTGTCGAACTCATGCTAATCTCAATTATCTATCTCTTTCTCTCAAGGCTTAAGCTGCATTGCCAACTTCTCACACAAAAAATTACCACAATTCAATCAAATGTAAAAAAAATAACCAAAATTCGTGTTAAAATCCTTTATTGCATGATAAATACAATACAAAATCAATTACGTGAAGCATTAATACAAGATCAGTTGTAAATAATTACTGAAAAAAAAACTTGTTAGAAAATCATTTTTTAACCCTTCAAACTGCTCATTCCAGCTCTCATTATTTCATCAACCAATAACAAATTACTTGCGATTACTGAACACGAATTAATTATTTGTTTTTTCACGATGTAATTATCAAAAATTCCAGCATCTTTCGGATTAATCGGTTGACCTGAAGTTAAATCGAGTCCAATTGGTTCCGGGTTGAGACGAGATTCTTCTTGGAGTTTCACAATAGTATCCTGAGACAAAAAAAGCCGAAAAAACTATAAATCAATTGTCAAAATTAGACAAACCTGAGCGTCAAAACCAGAATTCGTTGCAAGCACTTTAGGAATTACGAGAAGGGCTTCGGCATAGGCCCCAATCCCAAGACGAGATTTGCCCTTAACAGTGTCCTTGTAAGACATTAGCTGCTTGTGAGCCGTCACCTCAAAGGCCCCCGCGCCTAAAAAATAGAAAATTTTTAAAAGCACCTTGACAAAAAAAAACGGCTTCAAAAAATAATTACCCGCCACTGAACTAAATTTTTATTTTTTTGTTACCATAGTTACCTATACATTTCAGTGTATTTCTATAGCAACTATACTAAATATACACATGTGCGACTCGTCAAGAATTAAAAAAAGGGGTTAAAAAAATTACCTGGAATCAAGGATTTGTCCTCAATCGCATTATTGATGGCACGTAATCCATCCCTGACTGCATCTTTGATCTGAGCGAGGGTATGTTTATTGGGCCCTTTAATCAGAATAGTGACGGATTGAGGTATTTTACACTCCTCCACAAAAGTAAATTTATTTTCACCCAAAACGTGTTCATAGACGACTCCAGCATACCCCAATTGTGACTCTTGAATGTCATCTAAATGATTCAAAGCGACTCCACCGCAAGCCAAAGCTAATCTTTCCATATTGCGTCTTTTGGCTCGTCTCAAAGCCATAATACCTTCTTTGGCCAAAAGATCAAGACTCATTGGATCGATACCTTTCTGATTGATAACAACAAAACTCTTATCAGTGCCATCGCAGAGTTTCTTTTTCAAATCAATGACCTTTTTCACCCTCTGTTCGATAAACTCGCGCTCGGCTTGGACCATTTTCTCGCGCTCTTCCGCCGTCTTATAAAAGAAACCCGAATTGACTTCGCTTTTCTCATATTCCATCGACACGTTACACGTCAAAATGTAACAATTTTTCAACCTTTTGGGCATATCTGGATGTCTGGAACCATGATCAAGCACCAAACCCTTGACCAAAGTGGTGTCCGTCTCAGTTTTGTGCTGCATTTCCATCAATTCGACCATGTGAAGATCCACTGACTTGTCTTTTGGTTTGATAGCCAAAATAGCGTCAACGCAAACATCGGCTAGAACGTTCGCCAGGACCTGGTGCACTTTGGTCCTAAGACTAGTCCGTGCAACATCAAGAAGGCTCTCGCGGGTTATTTCAATAGGGACTTTGATCGAATCAAGAATTTCGAGAGTTTTTTCTCTGGCTTTATCGAAACCTTCAGTTACAACACGCGGATGCAAACCTTCGGCGATGAGAATATCAGCCTGTTTGAGAAGTTCCCCAATGACAAGGACCGTGGAAGTGGTGCCATCGCCGGTCATGTCGTCCTGAGCGGTGGAAGCGCGCGCTATGAGGGAGGCGGTGGGGTGCTGAATTTGCATCTCATGGAGGAGCACATTGCCGTCTTTAGTGATTTTGATGTCGCCGGCGCCGGAGACTAACCTGGTGAATTTACTAATTAAAAACTGAGCGAAAAATTTCCATCTCTCCATCTCTCTCACACCCGTGTAAAAATCAATTAAACATTTCTCTCGCGCAAAGTAGCAATTGGGAGAGGGGACCACGGAGTAATTTTGGTGGCCATTATAGCAGATGGGTTATTTTCGTTAATTAATATTATTTGGGCCAAAAATCCATAAAAATTAAAAAAATTAACCAAGAGTTCAATCCGACACTTTTGACAGTTGTTTAATTAAATTTTTTTATTTGAGGTCATGACATGAATTTATTATTTCTATTGAACTAATAAAAAATGGATTTTCAGGTTATTAACAGAAAATTGTAAAAATTCAAAAATTGAATTGAATTGAATAAAATACAATGTCCCCGGATTAAGTTTACAAGAGAAAAAAGATTATCTTTGATTTTGCAAAGGAAAAACATTTTTGCCCTACCTGAAACGAGCAAATCTGTAATTAAAACTTCATTATTCTAACTCAGTAGAAAGAAAAGTTCATTTTTCTCTTAATTTTGGACTTTTTCAGTTCTATCACATTGTCGGTTTTATTATTTTGACAATGATGTCACTTTGACAAATGAATTTACGCAAGTTAAATAACAAAAATGTTTGTGAAAAACATAATTTTAATAAATAGAAATTTAAAGAAACAGCTTTAAGATAAAAACCAAAGTTATTTTTTACAAAACCTACCATTATTTAATTAATAAATTAATTGTCAAAGTGGCATTTAATTGGCAAATACATAAAACCGCCAATGTGATAGTACTTAGTAAAAAACAATAATTCATTCATAATTCTTCAAAGTAGTAGAGTTTTATAGAGAAAAACAGGCCTAAAAGTGCATAAATTTTAAGTTTAATAAAAAACCTTAACCAAGAGTGCGTTGGATTTCAGTCAATCTGACAGTTGGTGACATTTTGCGTCAATGTGCCTCAACCAAAAATAATAGAAAAACGGTAGCAAACATCGCTTTGTAAAGCAGATAATTTACCTAAAATAAGAATAATAAAAAACAGAAACATTAAAACAAAGCAAATCTATTAAAAAAATAAAAACAAAAGATTTACTTTTTTCATCAAATTTTCTGATAATTTAAAAGTTTTTTTTGCAAAATTAATACAATAAAGTATTCATTTTGTTTAGATACTGTACCAAAAACACAAAATATCAGAATAAGATAATTTGCGAAGGCAGAACAATGTGATGACAAAACTGATTTGACGTTAAAAACATTTAAAATAGAATTTACAAAAAATAAGAAAGGAAACAAGGATGTTAAAAACGAGTAAAAAGAAAGCACAACATAAAGAATAAAAATATGGAAAAATGAATATTGGACTTAAAATTGGAAGAATGTAGAACAGAAATATTGAAGAAAGAAGAAAATTTTGAAAAAGTATCAAAAAAAAAATCGAAAAAACAGAAAACCTGAAATTAATTTAATATAACAAAACAGGAAGACTAAATGAAACAAGAGAATAGTAAACAGAAAAATACAAAAAAGTAATGTGAAAATATGATGAAACATTAATTGAATTTCATTTTTTTTCTTGGAGTTAATTTCGGTGGCAAACAAGTCGGCAAAAAAAATAATTCTTTCTTGAGCATTTTATGTCTATTTAATGATAATGATAATATTACAATACTATTGTAGGTTCAATATTGAAATAATTCATAATTGAAAGTATCATTAAACTATAGAACGTTTCAAAATGACTGACATCTCGGCAGAAATTTAAGTTGGCAACATTAATACTTCGACAATAAAAAAATCCCTAAATTATAACAAAAACCATGACAACCAAACACAATTCAATTGTGATTTCTCAATTTTGATTGATTTTTGACATTTTTAATTTAATTATTGTCCACAAAAACATTATAACAAATGAGTAAACTTGTCCCTGACCGTTTCATCCTTGCCCAACACCCAACAAAAAATACCCATAACAAGAAGTGAAGTTTCGTGACTCTAATTGAACAAAAATCGCCCGAATTTCACAATTTCCAACACAAAACCATAATCTACTACTAATAGTCGATTTTCGATCAAAATTCTTTATAATTTAAGTGAGGTTATGTCACTTTAACTCGTTAAAAAATCCAAAAATCGGTCAATTTCGCATTTCTATACCCAATTCAGCTTGTAATAAGCCTCTAAACTCACAAATTCGCCCCAAAACTTGCTTTTTGTGATCATGTGTTCGCCCCCACACTTACATTTTCATTGTCCCTTTGGGGCCCAGATTGGACTTCATGACGTCTTGTATACCCTTCGCGGCGGAAATGTTAACAGCAAGGGCTTGTGCAGCCCTCGCGACTTCAGCTTTAGGGTTTAATAAACTAATTGCCATTTTCTTTCAATGAAACACCGGTCACACACTAGAAAATGTGAAAATATCTAGGGATTTTTGTTGCAATTGACAGCACGCCAACGCGCCATTTTCAAATGAATCAATAAATTGAATTAAAAGTTGCGACACTAAATATGAGCTAATTGGGGCTTAATTGAGTTGAAGAAAGCTTAGTTTGTGAAATGTTGTTTATCATAACGCACCCTTTTACCCCAATGGTCACCGTAGCAAAAATGTTCGGGTTTTTGTCTGCGAAAACACCGAATAAGACAAGTGGAGGACTATTTATCTACAGTTTGGTTTTAGTCGCACTCTTTGTCACAATTCTAGTATTACGATTTTTGGAAAATGGGAAAAAATCAGAACATTCGCTTAGTAGAGTCGTTATTTATTTGCATATCATGTGTTACGTTGCTATTTTTTTCGCCAATATTTATTCAAATTGGTTCAATTCAAAAAGTTTCATTCGGAATTTAATCAGATTGGAGTTTTTTGACTATCAGATAAAACCCGTGTTCGAAATTGATTATGATAAAATGAGAAATCGTTTCTATAAATCATTTGGTGTTTTTTGTGTAATGTTTTCTGTAGTGGCTACAATTGATTTTGTCGGGGAAATAATTCTGTCAAAATTAGACTTAATTATTTGGATTTCGTTTTATTTACCTTTCATTTATAATTACTTCGGGATTTTCATAATTTTTTCAATTTTATTTCTGATAAACGAACGTTTTAATTGTTTAAAAACTACCTTAATTAAAATGTTGCGTGGAGAAAGCTTGCTTGATTTCAAACAATTCACCCATTTATTTGTGGAATTGAACGAAATTTGTGATTCAATGATTGTGAATTTTTCGTTACAAATTGCAACAACATTTCTTATGGTTTTTGTTAATATAACAACAAATTTGTATTTGATGTTAAAAATTAAATTGAGTACGATTCATTATGTCATGAATATTAATTTTTTTCTCGTACATTTGGGTCAAGTAATTTTGATTATTTTTGTATTTTATTTGACAAATAATAAAATTCGAAAAATTGTCTCACTTTCACCCAGAATTTTTTCGATCCAAGGTAAAACAAAAACTAATCTTAAAGAAGTAAGTTTTTGTGTCATAAATAATTAAGTTTAATTGATATATATTTTTTTAGCAAATTGAGTGTTATTTTTTGATTAAAGAAAATTGTGCTCATATGAGTGTTTTCGGAATGTTTCATTTGGATCCTTCTGTATTACTTTCCGTACGATTTTTTTTTTTTGAGATTCTCAATTCGAATTTTATTTTTTTTTACAGATGGGAGCTTCAATTGTGTCATATTTAATCATTCTGATCCAATTTACCGACAGTATGCCCTCTGAAGCTAAGATAAGAAATTATCATGAAAGTACCTTGCGCATAAGAAACAATTAAATTTCTCCCATACTTGCAATTTTCACTAAACTCAATGTCATGTTTACCAAACTCAGCACAATTTGAATCACGGTCGCACAAAACGTGCCTCACATCACTCAAACTCCTTATAAAAAAAAAAACTTTCCAAAAAACTAGTCATAAGCTCCTCAACAATGCCACCACTGATATCTCTCCTCTTGGTCCTCACGATCCTCCAGGTAAAATTAGTAAAAATCTCAAAACCAACCAAACTCAATTGGATTAATTTCAGGTCAATTTAGTGTCCTCCCAAGACCTCAAAACGATTTTTCGCACCCCAAACAAACGCAATTATGACGAATTCGAAATCCTCGAACGTTCCAACTTCGAATCGGACAATTCAGATTTGAAAAATTACCCCGAGAAACCTAAATCGTATGCAAATGCCCAAATTTTGCTCAGAATTGGTGGAGGAGAAAAAGATGGCTGTGCTTGTGGTAACAATTGCAAGTGTTGTGGTGGAGGAAATTGTCCTTATTGTCCTCTGTGTTTATGTCTGCCGCCTTGTTACCCCTACTTACCCCATCTACTTGCTCAACCAATCAAACCAGTCGATGATATTCCCCCACCACCAAAAGAACTACCCCCACCACCAAAACTCAGCGAAAATGAACTAAACGAAAACGTTGTTGATGAAATAGGAGAAAATGTCAAAAATGAACATCCTATCATTTTGGATACTGTGAAAATACCAGATGAAGCCATAAAACCGATTGATGACCTTGAAAGGTGTCTCAAGGACGTGTCCTCAAAAATCGATCCAAAACAAGTGTCACCAAATGTCAAATTCATGGCTTTGGATTTAAGTAAAGTACCGAAAAATGCTGACAACACGCGTGACCTTGAAGAGTCACTTATTCCCTATTTGGGAAGTGGCCAGGTCCGTCCTAAGCTTTTAGTGACTCATCCGATTTTTAATAGACCTCAAAGTGATGTGGTACCAGTTGTGAGTGGATACAAATTTTCTGAAGGTTCGTGGTACTATTCCGATCCTGTTAAAAGTGTAGAGTACCAAAAACCACCAATTTTGACAGTTTTGGGGCCACAAAAATTAGTAAGGTATTTGGTAGTACCAGTGACTGAACCAGCAGTGGTACCACACGACGAGGATTGCTGTTGTTGCAGTTGTGCGAAATATGTTGGGGAGTTGAACGAAAAAATGGCGTAATGTAGCACTATTTATTATTTATTGTTGGTAGTAGTATTTTTTTAATAGTAAAAAAAACCAAGTAAAACTTTTTGTGCATATTTTATATTTTGTTTTCCCTAAAAATCCCTAATTTGATTTGATTTGAATCACGACAATTAAAAACGTCACAATCGAATTCATGATTTGAAAAATTGTGGATCTTTCAATCGAAAAAAACCTCGCCGCTGAAAATTTCGGTCCATTAGTTAGTACAGTCTTTAAGAATTTTTCAAATTGTTTATTTTCGTAAAAAATCGGGTCTACGTGGAGCATTTTGTACAGTTTCTTCCTGATTTCTTCATTTTCACTAACAATAGCATCACACAAGAAAATTACCCAAAAAATCAAACCCTGAAAAAATCTCAAAGTGAAAATTTTTACCAGAGTCGGACTTACCCAAAACAAGCCTATAATTCCAATTTGGGTTAGCTTCATCAAAATCAAAATTGGCGAACCAGATGACCAACTTTTAGTGTTTTTTATCAATTTATTGAGATAAATGAGACTTTTCGACGAATTGTAAATAATATTCAAAAGAATTGTTCCACCGAAAATTTCACAAAACGTATCAACGGTTTGTTTTAATCGTAGTTGGTCGGTTTTGATTTGGTGCCAAGTTTTTTGAATGTGAAGTGTGTTTTTAAAGTGTTGATACCTCAAAAGAATCATTTTGAGGACAATCGGAGCAAACAACAAGTAGAAAAATTGAGTGAAAATTTGTACAAACTCAACGAAATAATAACGAATGCAAGTGTACCAATCGTCTAACTGAAAACAAACATAAATAATGCAAGAAATAATTACAAAAAATGACACATAAGTCACGATAAACGTACAATAGAGAAATTTATACTCGGATTGGTTAATCCTAAACTTGGCTTTTTTCAAATTTGCGATTAAAATAAACCAAAATTTGCGTTTCAAAATCATTACAAAAATAAAAATGTAGAGATTGTGAACATAGCGAATGACATCAGTGACAATCCACAAAACTAATTCAATGGGATTCACATAAGATAGGTATTCCGCCCAACAAAATTGTAAAGCAGCAGCGGCACCAACCGTAAAAAATAAAAACACTGAAATAGTGTAATTTCTTTGCCACAGTGACACACTATAATTATGGAGAGTTGTTGGTGTCAGGGCTAAAATTTTTCCAATTTTGAAAAACTGGTGAATAATATTTAGATCCATTTCAAGCTAAAAACACTCTGATGAATTCCGTCATAAATAAATGATGAGTAAACAGCACGTATTTGGAAATAATAATTAGAGTGTAAACTAAACTATTTAGGGAATTTTGGTTTGTTGTGTACTTTGATTAAATTACGAATCAATAGCACAAACGATGTTTATTTAGTTTAACAAAGTGTCTGTTTTATGAAATGGACGTGAAAAAAATTCGATTTTTTTTCAATTTTGGTAAAGTTTTAGCTGTTACACCTTCAAATCTGAATAACCGAAAGCGAAGATGGAGTCAAAAATTGTATTTTTTTGTACTCGTTGTGTTATATACAGGGGGTGTCATAAGTTCGCAATTTTTCCGTAATTATAGCAAGTCAAAAGCTTGCGAAATGGCCCTGAAATATTTTAAAGATATCATCCGCCACTGTCACACTTTTTACATTTTGGGGCCTTTAACACTGACCAAACGCCACCACTGGTTCAAATTGATCCGAATTTTGCAAAAAAATGACGTTCCAGGACCGAATTCGAATTTTTCATGGGGCTTTCTAGCCTGGCATTGCTTATTTATCACAATTATTGTGATATGGACCCGGCTCTGTTTTCTACTTCTTGGTTTAAAATTCCTCCATATGTATTTCATCGAATATTTCCAATTATATTTTCAAATGTTTTTCATGTTTTTCGCTTGCGTTTTGCTTGAAATGTTCCGAAAAAGATACGAATTGAAAAAAATCGAGTTGGATCAAATGACTCAAAAATCACACTTGTTTCAATTCAAAGTTGATATTTTTCGTTTAGCTGCAGGAATCGAAACTTTTAATAAAATTTTCGGACCTATGATTATTCTAAACATTTTTTACATTTCCGATATGTTTCTTCTTTACATCAATGGTTTGATGAAGACTAGAAAACACACACTTTCATCAGAAGTCTATTTTCTACTACTTTTGTACCGGATTGGAGTTATTGTGTTTTATTGGGTGCGAGAAAGTGCGAAAAAAATCGTACTAATTTTGATTTTTAGTTTCATGTGGTCGCAATGGCAGTTTTGGCCGATTCAATTTCGAAGCAATACGAAGAAATCATTCATTTAGCAAACAAATTACAATTAATTTCGAGGTTTGAGACTAAAATACAGCGAAGAAATGTCGAAGATTTTGCAAAGTTTGTCCGAAAAAAGCAACCCGAAATAAATGCAGCCGATTTTTTTGTTCTGAAACGATCAACCATTTTCAACATTCTGAATTTTGTTACCTACTTTCTTGTAGTCATAATTCAATTTAAATAAATGAGAAATACAAATAACTTGTCATTATTTTAGCCTAATTCAGCCTGTAGAAGAGTGATTTATTTTTATTTTCAATTTAGTTATTTATTTGAGACAAAAAGAGTAGAAAAATTTAGCCATTTATTGAAACTCAATCACGACAACAAGAAAGTAGATAGTAAAGTTCAAAATGGTGAAAATTGTTGCTCGTTTAATAATAAAAAATTCATCGGCATTGATTTCAGGCCGATTTTTTCGCAGAAACTCGATGAAATCTTCAACGTTTTTTCGGTCCATTTTCGTCGAAATTAAAAAAAATTTGTTCGCCAAATGAATTATTTCGTCGTATTGTTGTGATATCGAGTCGGCCCGAATAGCAATTACGACGACATGAAGCTGCAAATAAAAATTATCACACATTTTTTTCACACTTTTTCGTTACCCAATAAAACGTAATTAGTCCAATTCGATACACAACCAACCAAATATAAACATCAATCGATTTTTGACTCTTAATCAAACTGTTGACGTAGAGAAGAAACAAATCGGAAACGTAAAAAACGTTTAAAATAAACATGGGTCCAAAAATTTTATTAAAAGTTCCAACTCCTAAAGCTAGTCGAAAAATATCAACTTTAAATTTTTCGTGTGATTTATTCGACCAGAATCGAGTTATTTGACCCAATTCGATTTTTTTCACCTCGTACCTTTTCCGGAACATTTCGAGTAAAACGCAAGCAAAAAACATGAAAAATACTTGAAAATACAGTTGGAAATATTCGTATCCATGCGTTTGGATTAGTTTTAGGCCAAGTAGGAGAAAACAGAGCCGAATCCATACCACGATAATTGTGATAAATAAGCAATGCCAGGCTAGAAAGCACCAGAAAAAAATCGGATCCGGTCCTGATAAAGTGTCATCTTTTTGCAAAATTTCAAACAATTTAAACCAGTGGTGGCGTTTAGTCAGTGCTAAAGGTCCCAAAATGTAAAAAGTGTGAGAGTGGCGAAGAAAATCCTTGAAAAGTCTCATAGCCAATTCACTAGTTGTTGATTTGCTATAATCTCGAAAAATTTGCGAACTTATTGCACCTCCTGTATATAACACAATGATTGCAAAAAAATAGAATTTCTGGCCCAAAGTTCGCTTCCGGTTATTCAGATTTGACGGTGTAACAGCTAAAACTCTACCAAAATTGAAAAAAATCTGAATTTTTTTCATGTCCATTTTATTCACACACAAACAAACAAATTATTTTCATATTTGTTCTTTTATAAGTAGAAAAGTTTGAACCAAGTTCTTGTTTACATTCTCATTTATTCAATAGTTCAATAAATCAATTTTTTATAATAATTAATAACCTAATATGCATTAATATAATTGGTTGAAATTCTCTGAGGGAACTAATCAGTAGAAATTTTGATTTTGTTTGTTCATAATTTATTTATAGGTCAGTTTTTTGAATCATCAAGTCAGAGTGATTCCGAGGTGAAATGGATTTAAACATGATTGAAATTTTTTTCAAAATTGGGAGATATTTAGCCCTGACACCGACAACGACCCATAATTTAAAAGTAACCTTTTCGCAAAAAATTTACACAATTTTAGTGATTACATTTTTTACGGTTGGTGTCACTGCTGGGTTGCAATACAGACTGGAGGATTATATAAGTTGGCCTCCTATGGTAGCATTCTTATTTATTGTCACTGATGTCACTCGGTACTTGCACAATCTCTACATTTTTATTTTTGTTATGATTCTAAAACGAAAATTGTGGTTTGTGTTAATCGCAAATTTGAAAAAAATTAGTATTGAACAATCTCTGTTTTTTTATTTTGCTGTTACGTATTTTTGTTATATTTTAATTTTTTCTTGTATTTTTTTCGTCTTGTATAACACTATTGACTTGCACGATTTCGTCCGTTTATATCTCGTTGAGTTTGTCCAGATTTTTACTCAGTTTTTCTATTTGTCCTTTGCTCAAATTGTCCTCAAAATGATTCTTTTGCGGTACCAACACTTTAAAACCACACTTCACACTCAAAAAACTTTGCACCAAATCAAAACCGACCAACTGCGATTAAAACAAACCGTTGATACGTTTTGTGAAATTTTCGGTGGAACAATTCTTTTGAATATTATTTACAATTCGTTGAAAAGTCTCATTTATCTCAACAAATTAATCAGGACCTCCTCCCAAATTTCGTCTTCCACTTCCCCAATTTTAATTCTAATGAAACTGACCCACATTGCAATTATAGGCCTATTTTGGGTAAGACCGATAGTGGTTAAAATTTTCACTTTGATATTTTTCCAGGTTTTGATTTTTTGGGCGATTTTCTTATGTGATGCGATTGTTAATGAAAATGAAGAAATAAACAAACTGCTCCAAACTGACCCGATTTTTCGCAAAAATAAACAATTTGAAAAATTCCTGAAAACGGTACTAATTAATAAGCCAAAATTTTCAGCAGCGAGGTTTTTCTCAATTGATAGATCGACAATTTTCCAAATCATGAATTCGATTGTGACGTTTTTAATCGTTGTTATTCAAATCAAAATAGATTAAAAAACTGAAAAAAATTATTTTGTATTTTGCACAAAACATCACACACCGGATCCACTTAAAATAAAACACTAAATCTCTTTGCTTAGTTATTTTGTTGTCATTCAATAAATTATATGTAATTGTATGATTTTGTAAAGAGTCTTGCCACTACACTAGCTGAAAATAACCCAAATGGATCACAAAATACTCAAAAACATTTTTTTAATCGGAACTCCATTTGGACTAACCCAAAAACTTTATACGATTGTTTTTTTTTTACTTTACAATGTTGGCATAATTGTAAAGTTACAAGCACGTCAAAAATCACATTACTGGACAATATCCCCGATGCAATTCGTTTTGAGGCTACTTCTAAATTGTAATTTGTATTTTCACAATTTCTACGTTTTCATAATATTGGGACTTAGAAAACGAGATCAATTGAAAAGTCTCGTCACAAACTTGAAAAAAATCAAACTTGGTGGACTATCACAATATCGAATAATATTTTTCAGTTCATATGTCACAATAACAATTGTTTTAAGTTTGAATTGTTACATTTGGTGGACTAATTTCAAATTGGATTTTATCCGATTCTCTCTTATTGAATATTTTGAAATGTATACGCAATTTTTTTTCACACTTTTCGCCTATATAGTCCTTAGAATGATTCTGTTCCGATACAAATATCAAAAACAACTGTTAATGGAAGAAAATGTGATGAAAAAAATCACAAATTTGACTCTACACGATATTGAGATTAATTTAGTGATTTTGAGACGTACAGTTAATACCTTCAACGAAATTTTTGGTTGGACGATTTTATACAATATTTTTTGCGCTGCTATTAAAACTTTAATATATCTCGATATCGCAATTAAGAATTACACAACCTATGTCACCCATAGTACATCACAAATTGTATCACAAAACATTCTCCTACTAGTTTATTGGGTGAGTTACAAATATCACATAATCAAGTTTTGTAATTTCGTTCCCTCAGGTTGGTATTATCGTTGTAATACGATTTTGTGACACTGTTACTAAAGAGTTTGACGATTTGATAACACTGATATACCGATATGAAAACTGTGAACTTGATTTGCTAATCGATAAAAACCAAATTTGTGAATTTATCAAAAATGTATCACAAAATCGACCCGAATTCACTGCTGGTCGATATTTTGTGATTGAAATGTCGTCGATTTTAAAGATTTTAGACTCGATGACCACTTTTTTACTCATTGTGATACAGTTTAAAGAGAGTTAGAAAACAAAACACTTATTTGGTTTCTCTTAAAAAATTCATTAATTACATATTTGTGAAACCCTCAATTACAGTGGAACAAAAACAATCGATTCTGTCAGCAAATCAGTCTAAAAATGGATCTCAACATAGTAAAAACCTGTTTCACAATCGGAAAATACCTCGCTTTGACTCCATCCTCGTTCAAATCGAAGAAAAACACCAATTTTGAAATTTTTTTCTCGATTTTAGTGTTCATTGTTTGCAATGTTGGCACCTTTGTCACACTACATTTCCGCAAAAGTCACTACATGAGACTAAAACCGTTGCAAGCCACACTTTGGTTGTTTTCAGATTTGACGCGTTACGGCCATTTAGTACACATTTTCCTAGTGTTGACCTGGCTCAAGCGCAAACACTGGTTTAAATTGGTGAAAAATCTGCAAAAGATTGGTACTCCTGTCGGAGAAGAAAAATACGATGTATCGATTTTTGTGTTTGCACATTTGTGGTTTTTTGTCATATTTGGCGGCATGTTTTATGCTTGTTTTACTAAATTAGGTTCGGAGTGTGTCAAATTGTACCAAGTGGAAAATTACGAGTTTTACAGTCAATTTTTTTACATGTTATTCGCGTGTTTCGTGTTAAAACTAATACTAAGAAGGTACAACTTACAAAAACGAAAGTTACTAGAAATGAAATTTGACATAATCAAATTGAGAAACGTAAAAAATGATTTAATAACACTTCGAAGGACTTTGGATGTATTTAATGACATATTTGGTGCAATAATTTTATGGAACACCCTATATATATCATCGAAATCCCTAATTTACCTTGACAACATCACAAAAAAAGAGTTGGCGTTTACAAAAACAAGCCCAAGTGATAATATTTTGTTTTATTACATTGAATGCGGAATAATGTTAACATTTTGGGTAAAAAAAAATCCCTAACTACACTAATAACTATACAAAATGTGTTTTTAGGGCCCAATTGTAACGATTATTATTTTGTCTCAACGAATTTTGACTCAATTTGGCACTATTTTAAAAGTGTTTGATGGAATTGATTTGAAAAAAATTGACGGAAATACCAACCTGAAAAGAATTATCCAAGACGTGGTAAATAACCGGCCCAAAATCACTGCTTCTCGTTTTTTCCGAATCAACAAATCATTACTTTTCAAAATTGTTAATACTTTTATCACTTTTTTTCTTGTTTTGGTAGAATTTCAAATAAATTAAATCAATTCAAAAAAAACATTTATTTATTTCAAAAATATTTTAACATTAGTTTATTTGAAATATCCAAATAATCTTCAACTTCTTCAAAGTGGCACCCCAACTGTAAGAAAAATTTCACCATAACCGTTACAGATTTCTGTACATTTAGGGTACCAAAAATTTCAACAAAAGTACCAAAAATCGGGTACCTATTAACACGTGACATGTCTAATAGTACCTTACAATTATTTTTATCACTTAGGTAATGTTCTCCTGAGCAGTAGTTGTACATTCCTATGATTCTTACTTTGTTATTTGGGGGTAAATTATCAGGCAACATTTTGATTTCGCGAAAGTAATAAATATTGAGGGCCCTTGGTGTTACTTGACTTTGTAGTGATGACACTTGAAACATTTTTTCTATTTCTGCGTGAGTAGAATGTTTTTCTGACTTTGGTAACCCTGAAATGAAACAATTTCTATTAAAATCACTTTTTTGACGATTTTTAACAGCAAAACATGTTTACGAAATCTCTAATTTAGTGTAATTTCCACTAAAAAGCTTTTTTATTTCTCAACAATAATCAACAACACTTAATGTTTATCTTTGTAATGCCTATAATCGTGCATCGATTTGACGATATAAACAAATTATTTTTCCAAGTAGAACCTTGTAATCCACCATGAGCCACCACTTATTCGAATTGTTTTTCAATGTTGGAAAATTTCTATCATTAACGCCGTCCTCGACCAATAATCAAAATCCATCATGTGTGCAAAAACTCTACGAAATTTTCATTTTTCTCGCATATGCAAGTGGACGTATCTTTTTGATTATCGTTTCAAAGGAAGAAATTTTCGCAAATTTGACATCGATACGTCTCGTTTTGGGTATAATGAGTATCACAAACCAGTTTTTCTTCATTTTCTACATTGTGATAATTGTAATGAGATGGAAACGACAATGTTGGTTCAAACTCATTCAAAATTTGGACACGATTCAAGACACGACGCGTTTGAAATGGTATTATATCACAATATCAACAGCTTTCACAGTGTTCATTTCGCTGGAGATTTATCACATTTATACCCTCCTCGAAGAGAAAGGTTTAGAAAGCTTGAAACTGTACTTTTTGGCGGATTTTGAAAATTATGTCACTTTTTTCTACTCTCTTTTCATTGTTGTGATACTCGGAATAGTGTTGGCGAAATATAAACAACAAGATGTGACTCTAGTTCAAATCACAAAAGCTAAAAATTTACTCTACTCGAAACAAATCGTCACAATTTTAAAGAAAACCAAATCCAATATTTTTATCTTGAAAGAAATTGTTGATACTTTTAATGATATTTTCGGATGGATCATTTTATGTAATATATTCGAGGCGGCTGCAAAAAGCCTGATTTACATCGACATGATAATCAAGAAAAATGTGACTCAGCAAAATAGTCAAGATTTCATTTTTGAAAATGTGTGGCTTTTCATTCTTTGGGTATTTTATCACAATATCAAAACGAAAAATCACAATATCGTTTCAGATGGGCATTCTAGCAACGATTTTTCTCTGCGATACAATTTTAAAAACAGTTGAGGATATCCTCTCACAAGCGTACAAACTCGAAGCCTCCTTTGATGACCTTGCAACGTACGAAACCGACGAAGTCCAAATTTTCATCGACGTAGTCCAACATAATCGTCCCGAATTCAAAGCAGCGAGATTTTTTTCCATCGATCGATCAACACTTTTCAGTGTTTTGAATTCACTTACAACATTCCTACTCGTAATGATCCAATTCAAAGAAAATTAACTTTAATTTATTTGACTTGTAATTCCCCGAAAATAACAATTGACGACAGTTGTTCCAAAATGGACTTACAAGTAGTCGACTTGATTTTTAAAGTTGGCAAAATTTTCACAATAACACCGTCTAGTTTAACACAAACGAGTCCAAATAAAATTTACAGTTGTTTTGTCATTGTTATGTACATTATTGCCACGTCTTTGACGTATAAAATCAGTCACGTGACGTATAAACAATTGACAAACGTTCAGTACATATTGGCAATGCTGTCACTCGTGGTGGTGTACACGCACGATTTTTACGTTTTAATTTTTTTGAGATTTGTACGAAATTTCTGGTTGAACTTGTCGCAAGGCCTTATGAAGGTCAAAAGTACACGCAATCACAAAAAAGTCCATTATTTCTGGTTCGTAACGTCACAATTATGTCTATTATTTGAGTGCGTATTTGGACTCGTGTACTATATCTATTTTACTAATTATCAATTGGGTTTTTTAACACTAGTCAATTTTTTTCGTCGATACTTTCAAATTTTTTTTCTAACATTGCGTTGTATCCTTTTGGATATTATTTTGGGTAAATACAGACAGCAATTATGGACGCTCGAATCTAAAACACCACAAGTAGAAAAAGTTGGACGCGATTTGTACGTCTTAAAGAAAACTGTAGATGTTTTCAATGATATTTTTGGATGGCCGTGTTTTACAAATATTTTTTCTGCTTCTATCACAATGCTAATAACGCTTGATGTTTTTATTAAAAGTGACGGACATTTTACGTATACGAATACCACGTCTGAAAGACTCGATCAGATGTTTCACATGGTGGGAATTTGTTCAAATTGGGTAAATATTTCAATTTTTGTTTTTTAGAAATTTAAAACTTTATTTCTAGATTTGTATCACAATCAATATTTTACTCTGTGATGCGGTTTTGAAAGAATTTGATAAAATTTCACTCCTTGTAAATGAATTAAAATTTAAAAAAAATCGGTTTCGTCACAAATTCAATTCTCTGAATCGAATTATTTTACATAATCGGCCTGAGTTTAAAGCGGCCGATTTTTTCTCACTTCAAAAATCCACGCTGTTTAATATTACATACAGCATTACCAATTTTCTATTAATCATGATACAGTTTAAGTCAACTTGACTTGACATTTAAACAAAAAAAAAATCAAAATTGAGGAACTTTTATTTCATATTCCACGTAATGGCACTTAATACATTATTACAAAAATACTTGTATAAAAATGTAATTATTAATTATCACTCCTAAAACACTCGTGCGAGCAAAACAACTTCCCATTCCTGAACAACAACTTGGCCCCCAACAACGGTTTTTTACAAACCGAACAACAAAAACACTCTTCAGCTGTATGAAAATGTATTCCTGGTGCCAGTGTCAAGCCTTCTTCATCCGGTCGAATCACTCTCAAACAACTCGTACATTTATTCGCTTTAACTTTTTCAAAACACGGCAAACAAATCGGTTGCGAATCCTCAACAACATAATTCTGACCAGCTAAAGCTTCATCACATTCAAAACAACAAAAATGTTTCAAATGAAAAGTTGAATTCTCCGCCAAACAGTACTCCTTGACAAAAATCAATTCATCGCAAGCTTTACATCGAGGAATTCCACGAATTTTCGCAAAATCACGCCCACAATACACATCACCGGATTCTTTATCATAGAAATAAAGCAAATCGGCCAAATTCTGATTACAACCAGCACATTTGAAACAACTATTGTGAAACAAATCGGTTGATTTCTCGACAAATATTGCAAATTCACCAGGTGCGAATTGTTTGCGACATTTTCGACAGTGTTTAGTTTCGATTTCGGGGACTCCCTCCTCCGGGGTTGAATCTTCAGTCTTAATGTCACTTTTGACATCCGAAGTGTATGTAATATCGCGAATTGAGCCGATTTTCACCGAATTTGGTACTAATTGACTTTCTGGAACGTTTAAAAGACTTGGATTGTACTCAGGGAGAGTTTTGTTTGAATTTGGATCGGTTTTGAATTTCGCGGGAACATTTTGATTGGTCACGTCACAAGCTAAATCCTCATTGGTTAAATTTGAATGGGGGATTAATTCGCGCGCAAAACGCCCCAAAGACGTTTCCGGAGACATAAATTGTGCGTTATTGTCGGAATTTTCCAAATTAGGTGAGTTAACATAACCTAATTTTTCCGCATGAACTGTCATATTGTGAGGTTTGGGGATTTTATCGAAAAATGCGTCTAGTTCCTTTTGATCTTTCATTGATAACTTGTCAAAGTGTTTAGGTAATAATTGGACGGTTTCAATGGCTGGAATTGTTTTAGGGATTCGATCAGAGACAATTTTAGCATTGGGATCCCCCCCCAAGTGGTAATTGCCGTAATTGATACCAAATTGTATGATTTGCCCCACACCAGCGCTCCCTTTCATATGTTTAATGTAATCTTGCATTTGATTCAATTCGGAATCGGTCAATTCGTGACAAAGACTTGGATCTAAATCATGAATCGGAATCTGTTTTTGGAGGAGTTGTTTCCGTTCTTGGGCGGCTTGAGACCCCTTCACTGGTAACATCTCAGGTGCCACAGTCTTCAAATACCGATCAATTGTTTCACTATTGCCCTTAGGGGCCCACTCCAACTCCACTTCATCCTTTTTCCCCGGCAAAACTACGAAACAATATCAAAATCGGAGTCTCACAAACCCACCAACTCACCAATTTTCCGTTTAGTCCTCGTTGGTTTACTCCCCAATAATTGGAATTGAGCCCAACCGTAAATATCATCGTCGTGGACGTCATGATCCTCCTTCGAACACTTGCAATTCTTGCAGATTTTTCGCCAAAAATGCAAGTCAAGACCGGGGCACTTATCGGAACATGTAATACAAGGGGCACCGGCGCCTGCTTCATGACCCAAACGGGCTTTTAGACGGATTTCACGCTTTTTTTCAAGCTCGGTGAGCCAATTTGGGGCGTCACATTCACTCATGGTGCACGATTAGATAAAGGGGGCGATGAGTCATCCCCCCGGTGATGACGTTTGACAAGTCTTTGGTTAAAATTTGGGGGATTTTCACGAATTGGGAGGACAAAAGGGCGCAAATGGGGTGGTTGCGGACCGCGTAGGCCTGAATTATAACCAAATTAAAAAACAAACAAAATGTCAAAAGTGAGGTTATAGATAAATGACAGTTGACATTTTTTAAATAAAATTATTTTCTCATAGATAAATTATGATAAGTAACACAATGTAGCGTTTTATTATGAGTACTTACCAAAAATCTAAAAGTAGATTGGTATTCTTATTTTCAATGCACTTATATTGACAAAAAAATCAATCAAACATCAAACAAAAATAACATAAAAAGGACCAACCTAAACATCATAGACAAAAAATTCCCCATGTGAAAAGAAATGAATTTTCATCGTAAATTTTTAAGTACTGTTCCCTACGCTTGTTGTGCTTTAAAATTGCACGATTGGTGGCAATATACCGTCTTAAAATGAAACTTAAATAAATATTTTATATTTCGTTCCATAGCCATCGCCACAATGGCAACGTCGCAACTGCATTTTTAATTTTTTTTTAATTTTTTTTAAATTAAAAGAGATCAGAAATATTTGATTTCTGTGTAACTGTGTTGTAACTGAACCCTATTGAAAAATTTTGAGTCAAAAAGTTCCACTTTTTCATACAAAAAAAAAACGTGAAAAGTGGCAGCAGTGGCGATGGCTGTGGCACGACATACAGGATGCCCCAGAACTCGCGCCCCAGAGAAAATTTTCAAGTTAGGTAAGATACCAGGAAGATGAAAAAAAATATTTAAAAAATTCTATCTGTCAAAAAATTTTGACATTTTTTTGACATTTGATATTTTTTTATATCTATTTAATGATACTGATGATCTTGTATATGTTTTTTTTACAATTATTTAGTAAAGGGACAAGAATTTTGCCAATAAAAGACACAAATAACATTGAACAGAATTACAATTTAGGATACATCTTCCTTATTTCCTGTTTTAATAGCCTATAGCAAAAAAACTTGGAAAATTATTTTTCCAACAGAAATAAATAGAGTCAAAGTGCAAACTTTAAACCCTCATAACTTCGAAATCTTTATAGATAAAATTTTTTTAACATTTTTTCCATGTTCCTGATATCTCACCTTATATGACATTTTTCTCTGGGGCGCGAGTTCTGGCGCATCCTGTATATTTTTTTAAATTTTTTTATTCTGAGTAAAATTGAGTAAAACACAAAAATATAATATCTCGAGACTTTATTTTCGTTTCATTATTAAAATATCATAGCCCCTAAATAATTTTTGGCAAGAAAAGCCGATCAATACATTTCAGTTATTTAGTTTTTGTGTTGTTTTTCGTGTTCAGCGATGGTTTGTTTGACTTGAGCTTGTAAATTGTTGCTGACTTCAGCAATTTGGTTCAAGAGGGTTTGAGCGGCGTTTTGGATATCAGTTTTGGCTTCTGTAATAGAAAAAAAAAAATGAAAATTGAATAAAATTGTGTGATAAATCCACAAGTTAGTGTGATTAAAAGTGTCACACTTAAGTCTAGAGTCCAAAAAAATGCCCAAAATTTGGGGTACCAAGTGGTACTATTTCTGGTGTTGGTAAATGTAATTTGGGCACTTACTGGTCGCATCAGGTTCGACAGCCTTGACCAATTTCTCAACTTGAGCAACAGCAGTCTTAAGTCCATCATCCAAATTCTTTTTAAGTTCTTTGGCTTTGGCAGTGGCTTCAGGTCCTGCTGCTTGTTGCAAAGTGGCCGCAGTTTCGCTCAATTTCTGTTCAACTTGCTTGATAACATTATCAACTTCAGGTTGGTGTGCTTTAACTTCACTTTTGAGTTTATCGACGATTTCTTGCACATGATTGGCCAAATTCTGGGTATTTGTGTTTAAAACTTCAACAATCTTTTTCGAGTCAGGGAGCTCTTTGATGCCAAGAGTTTGTGTGACATTATTGACCAAAACTTGCGTTTGGGCAGTTAGTTCTTCCAAAGTTGATTTTTCTTGTTGTTTGGCTTTGGGTTTGGCCCAAGCGCCCTATAAAAAAATTTGAGAAAAAATTTCAAAAATTATTTTTGGTACCTGGAGGGCGACGATAGCGACGATGAAAACGAAGATTTTGGCCATTGTAAAAGTTGTGAAGTGACTGACTAGTGAGTAGTATCGACGAGAGCTTTTATAGAATGCCCTCTTACCACCCGGACCTTTACCACCTTGACCTCTCGTGGTTGGTTATCGCTTATTTGCACAGTGCGGGGAAAATTCGGAGTATGCACTTGAGTAAACACAGACTGTGGAAAAATTCATCTCCAATTTGGGTCAATGAATCAAGGAATAAAAAATTGGGAAGACGAGGGCTCGAATTGCGGTTTTTGGCTCGACTACACACGAGGATTGGGTCAAAGCCAATTTTGCAAGAATTTACCGGTTTTAGCTCAATTACGAAAAAGTAAAAATATTCCGAAATAATAAAAAAAATTGACTAACTGTCACAAATGAATTTGTTATCTCTGAAATGAATCATCGGTGCCCAAATTTGTTATTTCAATTAATTATTTCTATTATCATTTAAGGATGCTGACTAATACGGTATTGAGACCCGGATCGTGTGACTTGTGTACAAAAAAAAAAACGTAAACAATAAACAAACGATAAAATACTTTTACATAACTAACGACCTTTGTACACATTTCTTTGTACGTCAATCAGATTTTAGTAAATTCTCAAAATCGGTGATAATCAAAGGTCAGGAAACAAGGATACGTTTCATTAAAAACATTTATTATCGTTTATGTAATTACAAAATGTGCTATAATTTAGTTGGTTTTTGTCGAATTTTGAAGTTTGGCGACTAATTGTTGGCCCTGAGTTTGGATTTGTTCACTGAGACTCTTCAAAGAAACAGACACGTTTTGTACAAGCTCATTATTCTGAAAATGAAATAACAATTTGCAGAAAATAAAAAAAATTGTGACCACTCTACTAATTGGTCAATTTTAGCCTGATTTCATGTGTCACACTTATAAGTTAAAATCTTGAAAATTAAAGCCCCATTTACAAAATTAAATGTGACCCACCTTTTCAGGCTAAAATCGTCTGCTGAATTAGTTTCATCACAAGTTACCTGAATGTTTTTTACTAAGTCGTCAAGACTCGACTTGAATGATTGAAGAGTGTCTTCGATGGTTTGTTCGGCGGTTTTCGGGGCGTCGGCGACGTCGCGACGGATAACCGTGGCGCACGATTCCCACATTAAAACCTGTGTGAAATTTTCAGTTTATTTAATCTTTATTCTTGAAAACTTACTTGAAAGACCACCAACGCGGCTAAGAAGACAAATGCGAAGCGAGCTGCCATTTTGTGTGTCCTTATCGAGTCTATACCAAACACTGAAACAAATTTGTTATCAAAGCAACTCTTTTATAGTCTTCCATGCGCCCTGATGCTCAAATTCGTGATAAAATTCCGCCGTTTTTTGGAAATTTTTACTTCAAATTGCAATTATTCATCTTTGAATCGTAAGATTTTTATTTCAAACAAAAGGGACAGTTGTGGGGTCAAACATACCTACGTTTCGTCGTAGAGGACTTGTTGACTTGAACTTCGAACTCTTCTTGATACTGATAACCATTAACTTATTAAGTCTATTTATTAATAGTATTTGTTCAGTTATCATAGAATTAGTGCATCAAACTAATAATTGTTATGTACGTCACGTCCCAACTTGATTGACTTTAAAACAACGCCAATAGAAACTAAAACGTGATGAAAATTATTCATTAACATGAAATCAGAATTGTTTTCTCTCTTTGAATCGAAAAGAAACTTTCAACAGCATCATAAATCATTCAATCAGATTGAGCTGCGATGTTTGAGGGGTCACAAGCCCATATTTACTTTTCAAGGTCATCGATTACATTTTCAAACTTGAAAATTACAACGCGGAACAGCGCTTTTTCAACAAAAAAAATAATGTGTATTATTGGTTGCATAAGGTACAATTAATTTTTTTAGTTGGGTGTTAAATAATAGAAGTAATTAAATGTTGTATATGTAGTTGCATAACTTTAATTTTTTACCGGATATAATCAATTAATTCAATTACAGTGAACATTTGTCATTTCAAAAAAGAAAAATTTCAATGTAAGCCACGCTTTATTGTCATTATGATTGACGTTTCAAGCTAAAATTTGAAACTTTTAGTTGAAATTTATTTTTGGGGTCAATTTTCCGAACAAAAATGCCGGCAATACGTATTTTTATATAAGTTTTCTCTATTTATCGGGATACAAACTACAAAAACCGAAAGTGAGGTTAGTTGCCTAAGGCCCGTTTTACATTTTTATGTCCGAAAAAAACCCTTTTCTGTTTAAAAATTTATTGAAAATCTACAGGAAATAAATACAGTTAATCTACAATTGCACTACCAGGACCCCCATTGCCTGTCTATCCTTTGGTTGGGCATATTTGTATAAAAGAACCCAGCTTGTGGTGTCAGCCATCTTGATTTGATCAAATCGCTCCCTTTCTCTGCTATCATAATACACGGGGCATTGGTGTTTCCGGTTGTAACCGCTGGCATAACACTCGCATCGATAACCCTTAACCGATCGATACCATGGACCTGGAGCATTGGATTAACGACGGCCATGGGGTCGCTAGATGGTCCCATTTTGCAACTGCCAGCTTGATGGTTCTCAGGACCGGTTTGGCGTTTTACAGCACATTCCCAGTATGGGTCGGTGCCAAAAGCAAGGGATTCGCAGCCCTGGACCGGTGTCCGGTCGAGTTGGAAGCCGTATCTTTTCAATGCTGGAAGAAAATCAAACGATTTTAACACCAATCGACTAATTAGGTCATTTTAGTCTGAAATGATGGGTCACACTTGATATTTTTTGTTAAGTTTACAAATTGAAAAACTGGAACCCTGGATTGGTACCACGAAAAATGTCAAGTGTGACCCGGTTTTTCAAATTAGAATTGTCAGGTACCTTTTGTTTCTGATAATTTCATGGCAAATTTGATTCCTTCGATTATGACCTTAACGTCATTCGGATGCGTGAAATAATTGGCGTAAATCAGAGGGGTGCTAAGAGGGTTGTTATCTCTCAATTTTAATACTCCGCGACTTTTTGGGTGCAAGACTGTCGGAATCATTTGAATTTGACGAGTACCATTATCCACTCTCTCGCCTACTTGTCCAGTCCTTGCACAATTTGCCAAAAACCCTCCAAAGAAAAATTGAATATCGGGATGTTCCAGTCTTGGGTCGTTATATTTTGTGTTGATGAATCCAGTCACTTCGGAAATACCGGTACCACTCATTAACCCATCTCGAAAAAGGAGGTACTCCATGGCTGTGGCCCAGTTCAGAGGGGCACTATTCGTGTCGTTGATATTAAAATTGACGAAATGTGCGACATGGTTTTGAAGATTCTTGCCCACACCTGGGAGATGATGCACAACGGGCACGTTGACCTGTTGCAGGTCCTCCCGGGGGCCTATCCCACTCAAAAGTAGGAGTTGAGGAGAGTTGATTGCACCTAAAAACAAAACGGGTAGCAGCAAACGACTAGTTGGTCAATTGTAGTCTGAAATGATGTGTCACACTTATAACCCAAAGTGAGTTTCAAAATTCAAAATTTGGAACCACGTGGGTACCACTAATTACAATTATTAAATATATCAAGTGTGACCCATGTTTCCAGACTAGAATTTTCTGCTGAATCTTCTGGTGATAATAAAAATTATTTTTGACTTACCCCCGGATACTATAACCTCTTTACTCGCGTAAATGACTTGTTTGACTCCATTATTAATAACTTCTACTCCATATGCCTGTTTGGTGGTTGTATTAATCAAAATCCTAGTCACGGTTGAATTCATCAAAATACTCAAATTTCTTCGATTTTTAAACGGTCTTAGAAACGCTTTCGCCGTACTTAACCTTGACCCATTTCTATTGGTTGTTTGTGCAATATTAAACCCGGTATGATATGCCCCATTCAAGTCTCTGATTGGGTACCCTAACTCTTGCGCCGCCTTAAGCAACGCCTGTGATAGTGGGGGGTGATAGGGAAACTGCGACACTGTCAACAACCCCCCACTCACATGGTACCCTCTATCCATACTCTCCACTTGCTTATTATCCTCACTCTTGAGAAAATAGGGCAGTACTTCGTTATAACTCCACCCCTCATTCCCTGCCTTTGCCCAATCATCGTAATCCTTCCGCGATCCTCGGATATACATCATCCCATTCATCACCGAAGTACCACCCAGTACCTTCCCTCTTGGCCAATAGCACCTCTGCTCCGTTTCTGCCAGACACGCTGCCGGTTCGGGTTCCGTCTGGTACCCCCAATCAATTTCCGAACCAATAAAATTCAAAAACATCGACGGTACTTGAGTACCAGTGGGTTCATCTAAGCCTGCTTCGATCAAAAGAACATTCCATTCGGGAATTTCCGAGAGGCGACTTGCCACCACCGCCCCCGAACTACCGCCCCCAACAATAATAAAATCGTACTCGGGGAGAACAGGGGTGTTATGGGGGCGGCCACAAGGGTCTTCAAGGTCACACTGCGATCTCAGAAACACCTCCAATAGACCCATAAAAAGCATATATTGGGCACCACCACAAGTCGAGGCAAGAGTAGGCCCTGGTTGCGTCACAGGACAATTGCAAGCCATCTGAAACGTGATTGGACAATGAACTATTGACAGGTTAAGTGGTCGGTTTTTATGCTCTGATTCGGCTTTTGTTTTGTTGTTTTTCCGGTGTTAAAATTCTTATAAATTGGATTGTTTTGGTAGTGTCAGGAGTGCGTGCTTTCACTTAGAAAATTTGGAAATTACGCAATCGTAAACGCGTTGGCTGTGAAATGGAAGATTTGTGCGTTTTAGGTTAGGAAAATTATGGCGGCCGCAGGGGAGGCTTTTGATTAGATCATGGCCCCGGGAGGGGAAACATGTTAAAAAAGTAAAAGTAATGTTCGCATCATTTATGAAATGACTAAATTTGCATTTCATGATGGTGTCAGGCCAATTAAAGGCATACAGAAGATGTAAATCTTATGCAATAATTGGATAATGTTAAATTGGTCGTTAAATCACTTGTTAAGAATGTGCAAACAATTTAATAAAAATGCAATGTTGTTTAATTCGCAATTTCAAGTTTTATTATTGCATTATCACGATGATACCCAAGAAACTGTGAGGTTTATAGAGATAAAATCATTAAAATCAGAGTAGGCTAAGGTAAAATAGTCCATTAATGGACTATTTATGCACCTATAAACATTGTAGTTTTATCAACAAACATTTTTTTGGTACCATTTGACCTGTTGGTTCATTATAATCTGAAATGGTTCAAAATTCAAAAATAGGAACCAAAAGGCACCACTTAGTAAAAATGCACGTGTAGCACTGTTTGTCAAGCTGATTTTCTTTCAAAAATCGATTATTTGTCAGTTTAAGAAATTCTGAATTGGGGAACCAAAAATGGTACCATTACGTAAACTGTTAAAATTTGTCCAAATCATGTGATATAATTTGAACAGGCCTCGCCTTGTCAAATAATGAAAAAATTCCAAGTGGTCAAAAACCCCGACATGTATAAGGTACCAAAAAAAGTATTTAAAGAGAAACTGGTGCCTTTAATGACCCCCTCGGGGTAATCTCACAAGTCAACGGCACCAATCACGCAACAAAATCCATATCACTCCAGATTCGCCCAACTTTCACTCTAACCTCTATTCGTTTCAAGGTTACGTTTTAGATCACATCAACTGAACCAATTACGCAACAAAAGCGAATCGTGTGGGAACAATTACGTCACGGACGCGCGATTGTTCCTCATCTCACAATAAAAACACGGCTAACTTTCACTATGATTTCGGATTTTGGAACCCAAAAATTGGAACCCAAAAAATTTTTTTGCGACCTAGAATCAGCAGATTGGTTCAAGGTTTGCGCTGTGCCATTTCCGATAGTGAAAGAATGGAACCTTAAATTGATTCTTGTGTAACGCTTCGAAATATCAAGTTAACGGGTGATTACACGGCTTGCTTTGATGACATGTGTCAAATGACATAACAGCTCTATTTTTAAATGAACCGCCATTTTCTTATTTAATGATTGATTACCGGTTGGTGTAGCTTTCACGGTACATTTTTCAAGCTGTTTTTTTTTATTACGCAATTTGTTTTTTTTTTCTAATAAAGTACTTGATTTAAATCGCAAAAGGAAGAGCAACAATCGAAAGAACCTTGAAAGTACCTTTCCCTCGGTATTTGAGATGTTGAGAGATGCATTCATTGAAAAAAAAAAATGGAAACAGTAAGTGCAACACCAATAAAATTAAACGAGAAAAATTTTTAGAAAATTTTGGTACCACCAATTTTGAAAATTTTTGAAATAATTTTAGAAAATTGATAGTAGTGTGACCCATGATTTCAGACTGAAATAATCCAATTAAGAAAAGTGTTTACATTTTATTGAAAAAAAAAACGTTAGAGGATCAGTTAAACTTAATATTTCTTGTCATTTTGGTTTTACTTCAATAATTATTACCAATATTTACATAATTTTTTTTGATTGCAAATCAAATTAATTTTGAAGGAGGTTCTGGTAGAGTTCTTGCTACCAAACCGAGAAATTATTATTTAAATAACCAAAAAAATCGTGCTGAAAGTGTAAGTGAAAGCCATGGTACTGTTTGGGTTCTATTTTGGGGTGTCTACATTAATTTATAACATAATTCAGTGTTCACACAACCGTAAAATTTATGTGCGAAAACTTGACCTCTGTTCCACTCGACCGATTTCATCAATAAATTCAAGAAATTTGCTCGGTTACCAATGGGACATACCGTTCTCGATGATTTGCGTGTAATCCCAATGGGTCACAAGCTAAATTCCGGTAGAGCACTGCACTTTTGGTTCCGGATTTGCAATCACGAGAAAAGAACCGAACCGAGTTGAATGGTACGGTGCACTGGTTGTGGTCCAAAGACGAAGGGTATGGTAGTGGTAGAGTTATGGAGGTGGGCAATGCGGATTTAATTTGAGAAAGAAATGTTGAATAAAAAACCAAATTTATTTTTTATAGTTTTTTTTTAATAACTTGCTTATGATTAATCTGACAGTAAAAATATTTATTTCAATCAACTGAGCAGTTAATTCCAGTGTGGATCAATGTGTCACACTTGTATTTTTTTACAAGTTTAGTAAAGTCAAAATTTGGAACCATATTGGTTCCAAATTTTGGGTGGTACTTATCACCAAGTGTGACCCATGTTTTCACACTGAAATTTTCCGAGGGTTCGAATGGTAGTAATCAAAATTGTCTCAGGTGACTAAATGACGAGTTACAATGTAATAAATGTAAATTTAAGTGTTTTTGTAGCATTATATCAGTTTCTTGTTTATATTATTACAATTCTGGGATGAATGAACGTTCTCATAAGTAAAAGTTACGCCACAATTCTATAATTCAATATGAGAGACTGTGAAAAAAATTGCACGACACCCGGTTTAATTATATAATCATTTCTCACCGTTCTAATAACGAATTTGTGACATTTAATATTTATTATCAACTGTTATAATTACTATTACGATTTTTCAATCGATATCGTAAGCCTAAATGTCAAGTTTTATGTAACTGGTAATAACAGGTGGAACAAACGCCTTTTGCCATTGAAAAAATGTAAATTTTTACAAAATATTGTCAATGCCGATTAATTAACAAAAAAATATGTTGTCGGCTAATTACGCCGAATAATGATTAGTTAAGTTGCTATAATTATGAATACAAAGCTTCGTTTTGCTTGCAAAATACCAAAAATCATGCAAAATTGTGTAATTTTTAACCTTGATTCGATATAAACATTGGATTTTTTTTGTTTTATATTTAACCATTAGAAAAATTGTGTCGACCGGTTCAAAATACCGCAGAATTATCGGATTTTAATTATGAAACTTGAACTGAATCCATAATAGGTGTCATTAAAGGTTGAAAGCGTGATTCGAGAAAAATTAAAGGAATTGTGTAAAATCGTTTTTTTGACCCGTTTTGAGTGAAAGCACAGTTTGAATTATTTTTTTTTATTTGTGCTGTGGCAACACTGCAAAACAAAGGTGTCAAATCACGAATAAATAACTGAAGATTTAAATATGCAATTAATTTTGATCTAAATGCTTTCTTTGATTACACTAGAATAAGAGGTTATGCAACTCTATATACACAGTAATATAAAAAGTTGTCTATTCACAAAATGTTTTTATTACAAATAGTACAAATCACAATTTATTTTCATTTTCACTATAAATAAGTCCTGCCAAAGCACTCTGAAACCCCGCATTGTAATCCAACGTCACTTCATTATACAAAAACTCTTCTCTAACGTCTTCGTAGTGGTCATTTAAGTCGGGGCCACTCACAAGGGCCCCGTACAAAATTTGTGGATTCGGTCCTTTCCACGTAAATTGTTTCCATCCACATGGTTCAGGCAAATTCGGACAAGAACTATAAAAAATGTACAATGAAAGACAAAACTAACGTCAAGTACAAACCTGGCTGAATGATGCGGTTGTTTGGGGTAATTCTGGCCATAGCCAACTACAAAACTTTGTCCCGTCGAGCCTAACATATAATTAATTTGTTCTTTGGCAAAATTGACATAAGTCGACTGTGATATGTTTAAAGTGAGACCAGCCTGGAAAAAAAAATAACAATCTAAAAAAGTTTTTTTTTGACATATTACTTGTAAACAAATGAAGGCGACATTAGCCGCATGCGATAGTGTCCCTGATTTGTCGATAAAAATCAGGCCCTTGGGAGTCCGGACCTGTTCTTTGATTGTATAATCGCAGAAACTTTTAATCGTTGAGATGTATTCAGGGCGGAGCGTTTGTTCGGCCAATAGGAGCTAAAATTTCCAATGTGAATTTAAATTTACCGCCAAAAAAACACTTGCCTGTATGCCGGCTACTTTTTTATTATAGAAAAACTCGTTTGGTCTGTCTTTAATCCGAAATTTCGTATAAAACGTCTCAGCTTGCTCGATATATTTCACATCTTTGGTTTTTTTATACAACCAAATGGCAGCCCATGTGAGTTCATCTCCATACCCTGTCGACCTAAATCTTTGTCACTTTTTTCCCCACTCTCCTCTACACACTTACTCGTAGTAGATTTTAGCCCCCGGTATGGAATCATGATACAGTCCTCTATATTTTGTCGCAAAATCGTATAATTCCCCAGAATGTCGTAACAATTCCTCAGAATATGATTTATTGACATTTTCGAATAAAAGACTGGCGGCGGCTAAAGCCGCCGCCACCTCCCCCGCTAAATCCGATCCTGGATGCTCCACATCGATTTTATACGCCGGTCGTGACATATTCATTTCTTCGGGCCGCCCCCAGAAGGCGTGGTCAAGTGAAAAATCACCAACTTGTCCGTAAAATTCATACTTGGAGGTGTGGCATTTGATGAAATAGTCCGTCGCCCACTTAACCGCATCGAGACCGTATTGGTATTGGTTGGCTTGTTTGTAGGCGTGTCCAAATGATAACATCCCCCATGATAGTATTGTCGTTGTGAAAGCCATCGTGAATGAAAATTTGATGAAATCGCTGGCATCATAATAACCACCGGTCAAGTCTTCGTTGTTATGCCCATGGTCATTAAGGGCGGAGTCAGAGCGCCAAGTAATGCGATTGGAGGCGGGGAGTGGGCCGGAACGTTGTGCTTCATAGAATAGGAGGGATAGTTTGAGGGCGTGGCGATAATCAGAGGCGGAGCCAAGTGTTATAAAGTATAGTAACCATAAAGTGTGGAACATCTGAAAATCGCGACCGGATGGACGCGATACGAATATAAATAGTGAAATCAAAGCCGACTGGGATAAGATAGTGATAGAATTTCAATTGTTTCCAAGAATCAGAGTTGCGTAATTAGGTTGAAATCAAGTAGGAATTTTGGGTTTTTCCAAATTAGGGAGATAATTATGACTTACCGTGTCTACTGTGTTGTGGGGGAATTTTTTAAGGAATTTTACATTTTGGGGTTAGTTGAGTGGATTCACAGGAAAGCTATTAAATGAGTTTCACTTTTATTGGTACGCGATGGAACGTCTTAAAGCGAAGAGTGCGACTGAATGACGAATATTTCAATGCCTTTCACTTTTTAAAGCGATGTGTTTGTTGTTATGGAGGTGATTTCACACGTAGACGCCAAGATAAACCAACATTTATGAGCTTTTGATAAGAGAAAAAAATATTTCTTTAATGTTTAAAACTTTTATTTCTTTGGTGATTTTCACGTAATGGGTTGGTATTGTCTAAATTAATAACAATAAATAAAACACTACTCTATTCATTAATTAGGTACAATTAACATTAATTTAATTAACAATAATTAATTAAATAATAATAGTTGCGATTTCGTGGTAATTTTTTTTATAATATTTATAAATAATGAACACACACGTCGGAAATGTCCTTCAGTTGTTTACATCTTGACCTCATCTTTAGTCACCGGTGAACTTGCATTGAAAAAACTCAAAATGAAGCACATCCTTGTGTTCTTTGTGCTTCTTCATCTGACATTCTCTTCATCAGTTTGTAAAAAGGAATTTGAAGAAACAGTTTGTGAAAATTTCAACTTTTCCTCCGACTTATTACACAGCAATGATACCAACAAATTAACAATTCGAAACGCCCAAGGCTCTATAATCCCCGAAAATTTTGCAAAATTGTACCAATTAACGGAAATGAAAATCACTGAAAGTACAATAACAAGTGTGAAACCCGGAGTTTTGTGTTCTTTACCCAACTTGACTTCGATTACAATTTCAAACAATTGTCAGTTTCCGAAAATTACCAAGGACGTCTTCCAGGGGTGTCAAAACATCAAAAGAATTAATCTAGACGGATCCAATCTTCAAATTGAAAATACTGCATTTATCGACGCTTTGGAGCTTCAAACTTTGACACTAAACGATACAATTTTTCCTTCACGGTTGGCAGGCCTAGACTCGATGAAATCCCTAACTATCCAACATTCAAACTGTACAATAATCGAAAAAGACGCGTTTACAAACTTGAAAAATTTGAAATTTTTGGATTTACAATACAACAAAATTCAAACTATAGCAGTGGGGAGTTTTGAACAGTTGAGCCAACTGAAAGTGTTAAATTTGGCCGACAACGAATTGGATTTGACTTGGGACGAATTTAATGGTTTGAAATCGTTAAAAGTTTTGTTTTTGGAACGGAACAATTTTAGAAAAGTTAATGTTTCGAAGTTGGTAGCGAGTGTTCCGAATTTGGAGCGGATTTTCTTCAGTTACAATCAATTGGAGCCAGAAAGTCGCAAACAAATTGAAGAAATCCTTCCCAAATTGAATGTCACATTTATTTATGGTTTTAGTGAAATAAATCAGTAATTTCGAATGTAAGAGTTTTACTGTCCAGAATTTAAATCTAGGATTTTTGTTTTTTACTTACCGTTGCCAACATAACACTTTGACATTTCGTTCTTTTGTTGTGAAGGTTAAAACGTGTAAACAGTCCCAAAAGTAAGTATTTTTTCGTAGTTGCGCCGAATTAACGTAACAATTGACTCAAAATTTTATTAATTTGAGTATTTCTACGACATTCGTCATTTAAGGGTACCATGATGGGTTGTTGTTATTTTTAGTTATAATTTAGGTAAAACAATGGCTAAAGAAGAAGAAGACGACAAATTACCAGATCAAGACGCTGCAAAAGAGTTTTACGCCAAATACGAACCCAAGGAAATTCTTGGAAGGTAAGATCATGACCTTGAAACAATAAATTTCAAGTTTGCATCAAAGTTGGCTTTAGATGTGTCAAAAATGGGCGGAAAATTCAAATTTTTTTGATTTTTTTTCAGAGGAATAAGTTCAACCGTTCGCCGATGCATTGAAAAAGAGACTGGTAAAGCCTTCGCCGCAAAAATCATTGATTTAAGCAACGATAACGGTGAAGGCATCTCTGCTAAAGAGGCAACGAGACAGGAAGTCGCCATTTTGCGTCACGTGGCCGGACATGCATACATAATTGAATTACAGGACGTTTTTGAATCACCCACATTTATTTTTTTGGTTTTTGAATTGTGCAAAAACGGAGAATTGTTCGATTATTTGACTTCAGTGGTGACTTTATCAGAGAAAAAAACAAGATATATAATGAAACAAGTGTTGGAAGGAGTGGCACATATACATGCCAGGAATATAGTTCATAGAGACCTCAAACCGGAAAATATCCTTCTCGACGATAATCTTAATGTGAAAATTACTGATTTTGGTTTTGCGAAAAAATTAGCCGAAGGAGAATTGGTTCACGAATTGTGCGGGACTCCGGGGTATTTAGCACCGGAAACTTTGAAATGTAGTATGTTTGAGGATGCTCCGGGGTATTCATACGAAGTTGATGTGTAAGTCAAAGTAATTGTCACTTTTGATTTTAAGTTTTTTTTTAATAGGTGGGCCTGTGGTGTTATTATGTACACACTGTGAGTATAGCACAAGTGGCGTTCTCTATCGGCCTATAATCCCAATTTTAGATTAGTGGGTTGTCCACCGTTTTGGCACCGTAAACAAATGATCATGTTACGAAATATAATGGAGGGGAAATACTCATTTTCGTCACCAGAATGGGCCGATATTTCAGGTAACTATTCAATTATTAAAAAAAAAAAAACTTAATAATTTAAATCAGAGGAACCAAAGGATTTGATACGGCGTTTATTGGTTGTTGACCCCAAACAACGCATTTCAATTGACGACGCTTTAAGGCATCCCTTCTTCCAAACAATGGTATGTAACATCACAAATAGATGGCACCTCATAAATCTTTGGTTGGTTGAGCTTTTGTGGTAATTTTTTCTAGCAATTGTGGGATCAGGATATTGCACCATTGAAATATTCATTGCGAAAGAACAGTCGCAGATTCAGTAGAATTTCAGAGCTGGCTTTGGTAAACAAACGTGTTGCTTGTATCAACTAACAATGTGTGTGTTTTCTTTATTAACTTGATTTTTTTTTTAAAAACATCGGTATTTTATTCGAATGAAACTTTTCAGAAATTACACCACCGTCAATTTCAAGCTCGCCAAAAATTCCAGTGGGCCATTTTGGTGGTTAGAGCTGTGATACGATTGCAACGATTGAAGTTTACACCAGAACCTTTGAGTTTGAATACGGCTAGGACTGACCCTTATCGTGTTAAACTTTTGAGAAAAGTGATATTACATATTTTTATTTTTTTTTACAAATAAAGAGAAATTTATTTCAGATTGTTGATGGATGTGCATTTCGTGTTTACGGCCATTGGGTGAAGAAGGGTGAAGGACAAAACAGAGCCGCTCTTTTCGAAAATATCCCAAAAACCGAATTAAAACATATTTACGTTACCAATTTAAGTCGATAATTCATCGACAATTGTTTAGTTTCAATTTAGACCAATTGTATTATTCAGGTTTTGAAACGATGAGGTATCGTTTTTGCTGTGGAGAACTCATATGTGATAATTTAAAAAATGTTTGATTTTTTGCCGTTGTTATACGGCAGGAACCTGTATTATCAACAAATAAATTATAGGAACCTGTAGCCATGCTTAATTTTATAAATGACAGTTGCATCCAAAAACAAACAGTAATGTCTAATTTGTGTGTTGTCTGCCTTAACAGCACTATAAATCCTAAAAACTTAAATGAAATTGACTCTAAACAGACAAAAATTATCATAAAACTGCGCCAATGCGTCCCCGAAGTGGTAAGTGTCGTTTTGTGTTTTATGAGGTTATGTTAACACTCATTCCAGGAATGGCAAATCGAATCTCAGATATGTCTTCCGTGTTTGGAACAATTAGAAAACGTGTGTACATTTCGCGACTTGTGCATAAAATCATACTTGAAACGAAAAAACTCATCAGAAATCAAATTAGAAGAAGAAAAGCCCCCAATCAAGGAAGACAATGACCGTTTTGTGTGTTTCCATTGCGAGAAAACATTCAAAATCAAGAGCATTCTTGAAGACCACATCAAGTACAAACACACTGAGACTGATTTAACGAAACCGTTAAATATTTGCGACGTTTGCGGTTCGTCATTTAGTAATAAGTATTTATTGAAACGACATTTGAAAAACGTGCATGCGACTGAGAAAAAGTTCAAATGTGAATTGTGTGAACGGAAATTTGCCTCCCCGGTATATTTAAATGCACACAAACGGTACCATTCAGGCGAAAGAAAACACATTTGTTCATTCTGTGGAAAGGGTTACATAACGGCGAGTGATTTGTATCATCATGAGAAAATTCACGCTAATAAGAGGGCATATAGATGTCATATTTGTCCGAAAGCCTTCAATACTTCTTCTGATTTACACAAACACAAAATTTGTGTACACCAGGATAGGTCGCAATGGAAATATGAATGTAGTTTCTGTCAGAGGAGATTCCCTTTGAAGACTAATCTGGATACTCATACAAAAACTCACACTGGAGAAAGAAACTTTTTGTGCCATTTGTGTGATAGAAAATGTATTAATCGTTCGGTTTTAAAACGACATATTGAGAGTCATTCTGTTGTGAAATCGTTTAAATGTAATCTGTGTTTACAAGGATATAAATATCAGAAAAGTCTAGACATACACATGATGAAAATACATGGGATTGGGGATGCAAAAATCCCGGAAAGGATCAAAAAGTATTTTTGTAGTATTTGTCCGAAAAGTTATTTCGCCAATAATAAACTACAAAAGCACATAAGGACTCACACCGGGGAAAAACCGTTTCAATGTCCTGCTTGTGACAAATGTTTTATTGACAAATCATACATTAAACAGCATTTGAAGACTGCTCACAATGTATTTGAATAAAAAAAATAGAAAACTTAAATCTATTCTTACTCTGTCCACCTATGAGCACACATGGGATTTGTGCACACATAATAAAGCCTCATCTCCTCCTCTGCACGTCGAGTTTGAGCTTGGAAGAACACAGCCTCCCTAAACCACTTTCATAAAACACTTTAAATACTATAAATGACTCACCTGTGGTTACATTCAGGACAGTGATGATCTTCAGTGCGCGGTAAAGTCGGATCAGAAATGACGTCAGGTACGATATGAGTTAATTCGCTATAAAAAAATCATTAAGGGGGCTCCTCGACCTAGTGATTGTCTTACTCAATTTCGTGCATTATTTTATTAACGTAGATACATTTCGAGTCGGCGTGTTGTTTATAATCACAGTTACGACACGCATACAACAGGATTTTGTTCTCTTTGTCTTCTTTGGGGTACAACATGTTGTTGCTGTGAAGAAAGAATGAGGTTAAGTTTGAAAATTTGGTGTTTTACCATTCTTGACAGAAGCGGATACCGACAAAGCCCGGCCCTTCACTGTGTGAGTCGTAACCGGAAGGTCTCGACATGGTTTTGTGCTTTTTTCTAAAAATTGAAAATTTTTATAATTACAAATGACAGGAATTGTGTTGACATTTGACGCACAAGTACCAACCTAAAAACCGGTCCGTGTAATGATTGTGACAAATTTGTTGTTTGTTATTGCAAAAATAGCCCCACTTGTGATGAGTTTAAGTAATCTGGCCACGTGATTAAAAAAACAGGTCATAATTAGTTAATTAGTCAGTTGCGGCGGTGCCAAATCGCCTTGTCACAATATCAAGAATGTAGTGAATTAAGGTGTAAATTGTACGGTTTAGGGGTTACACTAGAGTTTCGTGTTTGTTTTCATGTGTTGGATGTGGCAACAGGGCTCACCTTTCACGTACTCTAACCTCCAATCGCGCATCGAATTTGCGCACCACACAAGCTGTGGGCACGCGGCCTCCATCCCCACCTCCGGTCACGGCACGCCAGATACCTTCTTTCTTCCCTTCGTTTCGGTCACGTAGGCGAGGTCGCGTCCTCCACAAGGCTCAACGGTCGCCCTCCAGGTGTCGACGAGGCCTGGTGCAGCCCTTCGTGCCCTCCTCGTTCGTCCACCGCCCCCAGTCGGCCAGGGAAACAATCGAATCACGCGCACTCCCATTGGTCGATACAGCAAAACACGCACGTGATGTGGTGGCTCTTGTAGTGCTGCTCTAAGTGTCGTGACGTCCAGAATTACGCACACCGGCTTCAGGTAAGGGGGCTGTCTGATTTGGGTGTATGCTGTATGACGGGGCATTGGCCGGGACACCTCGTGACGTTAGCATGTGCGTCGCTGCTATTGGTCGAAGCCCCCCTCCGATACGGAGGCCTTTGTTTATTCCCGAATCGACCCCTGGAGCCCCCATAAGTGTCACACTTTTATCTTTTGCTAAGCCTACGCCGATTTAAGATTGAACGGACACGTTGCTGATGGGTGTGCAATGTTGCCATATTTGTACACACCCAATACAAAAACCGTGATTTTTTTTTCCAACAAACTATTACGTCACAATATCGAAAATCTGCAAATTTTTCTCAGTGTTGAGTTGATGAAATTTCGAAAAAATTTTAACCGGTCGATATGGAATAATTATTGAGAGATGTGGCAACGTTGCGGCGCCGCATGCCACGTGGAGCAGCCAGCTCTCTGGTGGGTGATTTTTCTAAGGGGCGTATTGGTCTAGGTCAGCCTAGGCAACATCAAGCGTGCGTGAACCAAAACAAGTGACGGTGCGCAACGAACCTTGCCGATAATCAACGAATAGGTGCGGCACTTGCAGTCATACCAAAATTAATTTTCACACGAAAAATTATCAGTTGGTATTAAAATGTCAAAGTTTGATTTTTCAAAAATTCAAACTTCAATTTTGTCTCTTGTGACACTTCGAAATGTCATTTTTTCCAGTGTCAAAATGAGCTTGAACACCCTAATTGAAGCAGCGAAATTTTTGGAAATGCAAGAACAGAAAGAACAGCAACAGCAACAAGCGGGGCCATCAAAGACTTCGCCCCCGATCCCCACCACCAAACTCTCAACTGTTTTAATAACATCGCCCGAGTTACTCACACTGACGCAAGAAACAACGGCTAAGAAAGCAGCCCCCCAGGCTGAGCAACAACATGTTGTGTCTAGTACAGTGACACAGCATCCTCGACGCATCCTCCACAACAGTTTTGACATAATGAACCCCCTTGTGATTGATGAAACAAATGCCGAAATTAAACGAAAACAGCCTCCTTTAGTGTTTCGTGCGGGCACAAGAGAAGTGCACAATAAATTGGAGAAACATCGACGAGCACATCTCAAAGAGTGTTTCGATGTATTAAAAAAGCAATTACCACAAACACAAGACGAAAAAAAAACCTCAAATTTGAGTATTTTGCATTCGGCTTTGAGGTGCATCCAATCGTTGAAACGCAAAGAACGCGAATTGGAGCACGAAATGGAGAGATTAGCGAGGGATAAAATCGCCGCTCAACAAAAATTAGCAGTCTTGAAGAAGGATATATCATCGCATTATGATAATGTGGATTTTTCGAAAATTTTACCGGATGTGGCGGCGGTTACAACCACCGAGGAGGTGGTTAAAGTCGAGCCGGTTAGTAGTACGAGTCAAAATGGGGGCGAAAGGATACAAATTCCACTCTTGACGAATAAAACACAGATTTCTATCGCCACAACTCAAGTTGGGACAATCAAAGAGGTAAAAAAAATCCCAGTGATAACATTTTTAATTGATTTAAATTTTTCTAGGTGACTCAACAACCAGTTCAAACAACGGCTCTTTCAGTCCTTCCGGTCGGTTATTCGGTACCACAAGGTTTAGTTTTGCAAAAACTTATCGTCCCTAAAGGCATAACCGAGCTGACACCCCTTGTATCAACCCATTTTATTACCCAACAACAAATAAATGGCAAAGTTGTACCATTGGTAAATGCCCAATACGTGGTAAAACCAGTGGTTGTTGTAAGCAGACCGAGCTAGTAGCCTTTGGCCCTCTCAATTACGGTGTGACTGAGACAGCATGAATGTTTCAAACTAACTCTTTATCATGTGATTTTTTTAATTTACGGTGATTATATTTTTTTTGTTATTAGGTTGGACACTATGACGTCTTTGGAGCCCAATTTGGCTACACCACATTCCATTATTGATTTTAAAAGATTTTTTTAACCGATTAGAGAATCTAGTCATTTTTTATTAATGATTTTTAAATAGAAATTGTCGAGTCTAGTCGATTGGGTTTCCGGTCATGGGGTTTCGCACTGTCTGAAAGAAACTGGGCCGAAGCCCCGTTCTTAGATCTCTGGCCTTGATGTATTACTTTTATTTTATATTATTATTGTACTATACATGCAAAAAAAGAAGAAAAAAACCTATATATGTATATCTGAGGTTAAGTGGATGTTTTACGAATGAAGATATTGTTGTAAATAATAATTAGTTTTTAAATTGTACAAAAATAAGATTTAAGATAAACAAATGTATTCATTCTATTCTATGTTTAATGCAGAGCAGAGGGTTGACTCTGTTTTTAGTACAGTAAAGCGTATTTTAAAAGCAAAAACCCAACTCGTAATAAAACGGTTGATGTAATAAATTGTTTCAAAATGACAAATTTGACGTTTGTCTGCTTAAGGCCCTAATACAGTTGGCAACACTACGTCAAAAGTCTTGAATTTGTAACACGCCATTTTAGTGAAAATTCAAAGTCCCACCATGTGATATTTATCTAACCTTGTCACAAAACATAAAATTCTTTATCTTTCTAAACAAACATCGATCATGCAACCCGTAAAACACGCCAGTGTAAAATGATCACTTCACAATTACGTTTATTTATTAAAGTTGGCAATATTTTGGCTATAATGCCGCAAAATAATGCGATTGGAAAATTTTACACAGTTTTAGTTTTCTTACTACTTTTTAGTGGCGCTATCTATTCGACAATTGCCCGAAACTACAATTATTTTTTTATGAAAAACGTGTTTTTGTACAGCAGTGATGCGATTTATATTTGTTTGAATTTCTACGTTACTATTTTTTATACTTTTTGGAAGAAGACACAATGGAAAGTGTTTTGGGAAAAATTTGATATGAGTTATAAGTTGACACAAACATATGACATTCGGGGATATACATATACAATTTTTGTTATTAGTCACGTGATTTTTTTTGCTGTAGGAGTGTACAATATGTATGTATGGTATGGGATTGAAGGTATTACAATGATAACAAAGTTTGGAATGAGAAGAATTGAGAATTATATACATTTTTTCTACAGTCTTTTTTTGACAATCATTTTAGAAATGTTGCTTACACGATACAAAAAGTTAAACGCCATTTTGAATTCTTATCTCACGCAAAAGTTACATTTTTATGATAGTACAATTCGAAAAATGTCATATATTGTATGTCACTTAAAGGAAACTGTTAATATTTTTAATGATTTGTATGGTTGGCCGTTGTTTTTTATTATTTATCAGACTTTACTTCAATTTTTGATTTATTTATATTTTATGATAACGAATGAAGAAAGTTTTGAGGTTATTTTCGTTCAAGTGTCACTAATTTCCATAACTTTGGTAAGTTATTTGTCATTTTTATCGTATTTATCAATTTTATTACAGTGTATGACAATAAGTTTGATTTTGATGTGTAGTGAAGTCGTTCAAGAAAGTTACAAGTTGGTAGCACTGACATACAAATTGCGTTGGGCTTTGACGGAAAACATTCAAAAACAAGAATTGTACGAATTTACCAATTTGGTTGTCATTAATTTACCTAAATTCACAGCCGCCAACTATTTCGAAATTGATAAAAATACAATTTTGCATATTTTTGCCACTGTTAATACTTTGCTAGTGATTTTAATTCAAATGGGACAAGTAGGCGTTACGCCATCTTACGGAAGAAAACGAGAGTGAAAGCCAGCCTTAACACTAAATTTATTTTTTGTTTAAAACAGCAAATTACACATGTAATGAAATACCAACGTAATAAAAACAATTTTCACCAACTGATCCAAACACCACATTCTGAAAATAATTGTTAACAATTGAATTGAATTGAATAACTCACATTTTCATTATTTTTTTTGCCATCATTTGTTCGTCTGTCTCTTTCAACAGATAGAGTCTAGCAAAATGTATACAACTCGTGAAATAATCCTTAGAATTGTCACTAATAGAAACCTCCATTTTGTAAATCTCGCGTTCTTTCGGATTTAAATTTTCAGTTGCTTTCAGAGTATTAGAATTGTCAAAATTCCATGTTTTGTTAACATAAAATTCACACAGTTGGTACCCCTGTAGTACTTTTTTTTGTATGGGGACTAAACTGTTGAATAAACGATAAACAAAATAATAAGGTAGTTTCAATCACTTACATTGGTTTTTGTCGGAATAAAATTAAAATGGCGTCGATGATGAAAGCCGGAAGTAGCTGAAACAAGACAACATATACGTAATGTTTTATTTTTGAATGGGTGATGAGGGATCCCCCGAGATACCACCAAACTAAATTGGTCTCAATTAAATTTTGCACAATTTCGACAACTTGTTTAAAAGGAATTTTATGTTGATTTGAGGAGACGGCATTGTAAACTCGTCGTTGTCTGTAAATAAATGTAATTAAATACTTTTTTAAAAATTATAATACAAACCCATTGTTGGTAATAAAATCAAAGACACTAAACATGAGTGTGTTGGCAATAATGTCAGCAGGGATACAATCCAAGTAGGCGTTGTTTTTACAGTAGAAAGACCTAATAAGAGGTTTTCCTACACTAATTAAAAGACCCACCGGATTGTTGATATCACTATAACCCGGTAAAGGTTCTCGCAATATTGGCACCACTATAAAATAAAATTACCCCAGGTTGGTTAAACTGTGACATGCTTACCAACTGAAGGTCGGAAAATAACAACAGGTATGTTATTTATTTCATCGGCGATTAAATTTTCGCTTAAAGCTTTACTGAAAGTATAAAAATTCGGGAAGTTTCCTGAAATTCTGAAATTTTTTTTTTATTAACTCAGTCTAAAAATTGGGATTCAAATTCTATTACTTGTGTTTAATTAATTCAATCATATCGTCGTCGAGAATTTCACAAATTTTGATAATTTTCTGGGGATTTTCGCGTCTTTGGTACACTTTTTCGTACAGAATTTCTTCATCAAGTTGGCAAAAAGCGGTCGATATAAAAGTAAAAATTTTCAATTTTTGGCACTTTTTGGCCAATTCGAGCATCAATTTCGTTCCTCTGACATTTGTTAGGATTGTGTATTTGAAATCAGAGTCAATTCCAGCACAATGAAAAATAATCTCAACGTTTTCACATATTTCTCGATGATTAGGAGATAAATCGAGTTCGGGGAGAGAAATATCGGCCAAAATCGGGACAATTTTGTCGAAAATTTGAAACTCTTGCTGTCTGAAAAGCTATAGAAGAAATTTATATTGATGGAAGAAAAAAATAAGTGACTTACCGGATCATTAGTTAAGTTTTTGAATGTCGAATTTGGGTCATTGAGTAAAATATAGATTTTGTGAACACTAGGACAGGACCGTAATATTTTTTCGAGGAGAACTTTACCGAGAAAACTAGTGGCGCCCGTTATGAGGATTGTTTTATTTGAGAAAATTTGTGAGATTCGGTCGGGATATTCAACAATCGACATTGTTCGCGGAATAATGAGCTTTTGAGAGAAATTTCTTCTTTAAGTATAGAGAAACAAGGGAATAAGAACATCAGTAAACATTTATTGAAATTTCTAAGCAAATATAGGCCGAAGAAGCCATTAATTTTTTTTGTAAAATTTAAAAAATCTGGTTACGTAAACCATTAGTTGTTGGCAGCGTCAAATTCCCCATAATCTGTCAAAAATCAAAATGATTTCCAAAACAAAAAATTTGTAATTAATTCGAAAAAAAATGAATTTGCAGACACTTTTTCAAGACTTTAACCCCAGGTAACGCACTTTTTAGTCTTACAAACTTGAGTGAGGTTATTACTTATATCAACAAAAACCTAACCCAACTTTTTTTTTCTTTCAGTAAATTTGTGGTACACACGTGCCTGTTAACATTTACGGCCCTTTTTGCAATACGTCTCGATGATTACGTAACGTGGTCTTATTGGTGCGTTTTTGCACCGATTTGGATATGGAAAGTTTTAGTGATTTTGGGGGCCACAGTGGGGAGTTATGTTTGGTGGCGATATCCCCATTTTAGGCTTGATTGCGAAGCTTATATACATTACAAATCAATGTTGATTTCGTTAGCGTTACATTTGATATTATTAATGTTCGAATTGCTCGTTTGTGATAAATTAGAATCAAATAGACATTTGTGGATTCTGGTTTTTATACCGTTGATTTTCATATCGATTGTTAGTATCGCGGTGTGCATATGGGCCGTGAAGCACGACCGCTCATTTGAGGTAAAAAAACAAACATTATTATATAATTCTTATTTTTTATTTGTAGCTGGAATTATTTTGTGCTGTGAACGTGTTACAATTTATTTTTTTGGCATTGCGTCTAGATGATTTTATAAAATGGTCATGGGAGGTGGTTTTTGTCCCATTATGGATTGTAATGTGTTTATCACTTGTCGGTGTTTTATACACGATTATTTTTGCTGCGATTTTATTACGAACTCCAGAAGTTAACGCTCAACAGAGACGTTCTAGCTTTAAATCAGCTTTAGGTTACACTTTTTTAGTCATCCCAATATTAATATTTCAAGTAAGTTTCACACTAAATTTCGCCAATCATTAATGAATTTTTTTAAGGTATTATTAGCCAATAAATTGGACGGAGAGATTCATATGTCGTATACTGCAGTTGTTAGTCCCTTGTTTATCTCATTTATTACTTTAATTTTGATGTCTTTCAGTGCCAAAGGGGGCAATCGATGTGAGTACAATTTCTTTGAATTTCGTTTTGGACAAATTCTAAATTATTGTAGGGTGGTTTGGTATGAGAAAAGACTTTTGTGGTTTCGTTCTAGGGGCGTGCCCCCTTCTTCAAGAATACGCCAATATTGCCTATCACAGTGAACGGCGCACAAACGGTGTTGAATTACAGACACAAAGTGAAAAGAGTGATCCAATGAATGTGAAAAAAACCGATTTGTTAAAGCCAGTTTTGCCCATCATTTCCATTGAAATGCCCGACTGATGTGTGCTTCCAAATTTTTGTAAGTTGGCCAAAATTTTCAACATTTTATACGACGAAATTTCTTGCATTTATTATTACTAATTCAGCACAATGTTTTAATTTATTTTGAGTAAGTTTAATTCATTTGTACTTACCTGATGTTTAAATATAAGTTTTTAATTTGAAAATTTTAAAGAGCAATTAATTATCATTATCTTTATCGCCAATTCAAGGTAAGTTTATTTAGGTATGTAGTGTTAGTCTTTGACAATTGTTTCACGATGAACGTGCAAAAAATCGAACAAGTGGCCCCTTTGGCCCCGTTTGAATCCATTATTGACTACAAAGTACAGCGATTGACAGCGCCTGGGGAAAATTACGGAAGTCTCATATTACAAATCGATTTTACCATCAAAACTTTGAACACTACAAGAATCTTGAATGTTGTAGCAAAAACTGTGCCACCCAATGAATTTATCCAGAAGCTTTTCTGCACTCAAGAGTCATTCAAAACGGAAATAGCCTTCTATAAAGAAGTGGTACCAACATTGGAAAAGTTTGAACAAGAACTAAGAATATCCCAAGATGGTATTACAAATCTTTTTCCGAAATATTACGGAAGTCGGATTAATTTAATCAAAAATTCGACCAAAGTCGACTCTGACGCAATTCTCCTTCTTGAAAATCTCAAATTTGAGGATTTTAGTACAATGGAACGTACTCAAGGGTTCAATTTGGAAGTATCTAAAGTGATTGTGGAACGTTTGGCTTATTTCCATTCACTATCACTAAGTCTCAAGCTCAAGAAACCCGAAATTTTTCAAGAGAAAATCAAAAGGTATCTCACAACTTCCCCTCCAGAAAAGGACACCCGAATCGTTGAAAAACTCATAAAATTGATAAAAGACACCCCTGATTGCAGTCCATATGTCCAGAGAGCGCGTCATTCCCTCATGAAGTTGCTACACCCTCCACCACTCTCTCGCGAACCTTTTGCTACCTTCACCCATGAAGATTTCTGGGTCAATAACATCCTCGTCAAAAGTCAACCCACTACAACTGTTGTTAAATTTATCGACTTTCAACGACCCAGATACGCATCACCGGTTCGCGATTTGATTTTTTTTCTTTTTACCAGTGTCCAAAATCACACTTTAGAGGAGAATTGTGACGATTTGATTCAACTGTACTATGAGAATTTTATTTCAGTACTTTGCAAACTCAATTGTGATATTAGTGATTTTACTTTTGAGAAATTCCAACAAGAATTAAAATTCGAGGCCGGATGTACGCAATTCGGACATGTTGTATTCATGTTGAATTTCATTTTAGCCCCCAAAGAAAGTGTGAAAGAGGATTTGACAATGGAGGATTTGCTCAAGAGTCTAGATGGGGGGAATGAGTTGCAAAAGGCCAAGTTGGTACTTGTTGTTAGGGAGTTTGCAAAGAGGAATTGGATATAGAAATAAAACAGCAATCGACCATGAAATCATTTATTGCCAAATTATGGCCTAAATGCAGCTTAAAAAAATCATTCATTACGAAATGCAAGAGAGACATCAACACTATCAAGAAAAATCGCACTTTTTTTTGGTCGTAGCTTTCACTTTTTGTATATTATGCCCCCCACCCCCACAAAAAAATCAATAAACTTTCAACTGGTGTCTTTCGTCGAATCCGGCCGAATGACCAGCATTTCGAACGATAAAAGTAGTACCATCGTAATGCATGCGACGCTCTCCACGTCGCACAAACAAATGCCGTGTCTGACCCATTGACCCCGTGCAATGTAGGTAAGGGGAGGAGACAGAGGCGGAGCCATTAGTAGGGGAAGTACGCAAAGAGAACTTGTTACTATTACGCCCCACTCTGTGCAACATAATAAAACTATTTGTTACGCAATTTTAACAACTACCTGACTAAACCATCGGCTGTTTGCGAGATTCGCACATTATTAATAATCCAATTATCAGTTCGGTCTTCCGTGAGCCAATAATTGGCCGATTGAAGAATACTAACAGCTTCATTGACCAAATGAGTACCAGGTGTGACACAACCAAAATCCAGCCCACAATTTGGACGACTTAAACATTTATTACAAAACAAACTAGTTTTTAGTTTACTCACTTGTAGAAAACATCAAGAGTAATATCACCAGTCAAGTCGGTAAAAGTATCAGTAGTGGTGCGAGTTCCAGCAGAGTCCACTAAATACACGAGGGCGCACTGGTCGCTTGTGAAACTCACCCCCTTGTACCACATTTTAGCATATCTACAATTGTTTTATTTCTCAATTGCATAAAAATTAAACAATCAAAGTCTGTTTTTTTTAAATGGAAATGCCAAACAGTCTTAACATTGGCATCACTAGTAAATTCATTCATGGTAATTTTAATAAAGGAAGTTGGCAGTTCCGGTTTTTTGAATTAATTTGAAAACAATGTCATTAAACGTCAACACAAAAAATCGTCGAAACACCAAAAAAGGAACAAATTCGGTACCACTAACAGTTTTTCGAAATTTGGAAACGAATAGTTTGCAAGCAGGAAGTTAGAAAAAAGGCCCGTTAAAATGTAATGCAGGTTTGATAAACATTCTTAATTTTTAACAAGAAATTGACAAAAATACAAAATAAATATGAATGAGAAAGAACCTCGGAAAGAATGCAATTAAATTAGTGTCTTGTGCATCGTTTTTGAGAAACGAGTTGAAAAAGTAACAATTCTGAAACTAAAGCTAAAGAAGAATTTATAAAATGCATCAACTTTGAGCTCATTTCAATCAATTACACAAAATTTATTGCCAATCATCATAATACCTACTTGTATCTTTTGCTAAATAACTTTTTTCTGTATATACATCCTTTTTCTTGAAAGTTTTTCTAGCAAGAATCTCATTTTTGTCCACAACATTGTACTTACTTGCGATGTGTTTTTGTCAAAATTATTAGCACTAAATTCTGTCTTTAGACCTTAGGTAATGATGTCTGTCCTCAGGTATTCAATTATAGCGCTTTCAAACAGGCACACAAGATTCATAAAAGTCAAAATTTTGACAACATCTCAATTGGAACACATAACCATATTTTTTTACAAAATTTCTAGGGAGAGCAACCAAAATTTGTGGCTATGGAGACAAGCTGCTACCAATTTTTTCACCAAAATTTTGACTTGGTAATTTCCATTTTATAAAAAAAACAGACTTTACTTGTTGTTTCCTTGTCCATCATGGGCTAAAATTTCGACTCTTGACCCATATTGGAGGACTCTCCCATTGGGGTGGATCAACGCTGCAGAACTCCCACTCGCATTCAACGCCAAAACAATATAATTCTTCATATTAATAATTCTAATCGCTCTATCAAGCGAAATATCGACTCGAATCCGATCATGTAGTCTCAACGAGATGACTCCATGAGGTGTGATTGTAGTCCCACCCATGTAGCCCCCATCATCCGTCCATGTCTCGCTCTAAAAACCCAACTTTGAGTACTCTAAATCACACTAGAGTCAAACTCACACGTTCAAGTCATCTGGGTAATAATTTTTTACCACGATGGGTTTTGGGACGTAGGGCGACCATGACGATGGATTCTCGTATTTGAGATCGCGGGGGGTTCCCAAATCGTCGCTGAGGTATGAACTTGTGGTGTAAACGCTGCGACTGCGGGGGCGGATCTCCCGACGGACATTTTTCGATACTTTGGTTAAACTATCTGAAAATGTTACTACAAGGGGGTGTAAGGGGGCCTTCTATAACGACCAAAGACTCACCTTTAGGTTTGTACAGTTTATTCATTATTTTTTTGAAGAGATTTCTCAAAGAAAAACATAAAAAAACTAAACTTGTTTACTTGTAACAACTGACTAAAAAGGCACACTACGTTTTTGAAAAATTACAAATGCAAGTGGAAGTGGATAATGGCACGGACATTTTTACGAAATATTCGCGATTTACTATAACACAATTTTAAACAAGTTTCATCTTCGGGAAAATTATAGGAAAGTTTCAATCTACAACTACAAAATTGAATTTTTTAAATGGAAGTGTTTAAGGTGCCGCTTCTGTCAATTAAAAAATCCCCGTTTTTTTTTCGCATTTTTATTCAAATTTAGTACAATACAAAATCGACTAGTCTAAATATTCACGTTTAGCAACGTTTTAACAAACTCCATTTTCTCATTCTCCGTCCCCAATTCCCCAAACTCGTTCGAATAAACCTGCAACCTAATATTCCCAAAGTCCCTAACAAATTACCATATTTTTACGAAATATTTGCGATTTACAATGACACAATTTTGAACAAGTTTCTTCCTCGTGAAAATTATAAGCAAGTTTTAATCGAAAACCGGACAAATTAATTCCCAAAATTGGATGTTTGTTAATGGAAGTGACTAGGGTGCCGCTTCTGTCAATAAAAAAAACGGTTTTATTCGCATTTTTATTCAAATTTAGTTCAATACAAATCGACTAGTCTAAATATTCACGTTTAGCAACGTTTTAACAAACTCCATTTTCTCATTCTCCGTCCCCAATTCCCTAAACTCGTTCGAATAAACCTGCAACCGAATATTCCTAAAGTCCCTAAAAAATTACCAACTTACAAAAATTGGTCTAAATCCAATGCTCCTCAACTGTCTCGCCTTCATAACCATACTTCCTAAAGGCTCATTCCGGCCTCTAACTGTCAAATTTGGTGTCATGACAATAAAAGCAAACCAATCAAAATCACCACAAGGCCTCATAATGTCCCCAAGGACATACTGGTCCAGTTTTGGTTCCACAAAATTTCCACTCATATCCCGACAAACTATAATATCTAAAATCATCACCAATTAGTACAAGTAGAAAGAAGGCGGTGCTTTAACCTGATTTACTGAAATGAGGTAACACGTGATAGTGACGTATACAGTCCTGGCCAACCACGCTTGTGATATATTGGGCGACTTCTAGATAAAGTTTATCAGACAAAGTGAGACGTTTATGTTGGGTGTGACTTGGGGTATATTCAGTTAACCATTTAACAGATTTGAATTTTTTAGACGGATCAAGGCGATTTCCTGAGTAATTTTGACATTCAATTTCAAGGCTACAATCGAGGGAAAATAATTCTCGTGGTAGATTTCTTATTGACTTGCCATAAACCTCGCTTATATACTCGTCGTCTAAAACTTTGTTTATTAATTCAAATGGATAGATTTGACGAAAAGTGAGGTAGTGTAAAGTGCTGCCAAGGCTTCGGCGATATTGTATCATTTCTTTCTCTCGATGCTCTTTTTTTAATTCGGTTAAAACCGAATTAAAAATGCACGGTTTTGTATCAATGTTGAACATGGAACAGACTAAAAGGATGCGTTCGAGGTCTTTCAATCGGACATTTTCAATGTCGTCGAGTATAGCTTGTGTACAAGACATTAGGGACTTTTCGTGTTTGATTTGAAGACTTGTCCCCAAAAGAGCTATATGCAGTGTTGCAAACTTTGATAATCTAGGGATTTGTGGGAGTAAATTGTCCAACAATGGGGGAATTTCATCGGCTGTTTGAACATGTTGACTCAAACGGATCGTCTAAAAATAAATTCTCATATTTTTACCGACTAAAATTGTCATTACCTTCAAAATTGCTGTCAAACTTATTTCATTAATAGTATCACAATTTGAATTTACCGCTCTTATCATAGCATCCAGGATTGGTTTAAGTTTGACTTTACTTTTTGATTTGAAATAAGCCATTGCCACTATTGTCAACTCTTCAACATTAAATTCCCCAATTTTTGTGGCTAAAGTGTGTTCAAAATCAAATGGTACTTCTTTTTTTCGTGCCACGTTTAAATAAAAACAAATATAGACTAAAAACTCCTTGGGTAATCGGTGCGATTTTCTCACAGATTTATCAATCACTTCGAAAATAAAGTCAGATAAGCGTCCCAAATTCAACCTGTACCAAATTTCAGCAAAAGTGAAGAGTTTTTGAAAATTCCAATTTGCCATTTTCCAACAACAAACATCGTCAAGACAGCTCCACACATCGTGGTAGTTATGCGTTGTGCTAGAGTCACACTGGGGGTACTGTGTTAATAAAATGAGAAGTCTTAAGAGCTCTTCATCGGTTAATTTTTCACAATGATCCATTAATCCGTCAACGAGTTTATCAAATCGAGGGTCACTCAAATCGATATTATTCCCCACACAATAGTCTTTAACACGTTCAAATGCCTCTACAATATCACTAGCACAAGATTCTCGCCAATTTTGGTTTAACACTTCGAGGAATTGTTCGGGGGTTTCTACACGTTTTGGGGGGTTGAAACAAGGAGTGAATTTGGGAATTGGGGGTAGAATAGTGTAAGCATAGGCGTTTTCAGTGTCGATAAAAAGTTTCGCCTGGTTTGGGGGCCATAAATGGAAAAAACGTGACTTGGAAAAAGTAAGGTTAGGTGAGAATTTAAACTGATTTTTGGGAAAATTAAAAATGAGGAGATTGAACGTGGAACGCAAATTGGTGGTACACCGACTTAACATCGTTTTTGAGATTTGCGATAATTGGAGGAAAAGTGTGGTTAGAATCAAATGTACCAACTGAGTTTAATTACAGGTTCCTGTATTTATTTACAACACAATTCAACTGTTCCCTTTTCTCCCGAAAGCACAACCAAGTCTCCCGTTTTAAACATTTTAGTTGCCCCTTTAGCCCCCACGATACAGGGTAGGCCATACTCTCGTGCTATAACAGCTCCTTAAAACCAAATTTTAATTTTTGTCAAAAAAAAAAAACAAACAATACCATGTGAAACCAAACCCCCTAATTCGGTGACGATTCCTCCCAACATGGGGAAATACGGTGACCAACCAATATCCGTACAATACGTAATAAGAACGTCCCCTAAAAACACACAATTGGTTAAAAAAAAGTGGGTGTTTTATTAAAAAACTAACCTTCATGTAATTGGTCAATTTCGCTCAAATCGGTTATAACACACGCCCTTGCTTGAATAACACCGAAACAAACTGGAGTTCCTTCACATTTAAACCCCAAACCGGTTCGAGGAATCAAATCTTGAGTTTCAGGAACGGGAATCCCATAGGAAATTTCAGGGAATTTCAATTGGTCCCATTTCGGGTACAATTTCTGGCGTCTGAGTGCCCTTAAACAAATATATTACGATATTTTAACCCACAAATGGGCCAATACTTGGTTATCAAGGCCGGATTTTGGTCATTATTAATAATTTGCCCAATTTCGTAGTGTGACAAATGGAAAATCAAGTCCGCCTCTGGTATTAATCCTTGAAGGGCCATTTTTTGCCCCAAAACCCTATAACCCTGTCGTAGTTTATCCACAAATCTAATACTTTCTGATTTTGTTTGTTCTCGAAGTCCAACAGCGCGTCGACTTTTCGTCATTAAAAACTTTAGAACTTTTCTAGTTGAAGCTTTTGTCGGTGAAACCAAACCGCCAATGACGTCATCAATCGGTTTAACCGTCTTTTCCTGTTTCGGTCCTTTACTTCGACAATTTGTTTGTATTATTTTGATAACTTGAACTGGATTCGTACCCCAAGTATCATTAAAAACGTCAAACTACAAAAACAAAATTATATGAAATTTTGGGCACAATTGAGGGCACCTCTCGCATTGCTCGATGTCCATGGGTGTTTAAAAACCGTTCGAAAATTTTACTAGCCTCGGGGGAATTGTCTTTCAGCCATTTTCGGCCTAAATTTGGATCAATTTCAGCAAATTTCGCACTTTGGTGATTTTTACTCAAAATTTTAGTTATATTGGCAAGCATGTTGGGGATTTCCGCAGAAATGACTTCGTCACATGACGCCAACAACATAGCAATATCGTTATAATGATCAATGGTGAAATCTTGGGCATTTTCTGCAAGAACTGTCATTGCAAATATTTGAAAACTGACTGATGTTCGTGTTGTGTAACAATGGAGGAGCAAAACTTCCGCCATTTTATCTAATGACTTGTCAATTTTGACGTAAATGTCATTAAGAGTGTCACGTGTCGTATCAATGCCTATTTGATACGTTTCATTAATTGTTTTGCTCATTTTTGCGTGTTTTTCATTACACCAAGCCAACTTGATCATAGTAAACAATTGTTTGAATTGGTCTAAAGTCCCAATAGACCCAAAGCGATTCAATGATAAATAATGAATTTTTTCGTTGATAATTGGGTGTCCAAAAATAGCCAAATCGACAATTTTTAACAATAAATCAATTTCTTTTTTGACACGTCGATGTATTCCTGTGATAACATCAACGAAAAGATGGCCTTGAAACGTCCCTAAACATTTGAGAGCGTAATCATTACTGTGACCTTCAACCGATATTTGAATACTCTTATCAATCGTCTTGACAATTGTTGATAAAGTTAACGTAGAAATTGCCCCTGGTAGAATCTCACCAGTATTGGCAACAGTGTAAACAACATCATCGCTCAATGTTGCAACGTCGAATTCATGTAACAAATCATAATCGGTCCACGAATTCAGCGTTGTGATTGGCCGAGCTTGAAGCAAGTACAACCTCCCTTGACAAAACGCCCACTCGATGTCTCTTGCCCCGCCCATTTGTTCTTCTAATGCCACGCCTACTCGGCCCAAAACCAATGCTTGATTATCCGTGATGCTAAAACCCTCCAAACCGTCACATTCAACCACGCTCCCATCATCCGCCATCTTAACAATTTTCTTCTTCAAACCTAAACTTTTCGATTTAATAGTGACGTCATTATCGAAGGTGCGTTCAAGTATAATTGTATCAGGTTCGCTCCGCCCTGAAACCACGCTTTCGCCTAAGCCATGATTGGCTGTTATTACAATATGGGCGGGGTTTCCAGTCGAGGGATGACACGTGAATAACACACCGGCACAATCAGCCTGTACCATTTTTTGTACAACGACGGCCATTTTTGATTGGATGGGGACGCCATGTTTGTGACGGTAGCGCACACTTTGATGGGTGTATTGTGACGCCCAACAGGCGGAGACTGATTGGAGGATATCCTTGGGGGTGGAGCATCCCAAAAAGGTGGAGTTTTGACCTGCTGCCGATAAATCCTCGGAATCTTCGCCAATCGCCGACGAACGGACAGCAAAACAGTCAGAGGGGCGTGTCTTGAGGGCGTGGATAGCCTCCAAAATAGCCGAGGCAACTTCGGGGATTATTTTTTCACGTTCGAAAGTTTTAACTGTTCTAAAAGTGTGGAACTAAAAAATCTAAACAAATAAAAATACAAACTTACTCGGTACAAGCATGCTTAAAATCGCCGAGGCTCCGCCCACAACATATATCATCAAGAATAGACACCGCCTTTTTCATATTAAAATTCATTTCTAATTGTTTATTGAACGCATTTACTGTTATAACAAATCCATTTGGAACAATAAACTAGAAATATAACGATTTGTGTTTTGTTTTATAATTTTGTGACATTTATTACGTCATTTGATTTCAAACATGTGAGCATCGCCAATGAACAACCTTTACCACCTGTCAAATTTACCATTTTTGATATTTCGTCATCAAGTGACGTTACGTAATAATCAGGTAACGTTTTACTTTTGTTTTCGATTAAAAGTGGCAACAGTGGTTGGTCACGTGTTATGTTTTTCCCGCCTTGCCACAATTCAACCAATGATTTACCTTGTTGGGTATTTAAATCACAGTCGGCGGGAACATTTGACAGGTCATGGCCATCTTTGATTGTCTTAATCGTGTTAGTATGAAAGACAATTCTGTAGCATTTTTTCAAAGCTAGAAAAAATTATGTATATATTTTTTTATACCAATAGTGTCTGTCAATACTGTAAATATGTGTAAGAAAAGTATGTCCACTATTTTGCCCCAAACAATCAAATTTAATATCGCTTGCTGTGATTGGTTGAATGGTGCCATTATTCAATGCGACGTTGCCATACTGTAGCCTAAAAACAGCGAAATCATGTAAAATCATCAGTAAAATTGTTATTTTACTCGTGGCAACCCTGCTTTAGTGATTTTACCCAAACACTAATCAAGGTACCATCATGACCGGCTATAAACAAATGAAGGCTTTTCGTTAGGGCCATTGTGCCCCAAAATCTGGACCGACATGATGGTAGATTTACGAGAAAGTCGTTTTTGAACGAGTCGCCTCTGACAAATCCATGTAAACCCCCGAATTGTTCATACCCGTGTTCATCCCCTCTTAAAACACCACGTATTAAACAAATGTGAGATTTGATTGGTCGGTCTTACAATAGAGATAACCAATCACCGTCACGCCACGGGTGTCGTGCCAAAGCATCGGTGAGTAAGTCAGTGGTGGCGTTTTGGGGATGGAAACTGGGAGCATTAGCTGCAATCCAACTTAAAACAAAAATTATTTAATTAATTAAACAATTTTGTTTAATTACGTGAAATTAAATCTGACATGTTCGATGTCATGGGAGGCGTTGCTCAACAAACCGTTAAATGTCACTCGGTGACGTTTAAATGGTTCCAAAATTTCCAATTGTAAGTCTTTTGTTTTCCAATGCCAGTCAGATAGACTATAGAATTTTGTTTTTTTTTCACCTGTTGTGGTAACAATTAAGTTGTTTAATGTCACTTTTAATTAGTTTACCTGGGAATGTATAGGTGGCACCTGTTGCAAGTCGTAAACAAAGAAAAACCTCGCCTACTAAACCTGGTTCGATTATGAAACGTAACGATAAACTATTTCCTTTTTGGTCTGCCCCGTATATAAAATAACAATCACAGAACTGAAAAAAAAAATTGAAGTAGCTGAAACGAAATATGTTTTATACATTTTCGCTCCGAATTTCTTTGGGACACTCAGTGTATAATTTTGGTTTGGATTTATTTTGGTGTTTTTTGACGGCCGGTTTTGCGATTAGAAATTTAATCACATAGAACCAATCTAAAATAATTAATTAATTAAATAAAAAGTAATTAGAATCGTACCTCGATTTGTGTAGAAACGATTTTTTGTTCGATGTTGAAATAGAAGAACATAAAGTGAGATCGGTATTAAAAAAAGGGTTATGTAATAACAAAAGTTGAGTAAGGGCTCCATGGTCACGACTGGAAATTTGGATTAAACGTTTCAAACAGGTGTTTGAGATAATTATTTATTATCTAAACTTGAAATTTTAACTTATCTGAGCACTTTGAGACAATGTTGTGGAACATTGGAGCATACATCAAGGCTAAACAGATAATTGTTTTGATTATTATACATTAAAGTATCACAGGTCAATGTCACTGGCTTGAAACAAGACGTACTACGCCACTGGTAAATTTGTAAATATTTAATTTAATGAAAAATCATACTTAATTAAAAAATTAAGTATTCTAAATTGGTTTCAAATGCTCAGAATTTGAATTGTGACCCCCAAAACATATGCAACTATAAATACAAGCGTGTTTGTATGTATGCCGACTATTACCAACCTTGATAAATTTCAATGAAGCGGGCAAATTCAAAACTGAAAATTTTAAACGTGAATATCTCGAAAAGTGTGCGTTGCACGTAAAAATGAAGTATGTCAAAAAAGATGCGCAATGAAAGGTTTTAGCGAATGGTTTAGTCAAATTTGATTTTGGCGATGGTCTTTTTCGTATCTCGCTTGGGAAAAACAAAATACCTAACTCATTTTATATTTTTAAAATCTATGCTTTTAGCTGAGATGTATGAGGGGTGACACGATAGGGTTATCTTCACTTTGAAAAACCCACCCCTAAAATGTTTTTCACACAATGCAATTTGTTACATATAGTGCTAGTTTTTTATAAGAATAATTTTTTTTTGATTTTTTGGTCAAAATTGGATTTTTCTAGACTTATTCTTAACTTTATTACTCAATATCTCAAAAACTATGCATCGTAGAGTATTTTAACTTGTTGCATCGTGTTCAGCGCGTAATTTTACGTCTAGAAAACTATATTTCAAGCGTTTTTATGACTTTTAGTAAATTGACTATTTTTACGATTTTACTACCGCTCACCTTCAAAAATTAAAAAAATTCAAAATTTTTGAAACTTGACCCAATGGCGTTTTATGCACTTATTTGAGTCCTTAAGACCTCTAGAAATGTAAAAAACGTAAAATAGATCAATTTTAAAGTTAAAAATTTTTTTGATTTTTGTCGAGATTTTGGTCGATTTTTGGCACCCGGAGCGGTCTAATGGCAATAACTCCGGACTTATTAGAGATAACCTCTTATATTTGGTACCGTTGGATAGAAAATTGAATTTTCTATGATATATTAAAAAGTTCAGTGCTCTACGATGAATAGTTATTGAGAAAATTTGTGATAAAGTCAAAAATATCCAAAATTTAATTATTTAACTATTTTGCGCTATCTCCTTTAGTTTCGCCGTAATCGGCGTTTAAAAATTTAATTTTTGACTTAAGTTGTAAGAATGACGGCTATTCTCAACTGTCAATTGTCAAATGTCAAAAACCTAACCAAACATTTTTTGTTGATTTAAAAATGGCTGAAATGGGGGGAAGAGCCCCCGTGAGTTTAATTGTGCTTGGTATGGCTGGCTCCGGCAAAACTTCTCTTGTCACACGTTTATCAAATTCACCTAAAAAGCCCTATGTTGTAAATTTGGACCCCGCATGTCTCAATTTGCCCTATTTTGCAAACATTGGTGAGTTTTTCTCAATTCAAATATCTTGTTGTTTTAATTTAAATTACAGATATCAGAGACACGGTAAATTATAAAGAAGTCATGAAGCAATACAAACTGGGCCCAAATGGGGCTATTGTAACAAGTTTAAACTTATTTTCGACGAAATTCTCCGAAGTTATCGGTTTTATAGAAAAGTCGAACCATGAATTGTGTATTTTGGACACTCCAGGTCAAATAGAAGTTTTCACATGGTCGGTTTCTGGTTCAATTATCACTGAAACTCTAGCTTCAACTTTACCAACGGTTATTTTGTATGTTGTTGATTCTGTGAGGAGTACTTCCCCTATTACTTTTATGTCAAATATGCTCTATGCTTGTTCGATTCTTTATAAAACTCGTCTCCCTTTCATCGTTGTTATGAACAAAGTCGATGTTGTTGACCACTCTTATGCCCTTGATTGGATGACCGATTTTGAGTCTTTCCAACAAGCATTAGAAGCCGATGAAAGCTACATTAGTAATTTGACAAGATCGATGGCCTTGACTTTGGACGAATTTTACCAAAATTTGAAAGTTTGTGGAGTGAGTGCTGCCACGGGACAAGGAATTGAAGATTTATACAAGTTAATAGATGAAGCTCGAATTTCGTACGAAACGTAATGAGTCTATTTTCATTTTTAGTGGTATTAGAGTTGTTTTTTCAGTGAGTATAGAAGTGAATGGATGAAAATAAAACAACAATCAGAGGCACAAAAACTAGAAAAAAACAGTTCAAATGAGCAATGTTTTACTTTGCCAGCTGGAATTGAACTATCAGATGTTTTTCTGAGACATCCGGGGAATGACAGTAGTGAGGATTCAGAGGGTGAAGAGGCTCCATATCAAAGTAAGTACTACCAAACTTGTGATTTTAAACAATCAATTTTTGTAGTTGTTGAAGATGAAAAAGACGACGATGTGTTTAAAAAAGTCGTACAACAACAAAAAGAAATGCTAGTGAAAAGGGCAAAAGAAGCAGAAATGAGGAAACAACAAACCTGAATTATAGAAAACATCAATTAAAATTTTATTCACTTTAAACTAAAAATAAATTACAATAAATTAATCAGATCATTAGTCAAGAAAAAAATTAACACAATTTGTTTACCAAAAAAAATTATATCTGGTGTTAAGTTTTTTCTTAGGCACATCAATTGCTACTATATATAAATAGACACTATAATAATAAATAAATAAATTTCTATTAGTGATACTCACTTTTCTATCGTTATAAAAATAAATATAGAAACTTTGTAAAATAAAAATAACTCTTCAATTAACGCAAAAACCACTCAGTCGGAAACAAAGACAAACAATTAACAAAAAAACGAATTTTGTAGATAATTATCGCCAGCTCCCAAATTTCTCACATTTTGGAAGCGATTACGATTTTGTAAATTATCAGGCGGTGGTGGCATTTTCCTAAAGGGATTCATCGTCCCCCTAAGCGGCACAAAACCTAAACACCCGAAATTTGCCCCCAATTAAGTCAAAACCTCCGTCTCTTACCCCTGTTTTGCATTGAAAAACTCCAATTTTCCAAATATTGAGCTTTTTGACGGCCGTGATCTTCAGCCACACGCACACTCAACGGAAGCATCGCATTTTCGAGAAGTTTACCATCAAGGTCGGCTATTGCTGCTTTGGCCTCTTCCCCACGCGAAAAACTATACAAAAAAAAATCAGTTAAATGTTATTTTTCTAACATTATTTGTTCACAAACCGGACGAATGCTACCCCACGTGGCATCCCAGTAATCTTATCCTTCAACACCGATTTTTGGATAATCTCCCCATAGCTTGAGAAAAGTCGGTGAACATCGTCCTCGGTCACATCTTTCGGTAAATTCGTAATGTACAAATTGGACGCTTTCATGTCAGCACCTGGGGGGCGCGAATAAGACACTTTCAAGCGTTTGTTTCTAGAAAAAAACACCACGATAAATATTAACCTAACCTCAAAATTTTATTACTTGTAATTCATTCCGTTGACGACTTGTATCGCTTTCGCTGCATCTTCCTCGTTGAAATACTTGACAAAACCAAATCCGAAACTGTATCCCGTATTGTAATCCCTCATTATTTTAATACTTTCCACTCTACCAATGGGGGTGAAAATCAGGGCTAAATCCTCTTCAGTCGCAAACTGGGGGATGTAATTAACGATGAGTTTCGATTTGTCACAATCGACTTGATCCCCAGCCCCCACATTTAAGTCATTTTGGGGGCCGTTGGCGTTCTCTTGTTGCATCTTTTCAAAAAACTGAAACAAAATGGCCATGTGTCATTTCGAGGTTAGATTAACACAACTATGTACAAAATCCAACAAAAACGTATTAATTTACCCGAAAATTGAAAAAAAGGGGCTTACCTTTGTTTATTGAAAAAACTTGAAAAATAAATAAACGAACTAAATTTCTACCACTGCAACTAGATTGATTTTTTATGACACTAACACACAGTATTGCCAGAGACTTAAAAATTCCCTAACAAAGAGCCAAGTTTCAAACCTTTCTTACAGGGTGAAATAAAAAAACTTGTTTTGTATAATATTTTAGGCCTATAATTGTGTTGATTGCCACCGTTTACATGAATAAGGGAGCTACTACAAAATTTGGCCACTCATTTTAGGCCTTATTGTCGCAACGTTGTTCAACTCGGCGTCGCAAAATTATAAATCGCTTCGTAAACTTTTTTCTGTGTTTTTTCCAATTTCCGTTTCATCTCGTCCGTATACGGATCAAAATTGAGCACTCGTCTTTTCCTCCGATAAATCCCTTCTTTTCGTTCGAGAGCACATTTAAACAAATCTTCATTCGGTGGTGATATGTCGAGAAAATTTATAATCGTCTTAAGGGTGTGTTCAAGATTATCGACAAGTTGTTCATAAAAAATGACATGTGTTGGTCCTGTGAAATTATACAACCAGTCTAGATTGGTTTGTTTCCACGCTTCGAGTTTATCATTGACGAATTGTTGCCAATCTAACACAACAAACAAACTAATTACAAGTCTACCAATATGACAAACATACATTTCCCTTTGGTCCTTTTATACCTATCCGGTGACGCAAATCCAATATGGCCGCCACTTTGTCGGTTAAATTCGGCTTGGATCGCTGCTCCGGGTGCCCGGACTAATAAAATTGCTTTTGAGAAAATCCTCCGGGCATTGTGACCCCATTCATGGGTCTTTACCACAAGCACCGAACCATTTGCGATGTTTTCAGCAGGAAAACCATTTTTCAATAAACCGTAATCTTTGTAAACCGAACCAGTATAAAAACCGGAAGCTTGTTGTAGTAAATAGCGTAACCATGTGTTTCCGCTTCCGGGAAATGAAACCAAAGCGACGGGAGATTTGGCGGGATTAATGTATTTCAAATCGGAACACCACTGAATTTTAGAACGACGAAGAGGGGGTCGAAGACCCGGAAAACCATATTCGTAGTTTTTCAAACGTTGATTACGATCCGTTTGCTTAAAATTCACTCATTTAGAGGGTCCCCCGCCCCTTCAAAAACTAATTACTTACTTTTGGTAAATTTTTGGGTTCATGTAGAGTGACCGCTGATAGAAATAAGACCCCTGCTATATATAAAAACAACAATATTGCCAAGATCCAATATCTAACTCTAGTGACATGCATTTGTCCATTATTTTGATTGGAAGTTTAACAATTAGACTAAATTATTGCGAATAACCAATCTTGGAAGCCTGAAAAAGACACAACAAATCGATAAAATCGTAATTTGTTTGTCAACACTCACCTTAAATTTTCAACGATTTTAGTCAATTATCCATTGGAAGAGGTTTTCACTCGCATTTTTTGCGTTAAAAAACGGTTTTTGACTACATAACAAAGACAAAAAGAGTTGTAACGTTAATAGGGCGTCGTCGTGCCCACTAGGCGTCGACCAGTGACCCTCAAAATGTTTAAAAAATGAACAAGTATGCAATAAAATAAAAATAAAGTCTGACTCAGTGCAATTAATCAAAAAACTGATAATAAATTTTAACCTTGTGTAGATAGTGAGGAACAACAAAAATAAAACAAGCACAAAATCGTACAAATTTATTGTTTCACAGCCTCTAATTGTAGTAAAACCGTGACCATTTCTGGCCTGTCTTTCGCCCCCGTTCTCACACACCCCTTCCCAATCTCCAACAGCCCCCTAAAACAATCCTCCCCTCCTTCAGCTCTTGGATCTTTCAATTGTAACACATCCTTGTCCCAATAAACCACATGATCCCTTAAAAACTTATTCTCTCTTTTAGTCGAATAGGCAGCCCCTGCTGTCGCCAACTCGAATAAAACAACCCCAAAACTATAAGTATCAACTTTCGTCGAGAATTTTTTATATTTCATAAATTCATCAGGAAGGTAAGGTCTTGTACCATGAATCCTACTGACTTTAATATAGTCAGTTTGGGGGCCTTCACGAGCCAACCCAAAGTCACCAATTCGGGGAATTTCATTCAAATCGAGAAGAATATTAGCCGATTTAATATCACCGTGAATGAGAGGTTTATCACGAATTGTGTGAAGAAATTGAAGCCCACGTGCGGTACCAATCGCGATTGCGAGTCGAGTCGGCCATGAGAGGACACGTGAAGGTTCCCGGATGTGAAGACGGTGCTCCAGGGAACCCCCTGACATGTATTGGTAAACGAGACAGTGTTGAGGCCCGTCTATACTATACCTGAAAAAACTAATAATAACAAAATTACCCCCAACAAGACTCACCCACCCATAAAGGGGTAAAATATTGTCGTGTCTGTAGGCATTCAAACAGTGTAATTCAGTGTAGGACTGAAAAATTTGCTCAGGATTGTCATCCTTTTTCTCAATTCGTTTAATAGCCACTTGGGTGCACTTCCAGACGCCTTTAAAGACCGTCCCAAAGCCCCCACGACCCAAAATCGCGCCGGGGTTCCAATCATTCGTTGATTGTCTTAAATCATCGTAGGGGATTTGAGGTATAGCCCCCACCGTTTCACATGAGGGTTTTTGAGGTTTTGTTTCGTTATTTTCACAACTGTGAATTGGGGCATTGAGTATTTTTTCAGTTGGCTCATTTTTGATCAAATGGTGATATTTTGGGTCAATAAGGGGTTTAAGAATTGTCATAGCTTGATAGTGTTTCATTCGATATAAAAGAATAAACAGTTCAAGGACAGTGTGGTTGTGGTGGCTCCACAAATCGAGGAGTTTGTCACTGGGGGACATACTTCGAAGAAATTCGCGACCAACTCTCTGGAATTGAATTAATTAGCTTGAATTATTTTTTTTTTTAAACTCACTTGAACAGTTTCAGAATCAAATTGCATGTGAACAGCGGCCAATTCCTCAAAACTATTATTCCGGTCCAAAATATTACACAGTGTTTTGCGTTCCAAAAACGGCATATCGTAAATAAACATTTTAAATTAATTAAAAAAAAAACACAAAAAAGTTGGGTTATGTCAGTCAGATTTGACAATTCAACAGCACTGCTACCAATCATAAAATAAAAACCCTAATCGGTATAACCTCACTTTTAAAAATGTTTCCTCTCATACGAAATGTAGTTAATGTAATTCGAAAGTGCCCCCTTGTTGTGGCCCCCACTTCCAATTCTCACATACTAGCGGCGATTACACCGAGCAAATTTTTAGTTCCTGTGAATTATAACCAAACACCATGTTGTGGTTTCAAAGTTAAAGGGCGATTGAAAAAACGGTGTAAAGACTGTTATTTTGTGGTGCGGGAGCAACGTGTTTATGTCCTTTGTAAAACCCATGGTAGACATAAACAAATGTCGATAGTTCCAGACCCCAAAAGTACATGGATTTTGAGTCATGCAACTCAAGGTAAAGTCCGACCTTGGTGAAGAAAGAAAGAAAGAAAAACAGTCTCATCGAGGGGGTTTACATGATTTATTGTGGTAGTTGATTCGATTCTTGTTTCTTTCTAGCTTTATGATGTAGTTTAACATAAGTGTTGTATAACATGAAAAGGAAATAAACATATGTCAATATTCCTGTAATGTTGTTAATCAAGAGGATTAATTGAATGGTGTATTCTTTCCCTGTTGTCGTTTTAAACGAATAGTCGTAATCAATCGTCACAAAATAGAAAATTATTGAACCGAATGATAATCCAAGTGTTGCACAAAGATATCTGGGTTTTTCCCATACAATAGCCCACATGAATATCACTGCAGCTGCTGCCAACAGTATCATAAGTCCAATTGAAATAACAATTAGCTCTTCAGTGGGGTTGTGTATCGTATAAGGTGTCAAACATGCCATTTGAAGGACTAGTAACATTGCAGCCCCACATCGTAAAGGCACACAACAACAACATTTACGAAAAATCATTATTTTCAATAAATCACGACAAGACAAACTTTGTAACTTTCCTTTGAAATCCCACGGTTTGAATTTGCCGCTAATAAAAGACATTTTTTTGACTTTTCAAACTTGAACTAGGGATTTTAGTTTTTTTAATAATGCAACCACCAATTCAAAACAAAAACGCGATATCAAAAGTATTTATTCAAATAATAAATCATCAAGTACAAAAATACCACCCGAAAGACGCACACAATCTAACCTAATCAAGCTAATAAATAAAATCCTTAATTAATTCCTCTTCTTTTCATCTCTACTTTTCACCTCTCGTGCAAAATAAACCGACCTTGCATTCAAATAAATAATATAGAAGAATGAGATTATCAAAAAAATGAGACCACTCGGGACATGTGTGCTACACAACAAGTAGAAACACAGCCCCAATTCGACAATTAACACAATCGCAGTCAAATAAACAGCCAATTTGAGCGCGAAAGTTTGTTTTCGGAGTTTTTCAATTTTGTATAAAAAATGACAGAAGAGAAGTGCCCGGAAGAAAAGCATCGTTTTTTCGGCTTTTTGAAGGACGGATTGGGAGGACCTCAACCAGGCGAATAAAGCCGGAAGAATGTTGTACTGTTGTGAGCAAATAAAACTGTTGAAACGACGGATTTTCTCCAAGGAGGAGGTGCGAACAAGATGGTGGGATTTGGATGCCATCTTGCGAGGGGGCGACTGCAGCTTCGAGATGGTTTCAACTTCAGTACTTGACATTCTGAAAAAAAATCGCAATTTAAGTACTAAATAATACTATCTATTTGTTCATTAACATGACAATTTGTTCTTATCAAAAATGTCCAAGGCTAATTGGTACATAATTGACAAGGTTATTGCGTCTGTTTCTCATGTATACAGTGTGTTTAAACTTTATTTAAAAAATGAGCAAATATTTTGTATCACAGATCTGGTTAAGTCCAGTTTGAATTAAATTCGAGTTATCAGAGAACAAATAGATAAGTGTGTTGTTTACTGTCTTGCATAATTCTGATTACGTTTCGCAATTGTTGTCAATGATTTATTTTTAATTTGTTTTAATTTGCCCAATTTCAAATAAAAAGGAAACATAACGCGAAAAAAATACAGTTTTCTATAATTGAATTAACTTTTTTACCAAATCCGATCAAAATCTTACTTTTTTCCATAAATAACCACAAAATTGTTTTGTACAAAAAAATTAGATCAAGTTCATGGAAAAGGCCAAAACTTTAGTAACTTACTGTGCATAAGTGTGCCCTAAACTTTTGTAACCTACTGTACATACTGTTTTATTTTTTTTCCATAAATTCATTAGATTATGTATAAATTAAATTTTCTATTTTTATCAAAACTACTTACTCGTTGAATTTATTGCTTGTTACCAACACTTATGCAAAACTCGTTCTAAAACACACTTTTTTATTTTTCCCATAATCACACATGCGTGTTGAACAAGTTTCTTAGGGAAAAAAGTCAAGAGAGGCGTATACACCGCTCCAATTTTTTATCTCAATTGAATCGGAGGGTCATAAGTCGGAGGTTGCCAACTGTGATAAATCATTTCAAAAAAACAGAACTGAGCAAAGTATAATTAATTAAAAAAATACTCACTTGAATAATATATATATCACAAAAATCACTCAGTCTTTGTCCAAAAAAACAGTCTCAAAGTCACTTATGATTATTTCTTCTCGGAAGTCTTCTCTTCCATTATCGAGCACACAACTTGCGACCGCCAAACACCAACAAACTCGATATACAAGCACCACGTCCTTAAATAGGCAAAGCTTGTTTATATCTCCGTCTCTCTTCGAATTACAAATGTTGAAGAGAGATGGAAGAAGAAGTCACCAATTGGTGATGATTGAAATAGCAGTAGCGTCCCTCAACGTCGAGAATATTCGTCATTAACATAATCTGCCTTTTGTACGACTTCACTTTGACCCTTTTTTTTTTCAAGAAAAATTTCACTTATTTTCACAAATATTGATTAAAGGGCGGATTAGAAAGCCGTGATGGCCGTCACGTACACCCCTCAAACACATTTCTAACATTGTAAAACACATGTTTATTGCAAAAAAACGTGCAATTTCCATGTTTTTAGACATTGACGTTGTATAAAATAACAATAATCTAATCATGTTTGTACATTTCGTGGTAAAAACAAGTTTAGGTACGTGTGTTCGATTTTTTGTTCAACTAGATAAAAACAAAAATAAAGAGGTTGCTTAATAGAATTACTGCTAGAAATTGTAAAAATTTTACGACCACATCGTAAAAATTGAAAAAAAAAGGAAAATTGTTAAACATTGTGTTTATTTGATTGTTATGGCAATAAAAACTAAATTTTTCAATAAAAAAAGACAGTCGGTAGTATGGATAGTGTTCAAAATTGTTAGGTTAGTGATATTTGATTTTATGAACTATTTGGAACTACATTTTTGAACAATAATTAACACTGATGGTTCAGAAAAAATATTGTTTTTCAAATATATCTAATAAACTAATTTCGTAGCAATAACCGAATTATTAATTAAATTAAATTAAAAAAAAACATTAATTGTCATTTTTTGCTACTGTTGAATGGTTTTGAATAAAAAATCCGTAAATTTTACGACCGCATCGTAAAAATTTAAAAAAAATTGTTAAACATTATTGTTTTGTCAATAAAAACTAAATTCTTCTAAAAGAAAAGACAGTCGGTAGTATGGATAGTGTTGTCCAAAATTGTTTTTAGACAATATTGTCCCAAAAAGTTAGGGAAATTTGATTTTACGAAAGTTATGTTTTTGAACAATAATTAACACTGATGGTTCAGAAAAATCCCTGTTTTCCAAATGTATCTAATAATAAACTAATTTCGTAGCAATAACAGAATTATTAATTAAATTAAATTAAACAAAAACATTAATTAAGTGTCATTTTTTGTTACTGTTGAATGTTTTTGAATAAAAAACGACCGCATCGTAAGAATTTTAGAAAAATTGTTAAACATTATTATTTTGGCAATAAAAACTAAATTTTTCAATAAAAAAAGACAGTCGGTGATGTGGATAGTGTTGTCCAAAATAGTTTTTGGACAATATTGCACAAAAAAATTAGGGAAATTTGATTTTACGAACCATTTGGAACTACATTACTGTGATGTTTTTGAACAATAATTAACACTGATGGTTCCGAAAAATTCCTGTTTTTCAAATATATCTAATAATAGACAAATTTCGTAGCAATAACAGAATTATTAATTAAGTTAAAGTAAACAAAAACATTAATTAAGTGTCATTTTTTGCTACTGTTGAATGTTTTTGAATAAAAAATCCGTCTCGTCTCTATTTTTATAATCCAAATAAATTATATAACGCGCCTTTTACTCCCATTATCAGTCATCTTCCTTATGCAGTCTTATCAAAGGTCAGATTAACTTTCTCAATTCGAGCAAAGAGACAGTCAATTAAAAAATCCAATTATTTTCTGGTACACTAAAATCGTAGAACAATAGAAGAACGATAATTAATAAGCAAGTGAAAAAAGCGTGTAATTAATACTTGTCTCTTCTCTTTCTCACACCTTTAAAATCAGGCCAACTGACCCGAAATATTCGTTATCAGTATTGTTATCATAATGCGCACGACCACTCATCGGTCACGTTCCTAACTATTAACCAATTTCCAATAAATTGAATCATTCTAAAATCCTGTTTTTTCAGCCACGAAAATACTGGCTTTTAATGATTCTCTTATCGTGATTGTTGTGTCCCCCCACAATGACATCCGGATTAAAGGTCTTTATGGGCGTTTCATGCGATAATAAATCATTCACAAAGCGCGTGAATTATGAAAATTATTTATTAATATGACAAATTATTGGCCCGGCCCTGACAATGACTTATCCATAAACTTCTTTTTAGCAAAACACAGCCACCATTTGCTGGGCTTTCCATCGTCCCCAAACACTCTATCCACGACCCTTAACCCCACTTCCTGTCTCAATTGGGTCAAATAAGCCCTTAGAAACTCGGCGTCTGAAGGTGACTTGGCTCTACTATACACCGAATTTAGGGGAAAACCCGGATCACCAGGGATATCAAAACGGGAAATTGCCAAAGTGTACATCTCATTCTGGGCTTGGTTACGGTTTGCACACCTTTGTAGTTTTTTCAGACACTCGGTAATATACAGGGTGATATAAATCAACAAACGATCGGCCTCTGACTAAAAAAGGGGGCGTTTCATTACAGCGAGACACTGGGTGGGGCTCACCTTGATTTCATAAGTGCGAAAAAAAACATTAGCTTTGAAATAATAAAGGGACTCGTCTATGATATCCTGATCGGTTGATTGGCCACTAAAAGGGGGTGCAGGCCCCCGAAATTGTGTTTTGAACGGTAAAATAGCAGTATTACCGACTGATTGTTGGTGCTCCAAAAAAGCCGAATGGTAAGCCTAAAACCACACAAAAACACTTTAAAAGACACACAAGGGGGCTAGCAAAAACACACCGGCATTTTAAACTGAAATTTCACGATTTTTTCAACCAAACCTCCCCAATTACTCACGTCGGTAATGCAGATTCCTGTTAAAATGTCAACAAAAATTAGCATTATTTGTAGGGTTCCAGCTCCACAACCCCCAAAAGTCACCTCCCAGAAACTACACTAAATCAAAAAATTTATTTTAACACATTTTTTATCAAAAATTTACACTTTTGGGTGCCATAACCCCACTTAATCACGTGTGGCAACACTGGTCACTAGTCACATAACCCAACTTTTTACGTTAGTTTTTTTTCTTAAAAATGCGTTACGCTCAGCTTGTTGTGGGGCCTGCGGGTAGTGGCAAGGTAATTATCACTGTTTTTATTAATTTTTGGCCACTAAAAGTGTTTTTAGTCGACTTATTGTTCGGCTTTGGTGCAACACGCAATCGACGCAAAAAGAACAATAGAAGTGGTAAATTTGGATCCAGCGGCTGAATATTTCGACTATGAGCCACGTGCCGACATTCGAGAGTTGATCCACGTGCAAGACACCATGGAAGATGAAGAATTACATTTTGGTCCGAATGGGGGGCTCATTTTTTGCATTGAATACCTTCTAGAGAATTCTGATTGGTTGCGAGACAAGTTGGGGGAGGAAGAGGACGATTATATTCTATTTGATTGTCCAGGACAAATCGAATTATACACACACTTAACCGCTATGAAAAAACTAGTGAAATTGTTACAAGACTGGAATTTTAATATTTGTAGTGTTTTTTTGGTCGATGTTCAGTTTATGACAGATGGGGCGAAATTCCTGTCGGGGACAATGGCCACGTTGAGTGTCATGGTGAATTTAGAACTGCCACATGTGAATCTTTTATCAAAAATGGATTTATTGAGCAAGGGGGCACGTAAACGTCTTGATAGATTTCTTGAGCCTGACGCTCATGCCATTCTAGGGGACATTGAACTAAATGGAATGAATGCCTTCAATGAAAAGCATAAAAAATTGTCAGAAGCCATAGGGGAATTAATCGAGAATTATTCCCTAGTCCGGTTTTTGCCCCTAAATTTGAAAAACCAGGAAAGTATTAGTGATATTTTGACAACGATTGATAACGTCATACAGTATGGAGAGGATCAGGATGTTCGGACACGTGATTTCGAGGAGGAACCAAACGAGGACGAATAATAAAACCACGATGAGAATTTATTCCAATACTTTTTTTTATATAAAACAATAACACAAAATACTAAACTAAACCTACTTTCCTATCGGTTTTTATCCTCTTAAAGCAATCAATGATAAAAAGGTACACATGGATGAGACTTAAAATTAAAAAAATCACAAATATTTACAAATCGCCGAATTGCACAAAAAGTAGGAAAAGTGAAGTTAAGTCATGTAAGTAGGAGTTATCACAGAAAAAGAATTTGTTCTTTCATTTCCCCAAAAACAAAAAAAAATACTGACTTATTACGTGACGACAATTTCGAACGAAAATTCAAAATGAGTTAGAGAGAGAGGAGGAGATCGAAATTGCCCTTGAAATTATTCCTAACGATTGATAATATCATTTGTCTGAAATTGACGATATAGCTATACATTTTGTTCCTTAACATGTACTGAAAATTCGTTTAATTTGTTCATTAAATGCACAGGCATCCACTCACTATGTTAGTAACACTTTTTTTTTTAAACCTACTAATTAAGTTTAACAAAAACAGTCTATCACACATCTTGCAGATGCTTTGAAACGGTCAGAGATTTGAACGGTTCGGACCACATTCGTCTCAAATCGCCCTGAAAACACAAAGATTTCAACACTCAACCTTGAGATTATTTAAAAAAATGGAAACAAAATCGTATTGACCTTACAATCGCAGCAAGCCTTGTAATTTGTGTCAATGGCCACATTTTTATACTAAAATATACAAAAATGCGCCAAATATCTTGCAAAACATTTTTATTAATAAAAATTTTTAAATTTCCCGGCGCATCCACCATTTTTGCATTGTTGCCAACCCCCCCCCATTTTCAGTGTTTTACACTTGTTAAACCCAATTGCGACTACAACTTTCGGATTAAATAATTTAAAACAGATTGACACTAGTTTAGCTCACAATTTACGAATTTTAATTGAGAAAATTCAATTTCCTGGCGCATCCACCATTTTAGTGACTTTCATGTTCCCAACTTAACTCCGGCGTCACCGCCGCCATGTTTAAAATGAATTAGATGGGGGCACCTACCTTCAGATACGCCATGGTGAGAAGAGGCAATAAAGTGAAGGGAACTAAATACAACAAGGCCGGTTGCGCCGCCTTGAACACCTCCGAGCTGACAGTCGCGGTCAACAACCCCAAAAAGTACCCCAGAAGCGAACAATGGAAATACGTCAATCGCGACCCCGTCAATCCTTGACTCTTCTTATAAGCATCATATCGTAACACAAAACACAACAACAAACCCGGCATCACGATATCACCTAAACCTGAAACTCGGAACTATCAACACACCAATCTTGCCAACTGTTGTAGTACCAACCTAACATACTGAAATGCCCCGTATTGTGGATACTGGGGAATACGAGTTTGCCCGGTAGACTTAATTTGGGGGCTTCTTTGGCAACGCCCCCGATGTGTAATTTTCGTGCGACGAGACCTACAGGGTTTTCAGCTGGACGTGTGGCCACTTTGACCATCACATTCGTACTGAAAATGTATGAGGAGAAGAACACCCAGAAGACGTCGTAGATGAGAAGTCCAGTGAGGAGAAGAGTGGAGACTTTGAGACTCGGGAGTCGAACAAATGCGATGAAGGCTACACACAGCCCCATTCCCATGGCGTCCATTAATAACCAATGCCCTGGGATAAATACGAAATGTCAAAAATCGTAGCTAACTTCACTCACCAGTGAGCACCCAGATGCAAACAATGAAGACAGAAAGTGAAAATGAGAGGAGTTCCGCCGCTGTGAACCTCCCACACATCCCAAACGAGATTTTATTACCATCAGAACAGGGCCGTATGATATATTGACACATTGGTAATAGTAGAAACGCAAGTGCGACAGTTGCAATAACTGAAATTAAAAAATGAGCCAACTTCACACTTCATTACTACCAACTTACTTGCTGTACAAATGGCAAAAAGCATTTGCATTGAATCAAAAAAGAAAAACATAACAAGAAGTGAGATACTGGCCCCCAGAGGCAAACACAGCGCTTGCATTGTATCCAAAGTCTGAACATTGTTCTCAGTCTGGGCCTGTTGGGCCGGATTTAGGAGACAATTCCCACTAGGCCCCCCATTGGCCCTATCTCGAGCCTCTTGCTCCATGTTGAGACTCCTAAACGAACCATAAACAATCAACAGCATTGAGATAAGAAACGTGGACACCCGACTCGAGTCCATTATCGAATAGGCCCATTGGTACTCGATGGTTTGGCCCGGTTGATCCGCCATTTCTGCAAAACCCTTTTTTCATACAAAGGTAAGTGACCGAAAACAACACCCACCTTGAAACTAATGCACCAAATGCATCAAACATCACTTTCGCCGCCCCAGAGACATGAAAGCCCCCTTATGAACACAATTATTTACACGAAAAACGCACATCCGAAACGGTTAGGTGCATCTGGGCGCCATGTTGATTTTCACATTTCACTTTTATTTCACTTTCTAATAAGGGGGGACGTTACGCAAGCGACATGGGGGCGGCCTCCAAGCCTTCATAACACACTATTTATACAGATTCAAGTATCACACTAAAAAACACAGAAAATAGAGGGGAAAGTTACGATAGGCAACCAGTTATACACCAGGGAGAGTGGGTCAAATGGGACTACTTTTTATCACGATTTCATCAGTCAAAAAAACGCATCTATTGTTGTTTCATTTTCACTTAATTAACTAACTTTCATTTTTTTTTATTATAAATAAATAGAAAATAAAATCCTCAATCCTCCTCACTGCTCCTCGATTTTTCCTCATCCTCCACCAACAAGGCCAATTTTTTAATTGCAGTTTTTGTCCGTTCTGTTAAAAAATTGTCAACTTGTCCTAAAATATTCACAAGTTGGATCATGCGTTCAAAATTGCGATTTATAGTCTCCGCATTTTGCATTTCTTCTTCCTTGGCTTTAATCTGGCGATGAAGATTGTTTATCAAATGTTGGGCATTTATTTTTGCTTTAATTTGATTGGCGGTGGGACCAATTGAGGCATTTATGACCGCAATTATTGTTATCTACAAAAAAAATTTTGAGTAAATTAAATAGTTTTATCGAAATTTTCACCAGGAAAAACACTACACGAAGTTTGCTGTACATTTTTAACAATTTGACTAATCAGAGAACAATGCAATTAGAGAATAAAAACGCTTAATTGGGTCGTGTTTTTGCTTAGCTAGTAAATATCTGCTTGTGCAATAATTAAAGTAATAATTGGCGGAAAAAGAAAATGTTGAAAATTTTCATTGAGTTTTGCGTCAAATGTTTGCTTTTTGTACAAACTTTGTAACTAATTAATTGTTAAAAATAAATATTAATTGACATAAACCGAATTCCAAACCCCAAAACTTATGCAACTGCAAATACACGCATGTGTGTATGTATGCCAACATTTTGCAAACAATTTTTTATTTTCAAACTCGACCCAATAACGTTTTATGCACTTTTTTGAGTCTTTAGGACCCCCAATATTAAAAAAAATATTTTTTTACAATCGCATGTTTGCCCTAATTTCAAAATTTGACCAAATCTTGTCCGGAAATGGCGATAAAATTCAACAAACCTTTCATTTCCCCTTACAAATTGCGATAAACCAAAAACTACTTCAACCCACCATCAAATCGCCCAAAACCCCTCAATTAAATAATTATTTAAATCCTCAAAAAGTCATAAATAATTCAAACCGTGTCCCCGATGCATTTCCTATATATAATCGTGTAGAAAAACGAATTTTGAACACAAAAATGTGGCCAGTTGTCTTATACACCTCAGTGTTGGGGCTCGCCTCCGCCTCGGACAACGAAATCGCTCCAAACCCCGTCGATTTATCTTATCTCGGTGCATCAATATTCGGTGAACCCCGCGAAAATAAAAACCTAGAAGGTTGGGATGAAAATCACCCGGAAAATCCCGAAGAATTGGGCGAGTACGCCGAAGGCGACATCCTATTTCCCGAGAATGCCCGAAATGGACTTGTTTCCAAGACAACAAGATGGAAAGACGGGGTAGTCCCCTACGAGATTTCCCCTTTTTACCCACCTAAAGACGTACAAATGATCAAGCGTGCGATGGAAATCTATCACAAATACACTTGCATCAAGTGAGCCATGATTGACTTAAGCTACGACGTGACTTTAATTTTGCAGGTTTCGGCCGAAAACGGCCTCCGACAAGGATTATATTTCTATAGTCAATGGGAATACAGGGTGTTGGTCAAGTGTGGGGCGGATTACCGGACGTCAAGAAGTCAACCTACAAAACCCCTATTGCACAAGCAAAGTGGGGACCCCCATGCACGAATTAATGCACGCTTTAGGGTTCGTCCATGAGCAAAATCGATGGGAAAGAGACGATTTTGTGACAATTGCGTGGCAAAATATCAAAAATGGACACGAGGGGAATTTCAAAAAAGCCGATCGGGGAAGTACAGACGGTTTTGGGGTTGTGTATGACTACAGGTCGGTTATGCATTACTCACCGAGTGCGTTTTCTACCAATGGTAAACCCACAATTGTGCCTAAGGTAATTGGAGGTTTGGACCAATCACAAGGTGACATTTGGCGTTGCAGGATTCGAGCAAGAATGTGAAAATGGGGCAAAGGGAGGGATTCAGTCGGGGGGACATTATCAAGATTAATACGATGTATGGGTGTCCCAATAAGCCTCCAGGGGGGGATGTGGTGGGCGGCGAGGTCAGCGGCGGCGGCAACGGGGGCGGCCTCTTGTCCTTCTTGTTCCAAATTGTTAATTAAATGAGAATAAAATGCTTAAAATTCAAATTTTTCATTATTGGAGTCGCCATTTTGTCTCAAAATTTATGATTTAAATTGGCAATATAACATTGTTGCCAACGTAATTTCAAAGTCACAGCCAACTTTTTTGCGATCCAGTGTTTCATTATCACTCGAAATTAATAATCTCTTATCACACGCCCAGTCATTTGCGACTCTTCCTCTCGTCAACATGTCCCCAATTTTCCTAATTTTCATTATTATTCCGGTGATTTTCTCCCGGAGTTTCACTCACGATGAACTCGATACCGACTTGAGTTTCATTAAGACGTGTAACCGAACCTCCCCTATCAGTATGAGTAAGTGTGCAATTGTTTTCTTAACCGAATTTAACCGAACCGATTTAGGAACAATGAATGAGGTTTTAATCAACAAGAAATTGGGTTATGGTGAGTCTAGTGCTTTCAAATGTTTCCTCCACTGTCTTTTTATGAAATACGGATGGATGGACAGTGACGGGGGGTTCCTCCTCCACGATATAAAACAGACTTTGGAGGAGTCTGATGTGGAGATTGCCAGTTTGGAGTTTATTTTGTACAAATGTACAGCCACCGAGTCGAATAATCGATGCGAAAGGGCTTTTGTTTTCACTCAGTGTTTTTGGGACAAAATGGCTGAACAACAGCCATCTGAAGACCAGTTTTTCTACAACATTGAAGATAAGAAATGACTATCACTACCTACATTCGACAGGAAGTTCCAGAGGTGAACGAACTGATTACAACTTGGTTAGTTATTATATTAATTAAAAATAACAAATAAAATTTTTATAATTTAACAATTACACCAATACTATTTATTTAAAATACGGAATATTAATTCCAGAATTATTGTGTTTTCGTCACAATCACTAGTCGCATGTTTGTGGAGCACAGGAACCAATTCATTATCCAAACTTTCCATGTAAATCGGTGGCAACTTTACACCATTGCTCCCAGCACAGTACGCCACCTACCAAAACCAAAAATCACCAACTGAATTAGTAAAAATCACCAAACTTACAAAAAGTGCATTAAGATTAGCCCTAATCCCAATTTTGTGAAAATTATTACTTATCAATAAGTCTAAATACTTGACAAGGGCTGTACAAGTCGCTTTTGCGATTGTCTCTGATACTTTGGAAATGTCAATTGGGTCCTGATTACGGCTAGCTTCACTCTCATTCTGTACAATAAAAACCTCAGTCCAACGAATAAATCGATTACCATTGACATAATCCTTCCCGTTATGGACTCGAATCGAGGGAATCCCCTCCATCGATTTATTATCAATTGGTGAAGAAACCCTAGAAAATCACTAAAACGGTGCCAACCTACTAGAGATAATTACCCGACGTTGAAATTCGTATCAGGCTCCCCCCATACAATATTAACCGTTTCATCGGACACAGCATTAATACAACCACATTGTACAGTGTGATTTTTCATATTGCGTAAACTTTCCCGAATTTGAGTCATATGATCCGAGGGGATTTGAATCATTAAACCATCTTCGACAATCGAAGACTTTGCAGTTAAACCACTCGACGATTTAAGAGCACCGTTAAAAACAATAAAACTTGCCCCAGTTACTACAAACTAATCAAAAAAAAAACCAAATTTGTGTAATATTTTTACCTTTTCGTGGTTTATTGTGAATATTAATCGCATGTGTACTGTAAGTATTTTCATTACTTTGCGTGTCTTGAATGCAGACTAAATGCGAATCGGCTAAAAGACTAAAATTTCCAGCAAATGCCAAAATGTGGTCACTGGAATTGTTCATCGATTTCATCACCTGAAACAAAGTTTTAGTGCGTTTCATGGGATTAGAGTGGTACTACTTGATCGTAGCGGTTCGAGGGGATTGTCACAGTGGTGTTTTTGTCCTCCATGTGGATGGTAAGGCCCCGAATTTGGGGTAAAGTGTACGAAAAGTTGCGAAAATCAGCAAGTAAATTAATAATCGTGTGTCCAATTTCAACAAACACGCTATCTCGATACCGATTCGAGATAATCGGACTGGGATAATAGCGATATTCAGCCCCCAGTCTCAAAACAAGTCGCAAAGGGAACAATTTCGCCCATGGAGTCTCCCATCTAGGAAAAAAAAATCACTAAAAAATCGTAACTCAAGTAAATACCACCTATGTATCAAAAGTCCGATTAAAAACGGTTTTTGAGGCTTTATTACGTTGCATAAACATTGAAATGTTGGTCTTATATACACGAAACCGGCGTGATTTTTCGAACCCAAAAAATTCGTTGTGGTGTGTAATGACAATCCCATTTCTTTTACAGATGTGCCTTTAACCGCATCCAAATAAATATTATTCAAATGAAAGAAAACATCTTTAGGGACAGTTTTTTCATCGTCGAGTAATTCGAGAAGGATCACAACTTCGTCCTGACCGACATTTATTAAGCCTTCAGTTGAGAAACACCACGCTGTCTTGTTTATACAACAATCCACTTCAAGAAAAAATGTTATTACCAAAAAAAAATCAATTAAAATACTAACTATTAATTATTTTGACGTGAACTAAGAGATTAGTTTGAAGGGAAAAAATCAAAGTTTCATTTTTCAACATTTCCACCACGTTTGGGCCATTACTGCACTCCAAATACGATAAATCTGTAATTTTTTTATTAATTTTTCACTCAATTTGAAAGTAATTTTTCTATTTACCTGATTTATTTATAGTGACAGTTGGGGGTAAATCATCCCCTTTGGGTATAAAACTGTTAGTTTCCGGATCAACAACTGGAAAATTCTTCTCATCCCCACCCTTCACCCTACTGTAATTAAAATCATTATCTAAATTAGTCAAATCACTCCCAGGTCTGATTCCATCACAAAACATAACACTTTTATTACTCCTTTTACTTGACCCTTTCCTCTTAAGCACCCCCACAGGTACCATAACAGCCGGTGGGGCCACATTTCCTGCTACTTGTTGATGTGGGGGCACCGTCGAGCAATACTCAAGTGGATTATTCGGATTCGGTTGTGATCTAGGGGAATTCGATTCGCTATCTGAACTATTGGTCACACTGCTCTTTTCTAATACTTCGTGACATTTCGTACAAACTCGTGCAATATCGTCGAGATACTCAAGTCGGTATTTTAGATTACAACATTTCGAACATAAAACTTGACCGCAAGCACGACAATGATGTCGACGTTTAATTACAGTAAATTTTGTGTCGCAATGTTGGCAATTGGTTGCTTCCGAATCGGGGATCCACACAGGGGCTTGTTTACCCAATTGGGGGTCATCTGTGGCCTCGTTTGGGGGGGCGGCTTCACGTATTGGTTCCTCCACTGTGTCGGTAGATGGCGTACACGATGAATTAGTCTCAGTGGAAATGTCAGAGAATGTAGGGGAAGCGGAAGTGGAACACTCAGTATCGCTATTTTGCTTCTCCTGAGGCAACTCCTTATTGACATAAACGTTATTATAGGGCGTTGAACCCGGTTCACCTAAAATGTTACTAAATCTAGGGGAATTTGACGCGTTTAAGGTACCAACCTACGAGGTCTATGACAGGTTTCTCGTCCTCTTGATTGGACAATGGGAGATTATTAGGCCTCACACTTGACGGTTCTTCTTCTTCTTCAGTTTTTGGTGTTTCTTCATATTCTTTCTCTAATTCGTCCAAATAACGGTTCAATTCGGACTCATCTAAATTGATATCTTCATCAAAGCCAACTTTAATTACACTCTTTTCTTCACATTTAACACTTTCAAGGTCACTACTTGGTTTTTCATCAGTCTTTTGATTAATTGACACGTTTGTTTCAACTACACTGACTTGATTTTCTTCAATTATAGGTGAATCACGTGACTCATCACAAATGTCATTTTCAATTGTTTCATCAGATCCTTCTTGTTCACTTACTGTTTCTTCGTTTTTTTCCTCAATTGAGATTATTTCAGTGTTTTCTTCCTCAACTAAGTGATTAATTTCAGTGTTTTCTTCTTGATTTTGGTCACTTTCACTAGTGACTTTTTCTTCGGTTATATTATTGTCGGTGATTTCAGGGCTGGAATTTTCGCCAGTTTCAGGCAAAATCGGTTTAATTTCACATTTGGGCGAAATATCAGTATTTAAATACTCGTTTAAACTGTGAAAAACGTTATTAATTGAATGTTTGACATTGGAATTTTTGAAATTGTTGAAATTTTGCTTGTGATTTGAACTATGTTGATCGGTTAATTCGCTATATTCGAAATCGTTTAAAACCTGATCTAAATCCACGGTGTATTTATCCATCTGAAAAATTCGGGTTAAATTTCAAGTCACACAAACCGGTCAAACTTCACCTCCGGTAATTAAATAAGTCAGAAATTTCATTGCACCATTTGAAATGATATAAATATAAACAAAAAACCCACTTTTTGGCTTTTATAACCACACAAAAACCATTTCAATCAGCTGATTTAAATGACATTTGATACAGTTGGTAATGAAAAAAACCCCAATTGGGTTAGTAGTAGAAAACTAGAATTTAAAATGGCTGAAGAAAATGACAGTTATCCTCTCCATCAAGCTGTTTTTAATAATGATTTGAAATCCTTATCCCGATTATTGCGCAAACACGATGTGGGAGCTAAAGACAAGCACGGTGAGTGGTCCAATCACACCCAAATCCCGATTTTACCCCAGCTTTAGTGGCAATTAACATCGAAGCGGGAAAAGTGAGGTTATATCAAAAAAATTTCTGGTAAATAGGGGGCACAAAATGACCGATTTGCTCTGTTACAGGCAACACCGCCTTGCATTTGGCCGTGATGTTGGGCCGCAAAGGTAATCCGATCACTTTCAACGTTTCACAATTTTTATCTTATCTTTCAGAATGCGTGCAATTGTTGTTGAAACACGACGCTCCTGTTAAGGTCAAGAATGGGTTAGGGTGGACGGTGTTGGCAGAAGCTGTTAGTTACGGCAACAGACCCACTAGTAAATTTCACTTTTTCCCAGTTTAATTTACCAAAAATTTGGTTTTTAGTCTCGTCACTTGTACGTAAATTTCGTCAACAGTCGAGAGAGCAGATGGAGGAAAGGCGCCCGAATTTGGTCGAAGCCTTGAATAGGATTAATGATTTTTACATGGAACTCAAATGGGACTTTCAATCCTGGGGTTGGCACCACTTAATGCACCAATTTGTTGCTAATTTCACGTTTTAGTGCCACTTGTGTCGCGTATTTTACCGTCCGATATTTGTAAAATCTACAAAAGTGGGGCTAATATCAGACTGGACACCACATTAGTCGATTTCTCTGACATGAGATGGGAACGTGGTGATATTTCATTTATTTTCAATGGTAACGCTGAACCTAATGAAAGTCTCACCGTCCTTGATAACATATTAAAAGTCTATCAAAAAGTTCGTTACGAAGAGAGCGAAATGGAGATTGAAGATGAGGTTGATTTATTAATGTCGACGGATATTTTAGCCGCTCAAGTCTCTACGAAAAGTATTTCGTTTGCGCGTGCGCAAAGTGGTTGGATTTTCAGAGAAGATAAAAAAGAATTAGTTGCGGGGCAATACGAAAGTGAATTATATACAGTTAATGGTCTCATGTTAGAGAGTCGAAAAAGAAGAGAACATTTGTCTTCTGATGATTTACAAAAAAATAAAGCCCTATTAGAAAGTTTGACTAAAGGGGGCAGTTTACAAAGTTTCGATCAAAATGGCGTTGTAAGTGGGCGGAGCAAGTTTTATTGTTTTGCAAAACAGCCTATTGTGATTGTTTTAGCCGGTTCGTCGAACTAGTTTGGTCCCGCCCCCTGAGAAAAATGTCACGTGGCAAGAATACATAAATTCAGATGTTAATTCTTATCCTCGTCTTGGCCGTGATCTAGTTTACAAAGAAACAACAAAAGCGTTCAAGGCCACCATAGCTATGGTATTGTAATTTTTGGAAAATTTCTAATATAATTATATTTTTGCAGAGTTCAGAATTTCCCCTATCAGTGGAGATGTTATTGAACGTTCTTGAGGTCATTGCTCCCTTCAAACATTTTTCCAAACTGCGTGATTTTATTACGTTTAAGCTCCCTACTGGTTTTCCTGTTAAAGTAGAGATTCCTATCTTACCGACTGTCACTGCAAAAATCACATTCCAGCAGTTTGAATTTCGGAATAATATACCGAAAGAGTTGTTTGAAACACCGAAAAACTATAAAGAGGATCCGACTAGGTGGCACCAATTGTTGTGATTGATTTGTGTTTTAATTAATTTTGTTGTAGATTTCCCGATTTATGACGTCCTGAATTATTAAATTCGTTTGAAATAACTTATACTAAAAAACCAGTGTTTCTCCTGCCGTATGACAGACGTTTTCTTGCTAAGGCGAAGTTTGTCGGTAAATTAAGAAAATCAAGGGAGCTAGCAGGGGGACAAAGCCCTACAGTGTGTGTGGAAGTACCAATGCTGTTCACACTAGGTAGCATCTACTCGACTAGTTGTCTAGTCTATCTGGAATAGATCGGGAAATAAATTTCGATTCGTTTTTTATCAAAAAGCAGGGTATTTGTTTTATTCTAGGTTTTAAAACGGAAATTTGTTGGTTTTTTTTTTATGTTAAATTGTTGTTAATTGTGTATTCATGTTGAATGTTTAGAAATTAATTGTGTTTGCTGGCACCGACATATCAGGAAGTGAAAATTTTTACTTTATTAAGTTTCAAAAACGTCAATTACAAAACAAGACTAATTTAACACAGGCTGACGTATTATATAAGCCTACTTTATTTATGCTTACTAATCATCGTCATTTATTTGTATTTATTTATATTTAATAGTAGATAATTGTTCCATTTTTCGCAATAAAATGTTTAATTTTATGGACACTTGACTATCATTTGTGCAAATTTTGACCAATACCGACGCACAATTTGTTATTTAGGAGCAATCACCCTGTATATTCAAGCAGATGGCGCCACTATCGCAACATTTGTTTACCAAATTTTTGTTGCAAAAATGTCTGAATTGGTCTCTAAATGTGTCCTCCGTGTGGAAGTGAACGATGAAAGCGCTGGTAAGTGTTAAATTTCACATAACCTCACTTAATTAGTGTTGCAGATGGAGGGGCTGAGGCTTCTAATGAAGGGGCTAAAACGGGGCGCAAATCGCGTGATATCAGTGTGGAGACGTTCCCTAGTCGGTTGGAGAGTCCTCGAGAGGATTGGGGGCTCCTTCCTGTATGTTCCCGTGAAACAACCCCCTTGACCGAACCTGAAGACGCCAAAAGCGAAATAGGGTTTTTTAGTGGTAATCCTTTTGTTGAGATTACTAAAGGAATTTTGCATTTGTATAAGGAAGAGTAAGTGTGTTTTTAACCATGTTTTTGTCCCAATTAATAGAGAGAAAATAGTGTTTTAAGTGATAGGAAGGAGGCTTTGACGCTTTGTTTGCTAGGTGTGCCAACCTCAATGACATGTCATGACTTGTTGGCTTTCACAGCCCCCTGTCATGCCGATATTGCTCATATTCGAGTCCTCAGAGACTCCCTACCTAACCAATACATGGCCCTATTAACGTAAGTGCCCCCTTGTTGGGAATCAATAATGTGGCCCCCTAGTTTTAGAACCCACGAGTCGGCTATGGAATTTTACATAACCTTCAATGGGGGCCCTTTCAACAGTCTTGAACCTGACAACATCTGTCGAATTGTTTGGGTGTCTCGTGTGGAGTGGGCCCACGATGGGGTTCCCCCGCCCGGTCATACAGAACTCCCCATTTGTCCCGTCTGTCTCGGTAAATCCCTCAACTCGAAAATCCCATTAATTCATTTGTGAAATTTAGAACGAATGGACGAATCAGTTGATGGTGTTTTGACAATTTTATGCAATCACGCATTTCATGCAAACTGTCTCGAGCAATGGAGCGATTCCACGTGTCCTGTGTGTCGCTGTGTCCAGAGCCCCGAACAGGCCGCAAGTTCCGAATGCGAGCAATGTGGAAAAGTGGCCCAATCGGCGGACGCACTTTGGATTTGTCTCATTTGCGGGCATGTGGGATGCGGCCGGTATCAAGGGGGCCACGCTGCACTCCACTATCGCGAATCGGGACATTGCTATGCCTTGCAATTGGGCTCGCATCGAGTGTGGGACTACAAAGGCGATAATTTCGTTCATAGACTTCTCCAGAATAAAGCAGATGGGAAATTGGTGCCTTCGGAGGGCCCCCCGTCGGAGGCCGAGTGCGCACAGGAAAAAGTCGACTCGGTTCAGCTCGAATTCACCTATTTATTAACATCGCAACTGGAGGAACAACGATTGTATTTCGAGGATAAATTAGCACAGTAGGATGCTTCACCGAATTGGGGTTTTTCACACTACTAATTTATTTCAGGCTTGATAGTATTTATTATGCAGAAAATCAGGAATTAAAAGCGGAAGTGCTCGAATTAACCGAGAAAAATAATAAACTCAAAGCGGAAATTGTTAATTTGAATAAAGAAAAGTTGGCATTGGAGAGAAAAGTCAATCAACAGAGTGTCAAGTGGGTACCAACCTAACCGAAGTTATGTCACTATTTAATTTTTTGTTTAGATTAAACACGACTTTAAATGATTTAAATGAGGAAAAACAACTAGGGAAAGCTTTGAGGAATAATCAACAACAGTGGCAAACTAAATTGAGTAAATTACAGGAAGAAAAGGATAATATGGAGAAAGAAATATCAGAATTGAAGGAACAAGTCCGCGACTTAATGTTTTTTATTGACGCTAAACAAGTCGGTATTTTATTTGTTAATGAATTAAATTATTTGATTAATTTCAAGGTCATTGAAAAATCTGATGATCGCGATGATATTGCTGGCGGTACAATCACAGTGGGGGCCGAGCCGGCAAAAAATAAAAAGAAAGGGAAAAAAAAGCGTTAATTAGTGAGATAAAGCAATGTAAATATTGAATTTCTCTGTAATTTAAGTGTAATAATTTATATCTGTCATTAAATATTTAGATTAGTTGGTGTTTTTGTTGTGGTGCAGTTGGTGGTTGTTTTGTTTATCAATCAGTGCGACCAACTTCGGCCAAGTCATTTATTAGTAACCTATAAAATGAGTCAGTAGTGATAAAATCGGGGTAAAAGATGGGAAACCACCACGGCCACGGCCCCCATAGCAAATCCGGGGACTCGACTCCGACTTCCAACGGTTCGCGTAAAAGCATTTCGCGGACGGTCTCAAATCACGAAATTCCAGCGGATAAACCGAGCCCCTTGTTACCCGTGGAAAAGCTAACCAAAGTGAGTTCTCCTCTAAATTACATCACTTTTTTGCTATTTCATTGGAAAAATTGCGTCGTAATAACAATTAGAGGTTATTAAATTAAAATTTGTCAAGTTGGTATTGACGTTAGGCGCCATTTTGAATTCAAATTTCAGATTTTGGCCGATAAGTCTTTCGAAGAGGAAAACATCCATGGGATTACCCTTAATGTTTTCACGGTGAGTTGTTATTTTCTATGGTGAATGATTATTTAATAAATTTCTAGAAATATTTGTTTCCCCGTTACCCCGTCTTGGCCGAGAAGCTTTTCACGTACTTACTCAAGGGGGCTAAATCCCGCAATACTTACATTGACATTCAAGGCTTCAAACACCAATGCGAAAAATACCTTTCTGTGAGTGTGCCATCAATGATAGCCCCACTTGACATCCTCAAGTTCCAGATTCTTGACGATGAGACAGTCCGCGATGTTTTCGTCCGTATGTTTGCCACACAAGTGGAAGACTCCGGTGAAATTATAACCCCCGAAGGCCTCCGTTCGCTCTTAATGTGCGCTTATCACGTCAGCATGGACCACTACTCCGAGGGGCCCCAAATGTGCCTCTCAATAAGCAAAACTTTGAAAGCTGTTGTTGATAGTTGTTTTCACACCAAGACTCAACTTTCCACCCAATTCGTGTCTCATTGGTTGGCCGCAAATTGTCCCCGATTGTTGCTCCCCCTACACAGATATTTAGTACATTCCTTGGCCACTTCGTGGCGCACTTTGGAGGATATTGCAAATGCACCAGCCGCAGGTGAGTGCCTTAATTAAAAACAGTCAAACTTAAATAAATAGAAGTGAAATCGGACGCTGCGAAAGATGAGGTTGAAGAAGGTAAAAACTATTATACGATATTTAAGTTGGTAGGCGTGGTTAGTAACAATTTATTGTTAGGTTTGGAATTGGCCACGCCTGTTTTGGAACAAGCTCCACCCTTCAGTCAAAAACACCCCCATTTGCTACATATGAGTTTGTCGTGGTTGTTGGCAGGGGCCCTCCCACCAGTCTTCTCAAGACCACAGAAAGCCCATTCCCCTAGTAACAGTGGCGTTGGTAAAAAAAAACACTTGAAATAGACCACACCTACTTTAATTTGATTTGTCAAGGTTTGGCAAGTACCGCCTTCTTAACCAAATTACTGTGCGCTGTGCCTTCCCATTGGGTCGTTTTATATGATTCTGATGATAATGGTTTGGGGGCTAACCGTTTCCTACACCATGTTATGTCATACAAGGGCCCCACTTTGTGTCTTTTGAAGGTCGAAGACGGTCAAGTTTTCTGTATTGCATCACCTAATGAATGGAAAGAATCGAATCATTATTGGGGTGGGGAGGAGTCTGCTGTTTTTCAATTGTTACCAAAGTGAGTCACGATTACCAACTTAACAAGTTTTAATTTTTCCATCATTAGGTTTGTGTTACTGGAGATGGGGTCTAAAATGTTGTATTTGAATACAACGGTTCGGGGGTACCCCTATGGGTTACGTGCTGGTAAAGACCCACGCAAACCTATAATTATAGTAGACGGTGGTTTTGAAAAGGTCAGTTGATTTGTTACAATTTTTCGTTTCTAATCTTGTCACTAGATGGAGTTTAAAAAAATCCCCTACAGTTTACTACGTATTGAAGTGTGGGGTTGTGGGGACCCTGTAAGTCGCGAACATCAATTAGAAGTGAAAAAATGGGAAGTGAAAGAAGCGGAAAGACAGAGATGTGTGAAATTGAGCGCCGCTGATTGGCTGGACCATCCAGATAGGTATTTGTTGGAGTTGGCTGGGAGACCACAATACCACCAAAACCAAACACAATAAGTATCGATTAAGTACTTAGAAGTTTGTTATAGTGATATTAAATTTAGGTTAGGGACTGTTATATTTATTCAAAAGTCTCATTCTCATTGAAAAGTATTTATATGTGCCTTGAGAACCAACCAATGCCAACGTTACAGTATTTGGCTTTTTCGATATTATTAGCTACTTAACTAAATTTAATCAAGCTACTTAATTTGTTTTTATTTTTAACAGGGTGTTGTTCATTACACAAAGTGTTCAATCAGACATATTTTTATAAAAAATGTTTGACCCATCTTGTGTTTTATTACCTTCCTGTTCCTTATAACCTTAATTTAAAAAAATACAAGCTATGTTATGCAACCAACAATACATTCCGACATCTTTTTAGGTTATGTCAAGTGTCAATTTCTTGAAAAATTTCGTATTATTTCTAATATAAAGGCTCCAAAAAACACTTAAGTGCTTTTAGTATGCCTCAATTGTTCATAATAAAGTGTGTTTTTAATTTAAAACTCACCCAAACGTTATTCAGAATTACAGGTTTCTGTAACTTATTGCTATGTGAAATTTCCCAAATTAGTAAACAGACACGTATTGCTTCACAAATTTTAACAACGTGAGTATTTTTCTATTGTAATACCCAACTTTTATGTATTTGTAGGTAATGTCGAGATCAGCGGACTGGTTTACCGGTCCGCCCCCGTGGCCTCCGACCCTAAAAACCCTCGTTTTGGCCCCAGAGAACGCCCCAAAGCCACCCCCCGACGTCTCACTCACCGAAATAATGTCAAACAGTGCGAAATTTCCCGTGAAATTTCCCGTAGAATCGGTTCGGTGCAGCCAATTGTTACAAAATAAAATCCCCCAAACAACACTTGAAGCAAATGCCAATTCGGCTTATCCAGTGCTCCACGAACACGCTCTCCATTTGTGCACAATCTTCCTCAATTATCAGAAGAAAAATGGAAATAAATTCTACAAAAAAATGTCACTACTTGAATTAATCGATCGTTTGTTGAGTAAACGTGCCGTTTCTTTTGTTGGTGCCCTTGACGCGTATTTGTTACTAGATGGCAGCAGTGGTGTGAACAAATGGGAAACAATCGGGACAAAAAAAGAGAAATTTCCACTCGTTTTGGACAATTGTTTGAGTTATGATGAAATTAGGTTGGCAGCACTGGTATCGGTGTCGTCACACACTGTCTTCCTCAATGATGGAAGTAGACAAAATGAGGGAAAGTTTGAAAATGAGCGGGAAAATATACAAGATGGCGGCGTTATTATAGGACTAGTAGGTCCAAGATTACACAAAAGAAAGGTTATGGAATGTAGGGAAATTATTAGAAGTAAGGAACAAAATATCAAGAAGTTTGGGTACGGGAAAAAGTCCCTACAAAGCGAGTTTTTGGATTTTTACGGCGACTTTAATACCACTTATAATTCGAAATTAATTGAAACAAATAAAGATCGATATGTCAAATTATTACCCGACACCTACTTTGATAAGTTGATGTACGAAAGAAGATTAATTTTATCAATTGACACTCTTTTAATTGAGGCAAACTCTCGTGCGAAAATCCTCAACAAGATGGCGTACGTCCATGTCGTGGGTTTGGGTCTGGGTGTGTGGAAAATCTACGCCCAACAAGACGAAATTTTCATCAAAACTTTCATCCGACGCTTGGAAATCCTCACTTTGGACCACATAAGTGATGTTTGTTTTTCACATATCAAATACAAAATGGCCGATGTGCCACAAAATGGCCACATAACCTTACATTTCAAAGACCGTAATCCTCATTCGAAAATCCCGGAAAAATTACTTGTCGTTTCGTATCCATGGGACGGAAACGCTTTTCCCGGAAATGAGTTTTGGTGGGGGAGTTTGTGGACGAGTGGCGACCCTGCATGTGCGTGTTCGACACAAGTGGCAGAACTGCACAATTGCTGTATTAATCCGAAAGTCACTGCTTGGAATTTAAGGGTTGCCACCTTAAACGGTTTAGTGACTTTCGACGAGTACCGAGAGAAACTCACCAAAGAAACTTGTTAATTATTAATTAAACTAAAAATATTTATTACCATTTAATTTATCAGCACGTTTTAGTGTGAAAAGATGGGTCACACTATAAACTTATTTTGATGTTTACTTTTTCAAAAAAAAGTCAAAGTGGCTTAAACACAAAAAACATTTTTTTTAATTTATTTTGTCATATTTAAAAGAAAATCAGTAAAAATAGTTAAAACGAAGCCAGAAGTCCAAAATTTTGCTACCATTACTCTAACCGGTAAATTTCAGTGTGGAACCATGGGTCACACCATGGTTCTATTTTTGACAAGTACTGAGAGAATTTCACCAAGAAAGCTTAGTACTGATAGGAGAGTACCCAAAATCCAGACAAAGAAGGCGCCTTGTAGGGAGTAAAGGGTGAAAGGTTCCCATAAATTTTTGTTTTTGTTTAACTTTAACAGTTTTGCCAACATTTCGGTGTATTCGACGTCTTGGTACCACTTCAAGGCCAACCCACTTTCCACTATTCTTAAAATGACTTGGTTGAAAATTGTCAAAAGGGCGGAACCTTTGGGTACTATATAAGATATGAAATAAGATGTCAAACATTCATTAACTATATGTAACAGTGGAGTACCATCTTTGTCTAAATAATTTGTTTTAATAAATGGTTCTATGTCTCTCTTTCTTTCTAATTTCCCAATGTTCCTTTTATACGCAACCGAATCCATAATGTGTGGTACCGATCGTACTTTTTTTCGCTTCAAATTAGCCATTACTTTGGAACCATCACTGTCAAATGAATAAAAGTTGGTAGCAATGCTTAAATCCGACTTGTCAAGATCGTCAAGTGTTTCAATTTCTTTATAATAAGTTGGCGTTGTAAATGATTTAAAAAACGAACCTTGAACTAGACTCAAAATAATAATATTGAAAATCATACAAAATAATAAAAAAAATGATTGTCCTAATGTTGGTACTATCCTTATGGGAATCCCATGAATCACTCCGAACATTTCCCAAATTGCTTGGTACTTGCGTCTGGTAAAGTACCAAATGATGGTAAAAATGACACAAGTACCGTAAATACAAACCCATGTTGTAACATTAAAACAATAAAAAACCATCAACCATTGTGGTACTTTTTGCGATTTTGGTACCAAAGCACATATCTTGTCACTGTCGAATGGTACTGTAAACTCGATGTTTGCGGTACCATAATTGGTGATGAAGCGTCCATTGGTACTGATTTGGACTTGGTTATTGGCCACTAGACCCAAACTACCTGTCACGGTACCATTCGGTAGTACCCAACCGAAATTTTCGCGTCCAATTTCCCCAAAAATTTCAAAATCAAAGTTTAAAAATTCCGCCAAAGTTGACAAAAGACAACCATCTAAACCAACCAAACTACTTGATTTGTACACCGGATTGGCTCGCAATAATTCTGGTACTTGCACCACCATGGTGGGAAATCGCACAAACATTGATATTTTCAACGGAAACTTGTTCAAATTTCTTAAGTTGGTATGTGCATGGGTGGCGATGGTACCCCAAGTACCACTTTGATGGGTGAAGGGTGAGTAAGCAAAATGGCGGCCATTGTCACAAAAACACACATCCAAAACGCCAAAATCGGCCCAAAACCGGCGAAAAATCACCTCAGAGGTACCACTGGTACTGACAAAAAAAATCTTGTATGAATGTCGGGCAAGTGGTACCACAATTTCCGGTTTGGTGTCTAGGAACAAGTCAAGAGTTGTGGCGTCACTTGTCACAATCACGTGGGTTTTGATGGTACCAAAATTGGGAGTGGTACTATCATTTAGGGTTTTTTTCTCGATTTGGACACTTGTAGTGATATAGTTGGTAATACTGTCAAGATAGTCGTACAAGGTGAGGTTTTTAGTGGTTTCCAGGAGTACCAACCGTACTGATTTGTCCGAAATTTCGTCAATTTCATCCAAACAAGTATTGTTCAACATTTGTAATAGAAATAAGAAATTTTGTTTCATTGTTAACGAGATTTTGACGTCTGATTGAATTTCAGGGATTTTCTCATTAATGTCAAAACTGTAATTTCGATGATTTATTTTTCATAATAGCAATTTTCATAACGACTTGTAAATATAATTGACACTAATTTAGGGGAATTACGCGTAAGCTAACCTCAAAATAACAATTACAGTTCCCTGTAATTAATTAATCTTGAATTGGATTATAATGATTAGAAACGAAGTCAAGGAGTTACAAATGCTGAAAATCGTCGATCTATCAATAGTGAAAAACCTCGCAGCGCTGAAATTCGGCCGATGTTTCAGTAAATCTTTCATAATTTCTTGTTTTTTTCTCAAATTGTTATCGAAAATAACACTCCAAGTCTCAATTTTGTACGCCATGTTTAAAATTCGCTCAAATTCTTTTGACACAAGATCGCACAAAAAAATCACATAGAGGAGAAGAATCTGGAAGAAAAAATAACAAAAAAAATACAAAAAGACAAACTTACCCAAAATAACAAACCGGTGGTCACAGTCGTGACAAAATTAAGCCAACTATGCCTAATATTGAAATTTTTCGAAATCGAATCTTTATGAAAAAGATCAAAATACATCAAAGTCCTCGCCACAGAGAAGAAAATTGTCACGAGAATCGTCCATCCGAAAATTTCGGTGAAAATTTTAACGGCACGATTGAGGAGAAATAAGTTAAATTTAACGGTTTTGTAATTAGAAAAATCGGTTAAAAGTCGGTTTTGATGTTTGTATTTTTGAAGCAGGATTTTCAAAATGACACTACTCGACACAGTGCAGACAAAAAGTAGATAAATTTCAAAAAATTCGATCAAATAACTCTTTACAAAATAATAACCGATTAAATTAACCCAAGTCCAGATATTTAAACTTGTGTTGACAAAAAATATAATATGGATTGCAACCACGAAATAAAACGGTGGATTTAATTCTTGAGTATCAAATTTTGACAAAATTCCAAAAAGTTTCGTCCACTTATCGCGTCTGAGACTCATCAGGATTACCAAAATGTGAAAAGTGTGGAAATAAAGTGCAACATCCATTACGATTTTTAAAACCAATTGAACGATAGTAAAACCGTTGTATGTTAACCGTTTTTGATTTAAACTGTAAATCTCATAAATTGTGTAAATAAAAAATACGATAATTGGGTAGAATTTGTGATTTTTTTGTGTCGGTGCGAGCAATTTTCCGATACACAAACACGCCTTGATGGTCTTGACATCCATTTTGAACTGAATCAATAGCAATTAAGGAGAAAAACAAGTTAATGTGTTTTTTGAATTAATTATTAGCAAATATTGAGTTGAAATGTTACAAAAAGTATAAGATATCATCACCATTTAATTTATCGGTAATTTTCAGTCTGAAAAGATGGGTCACACTATAGTCCAATTTTCATGTTCATTTTTCAAAAAAAGTCACAATGGCTTTAAGTTTCGAGACATAACGTAATTTGTGTTTATCTTTTATAAATGTAAAATTTTTATTAAATTAGACATCGTGTTTTGAACTATTTTTTTTCCAAAAAATTGAAAAAACGGCTTAAAATTTGGTCCAAAGTTTAAAATTGGGACACATTTACGTAAATCGGTAATTTTCAGTGTGGAACGATGGGTCACACTATAGACTTATTTTAATGTTTAATTTATCAAAAAATTGCCAAAACGGCCTAATTGAAAACAACGACGACATTTAGTAATCTTGTTACTCAATATTAAAATTTTTGATCTAAAAAGAAGAGTAATGATGATGACCAATCTAAGTAAAAAAAAAACGTCAAAATGGCCTAAAACTTGTTCAAAAGTCCAAAATTTGGCCACTTTTGATCTAATCAGTAAATTTCACTGTGGAAAGATGGGTCACACTATGGTTTTATTTCAAACCCTAACCTTTCAAAAAAAAAAAACAATGTGTTTATTTTAAGGTAAATTGAGTTAAAATGAGACAAAAAGTTAAAATTAGAAACAAAAACTGAAAAATCGTGTTTCTCTCAAGTGGAAAAAACCTTGCGGCGGTAATTCGGGGAAAATCTTGGACCAAGTAGAACAAAATTTTGAGTCTAGGTGTTGTCAATGAAATTTTGTATAAAACTCGTGCAATTTCTTGAATCTCATTTCGTACATTGTCACATGCGAGAATTACAGCAATGACACCGCCCTGCAAAATATAGGCGGTAGTAGAAAAAAAAATTATGCAACCCGTGACTTACCACAAACAATAAAATAATGCAAATATTGTCAACCACAACCACGAATTTCATATTTTTTAATCCATGTTTGAACGTGAGGTCAATGTAAATTAAAATCCGGAGATAACTATACATGATTATTAGTAGTATTGGCCATGAAAAAATCCGGTTAAAATCGTCGATACTGTCCCTCAAAATGAAAAATTTCGTAGCAATTGACTCAAAATTCCGACTGAGACTCTTTTTGAGTGAATTTAACCCAAAAAAAATTTTCTTGAGAAAAACAAAAATCAAAAAATTGTAGTAAATCATGGGATAAAGTTGTACAACATCGAAAATATACTGTCGTGAATACTTAACTCCAATCACTGTCAACCAAACCCAAGCAGTGAACACACTCAAAGTCCAAAAAAACAAATTTATAAACGCGAATAAAGTCACTATTGAATTATTATTATCCTCAATTTTTTTCAAATTATTCAAAAGTGAATCCCATTCCCTCCCCTTATAACACGTTACAATCACAGTTGTGTAAAAATTAAAACAGAAACAAACCACATCTAGAGCGATTTTAATCCAAAGTTTGAGCAAATTAAATTTTTGGTAAAACGGTTTTCTGTAAATGTAAGTCAAAGAAACGCTAATTGTTAAAACTGCAAAATAAATTATTGAGTAGATTTTTTGATTTAAATTTTTTGATTCGGGAATAATTGCGAGAATTTTACCAATCTTGAAAATAACGTTCAGTTTTTTCATTGTTTTCGTGGCTACTGAAATAATTAGTACCAGAACATGTTTCTCGTTGGTTAATTATAGTAATTCAAGTGTTTTTGTTTGTGCTACGAAAATCAATAAACTTGTTTTGCACCAACAATAATAAAACTGAGATTGAACAAACCATTGGTACCAAGACCTATCAATGGTACTATTAAGTGGTACTAAAGAAAGATAAATAAAGATACCTTCAATGATTTTGAGGTACTACTAGAACTACTAGTGCTATTTTTTGGTACAACCTCAAAGTAAGTTTATTGGGCTAAAAATATCTTCTAAGTACTACTAAAATTATTAATGCTACCAGTAGTACTATTTTTTGGTATACAAGTTAAGAAAAATTGTCAAGACACTACTAGAACTACTAGTTTAGGTACTAGTACTACTACAGCAATGTTATCAGGTCAGTGAATTAAAAAAGTGTTTAAAACTCGGAAATTTTTATACAGTTAAACAAATCGGTAAATTCTAGTGTGGAACAAGGGGTCACACCTTGGGTCTATTTTGATTTTTAATTGTCTAAAAAAAGTTTGACAAAACGGCCAAAAAAACTATTTTTTTATAAATATCTTATTAAATTATAAAATTTTAATCTACAATTTAGGAACTTAAAATTTTGGGATTGAACTTACAAAAAACCGGTCGCAACGGTTTAAAACCCAAACCAAAATTGAAAATTTTGCAACCTTTAAACTAATTGTTAAATTTTAGTGTGGAACGAGGGGTCACACTATACCTTTATTTAAAAAGTTAAAATGGCCTTAGAAATATTTATATTAAATAGTTTTTTCTAATATGATTTTGAAATTTTGATATAAAAATTAGGCAACGTGGCTTATTTTTAGTACAATTTGCAATTTTTTTAAAAAACGGCCTAAAATATAATTAAAAGTCTCAGATTTTGACACCATCTGACAAATCGGTAAATTTCAGTCTGAAACGAGGGGTCACACTATACCCTTATTTTAATGTTTAGTTTTCAAAAAAAGTTAAAATGGCCTTAGAAATATTTATTTTTATAAGTTTTTTTAATATGATTTTAAAATTTTGATATAAAAATTAAGCAATGTAGCTTATTTTTAGTACAATCTGCATTTTTTTTAAAAAACGGCCTAAAATATAATTAAAAGTTTAAAATTTTGACACCATCAGATTAATCGGTAAATTTTATTGTGAAACGAGGGGTCACACTTAACTCTTATTTTGATCTTTACTTTTCAAAAAAAGTGAAAATGGCCTAAAAAATAATTATTTTTAATAAACGGCTTAAAACCAAAATTGAAATTGAAAATTTTGCAACCTTTTAATCTGTAAATTTTAGTGTGGAACGAGGAGTTTCACTATAACTTTATTTTCATTTTTAGTTTTCAAAAACAGTCAAAATGACTAAAAATTATTTTTTTTTATAATTTCTTAGAATAATTTAAAAATTCTAATGTGAAAATTAAGCAACGTAGCTTATTACTAGTACAATCTGATTTTTTTTAACTTTATAAAACGGCCTAAAATTTAATTAAAAGTTTAAAATTTTGACACCATTTGACAAATCGGTAAATTTTAGTGTGGAACGAGGGGTCACACTATACCCTTATTTTAATAATTAGTTTTCAAAAAAAGTTAAATGGCCTTTGAAATATTTATTTTTATTAGTTTTTTAATATGATTTTGAAATTTTGATATAAAAATTAAGCAACGTAGCTTATTTTTAGTACAATTTGCAATTTTTCTAAAAAACGGCCTAAAATATAATTAAGTCTCAAATTTTGACACCATCTGAAAAATCGGTAAATTTCAGTCTGAAACGAGTGGTCACACTATACCCTTATTTTAATGTTTAGTTTTCAAAAAAAGTTAAAATGGCCTTAGAAATATTTATTTTTATTAGTTTTTTTTAATATGATTTTGAAATTTTGATATAAAAATTAAGCAATGTAGCTTATTTTTAGTACAATCTGCATTTTTTTTAAAACGTAAAATATAATTAAAAGTTTAAAATATTGACACCATCTGACAAATTGGTAAATTTCAGTGTGGAACGAGGGGTCACACTTAACTCTTATTTTGATGTTTAGTTTTCAAAAAAAGTCAAAATGCCCTAAATAATAATTATTTTCAATAACCGGTTTAAAACCAAAACCAAAATTGGAAATTTTGCAACCTTTTCACCAATCGGTAAATTTTAGTGTGGAACGAGGCGTTACACTATAACTTTATTTTTATTTTTAGTTTTCAAAAAAAGTCAAAATGACTAAATATTATTATTTTATAATTTTTTAAAATAATTTTAAAATTCAAATCTGAAAATTAAGCAAACTAGTACAATCTGCATTTTTTACAACTTCAAAAAACGGCTTAAAATATAATTAAAAGTTTAAAATTTTGACACCATCTGTCAAATCGGTAAATTTCAGTGTGGAACGAGGGGTCACACTTAACTCTTATTTTGATGTTTAGTTTTCAAAAAAAAAGTCAAAATGGCCTAAAAAATAATTATTTTTAAAAATAAACTAACACTACTAAAACTACTAGGTTACTAGTACTACTTTTTGGTATACAATATCAAAATATAAAAATTGGTACCACTTTGTATTTTAGTACCAACATCTAGTTTTTGGATACAGTACGTAAACTAGTACTAGTAAGTACCCGAAATTGTCCAAAGGTCACCATCAACTCGTTTTGAATTAGTGGTACCAAAATCTGAAGTGGTACCATTATCAAGGTTTCTATAAATTTCATTGACGTTTTCAAATTCTCAAAGAAAACTGTTAAAATGATAAAATATTCTAAATTTGAGTTAAAATTCAGTTCCTTTTCAAATCAGAGAGTAACAACCTTAAAATGTGTAAACAAATCTATTGATTGAAAAGTACGTTCATTTGCGTTTAATTTAAAATGCAAAATAGCTATTTTTGAAAAGTTTAGTAACAATGAACTTGAATTTAATTAAAACATTCTAATTATTCCATTGCGTTAATAATTTTTGGTAATTATTTTATAAAAAATAGTTGTAAGATTGTATTTGAAAAAAAACGGTTCAAAATCAGTCTCACGTCCTAAATTTTGGTGTTTTTGTCACATTGGTACCTCATTTCTGGTATTAATTACCCCCCAAACAACATAAAAGGAATAAATTAGCATTTCCTGTATTTATAAACCTGCGAGATTATAAAACTCCCAGACAAAATCCCTCTTCACTCACTCCTCACCAACCATGGACTCAAACAGCACAAACTTCCAATTCGGTCGTTGGTTGGCAACTCCACCACCGGGTGAAGAAGTCATCATTTCAGGTACACACTCCCTCATCCCCTCATGTCTAATCCCAATTTTCAGGAACTTCAGGCCGATTCCCAGCCTCCAACAACGTCCAAGAATTCCGCGACAATCTTTTCAGCAAAAAAGACATGATGGACGAGATTGACAAACGCTGGAAAGTCAACAATAGCGAAATCCCCTCAAAAGGGGGCCTCCTCCCTGACATCACCAAATTCGATCCGGGATTTTTCGGGATTCACTATCGCCAAGCCGAGAATATGGAACCAGCGATGAGGAACTTTCTTGAAGTAGCGCTGGAGGCAATCCTAGATTCGGGATTTCATCCCAGGGAATTGGAAGGGAGCAAAACGGGGGTTTTTGTGGGGTATTCCTGGTCGGATTTAGAAGCACCGTCTTTGAGCGAAGCTGGGAAGCCCCAGATTTTCGGAATGACAGGGTAAGTACCCAAATTTGGTACCATAATCCCAATTTTTGGTATAGTTACAGCCGGAGTTTTTTTCCTCACCGGATTAGTTACTATTTGAAACTCAAAGGGCCTTCAGTGGTGGTCGACTCGGCTTGCAGTAGCTCGTTTAATGGCCTTGAACATGCCTTCAAGGCTATAAGAACCGGGCAATGTGATAATGCCCTAGTCGGCGGTTGTAACCTAACCCTACATCCTGGTACCACTTTACAGTTTGCACGGTATGGCCTTTTGAGTAAAGACTGCATTTGCAAAGTGTTTGATCAAGATGCCAATGGCTATGTGCGCAGTGAAACAGTTGCTTGTGTTTTTTTGCAAAAGGCCAAAAATGCCCGCCGGATTTATGCCCAAGTAAGTCAAATTTTTAACATTTTTTTTTCTAAAGTAAATTATTTCACTGTTATTGAACTAATCGGTAAATTTCAGTCTGGAACGAGGGGTCACACTATAACTTTATTTTCATGATTAGTTTTCAAAAAAAAATTAAAATGGCCCAAAATTTTTTTTTTAATTTAAAAATGATTTTGATATAATAATCAAGCAACGTAGCTTGTACTAGTACAATCAGCAATTTTGTCAAAACCAGTAAAAAATATAATTCAAAATTTAAAATTTTGACACTATCTAATTAATTGGTCACACTATAACTTTATTTTAATGTTTAGTTTTCAAAAAAAATTAAATTTTGATATAAAAATTAAGCAACGTGGCTTGATGCTAGTACAATTAGCGATTTTTTTCAAAAAACTTAAAAAACAGTTTAAAATATAATGAAAAGTTTAAAATTTTGTCACTTTTGCTTTCAAAAAAAAATTAAATGGCTTAAAAAATTATTTTTTTAAATTTCTTTTAAATAATTTTGATATAAAAATTAAACAACGTAGCTTGTTACTAGTACAATTGGCGGCGATTTTTTCAAAAAATTTAAAAAACAGTTCAAATTACAATCAAAAATTATAAATTTTGACATTGTTGAACTAATCGGTAAATTTCAGTGTGGAACAAGGGGTCACACTATAACGTTATTTTAATGTTAAGTTTTCAAAAAAAGTCGAAAAGGCTTTAATTTTTTTTTAATTTTGTAAAATAATTTTAAATTTTTATTTGAAAATTAATCAACGTAGCTTGTTTTAGTATAATTTGCGCAATTTTTCCAAAAAACTTAAAGAAACGGTTTAAAATATAATGAAAATTTTAAAATTTTGTCACTTTTGTTTTCAAAAAAAAATTAAATGGTTTATAAAATTATTTTTTTTTAATTTCTTTTAAATAATTTTGATACAAAAATTAAGCAACGTAGTTTGTTAGTAGTACAATTAACGATTTTTTCAAAAAAAAATTAAAACAGTTTAAAATACAATCAAAAATTTTAAATTTTGACATTGTTGAACTAATCGGTAAATTTCAGTATGAAACAAGGGGTCACACTATAACGTTATTTTAACGTTAAGTTTTCAAAAAAAAATCGAAAAGGCTTTAATTTTTTTTTAATTTTGTAAAATAATTTTAAATTGTTATTTGAAAATTAATCAACGTAGCTTGTTTCAGTATAATTTGCGCAATTTTTTCAAAAAACTAAAACGATTTAAAATATAATGAAAAAAGTCTAAAATTTTGACACTATCTAACTAATCGGTAAATTTTAGTGGAACGAGAGGTCACACTATAACTTTATTTTCATGTTTAGTTTTTAAAAAAGTTAAATGGCCTTAAAAATTATTTTTTAATACATTTTTAAAATAAATTAAAATTTTGATTTAAAAATTAAGCAAATAGCTTATCACTAGTACAATCAGAAATTTTTTTAACTTAAAAAAACGTCTTAAAATATAATCAAAAGTTTAAAATTTTGCCACTATTTAAATAATCGGTAAATTTCAGTGTGAAACGAGGGGTCACACTTTAGTTTTATTTTGCAATATAATTTTTCAAAAAACAGTCAAAACGACCCAAAACAATATTTTTTGATAAATCTTTAAATAAAACAAATTTTCGATCTTTGCACGTTTTTTTTTAAATTTGCAAAATATTCAAAATTTTGTGTTCTTCAACTTTCCAAAAACCAATAATGAAAAATTTCGAAGATCGTGGGTGCAAAAATCAACGACGATGGCTTCAAGAGTGAAGGTTTATCGTTCCCATCGCACAAAATGCAAGGCCAACTTTTGAAGGAAATCTACAACGAGTGCGACATAGCACCATCCCGGATCGCATACATGGAACTGCATGGTACTGGTACCAAAGTGGGCGATGGGCAAGAACTCCAAGCCGTCGACGATGCAATAGTGAACCAAAGGGACAAAACCTTGATAATAGGTTCCGTCAAGTCGAACATTGGGCACGCGGAACCCGCCTCTGGCATGTCCTCCCTCATCAAGGTACTCATCGCGATGGAGGAGGGAAAAATCGCACCAAACATGAACCTGAACCAAATCAAGGCCGGGTTCACGTCCCTCGAGCAAGGGAAATTGAAGGTCGCGACCGAAATAACCCCTTTGGAGGATGAGGAACCCATAGTGGGGATAAGCAATTTTGGGTTCGGGGGGAATAACTGTCACGTGATTTTGAAACGAGTGTCAAAAGTGAACCACAAGGTTCGAGATGAGGTTCCAAGGTTGGTTTGTGTGAGTGGTCGGACTGTTGAAGCAGTTGAAGAGATTTTAAATGATGTTAAAAGGAGAAAATTCAACGTTGAATTTGTTGCAATGTTGCACCAACTTTTCAAAAATCAATTCACTACTCACTTGTACCGGGGGTTTACCCTTATTACCAAAAATGGTACTCTTGGTACTTCCATTAGCCAAATTGGGGTTGAACCAAGTGTTTTGGTTAATTTCGGGGAGTTCCAAAAGAGTTACAAAGGAGTTTGTCAGTACTTTATGTTGTTTCCGACATTTAGGAGTACCATGGAACGGATTAGTGACATTTTGGGGAGTGGTACCAATCTTTATGACATTATTTTGGGAGGGAGCACCAAGAATGATCTACTTGGGAGTGTTTGTACCCAAATTGGGATTATTGACACTCTAAGGGACATCCAAGTGGTACCAAAAGTCACATGGGGGAACCCCATTGGTAAACTAATCTGTGCCTATTATCACAAAGTTGTGACACTTGAAGAATTAATTGAAATGGTACTTAACATAGATTCCGAAAATCACAAATTTCAAATTTTAACTGCAAGTACCAAAATTGAAATTTTGGAAAATTTTGAAAATTGTCACCACATTTTGAATGTCAGTGATTGTGATAAGACTCTCACTCAGGGTCTTGCAACGTTTTTAAATTTCCTCGGCCGGTACCATTTTCTCAAAGTCGTAGTACCATTTTATAATTGTGTTTTTAGGTTGTACCAAAGTGGGTACGATTTGGACTTGGCTAAACTCTACACTCCTGTTACATTCCCTGTAAGTCGTGGTACTCCAATGATCTCACCTTTGGTCAAGTGGTACCATGCCAAAGTTTGGCACAGTACTGCCTTCACAGCATTTGCCAAAAAGACCGACATGAAGTACGATATTGGGTTAATGGATGAGAATAGTTACTTGGAAGGGCATGTCATCGATGGTACTACTTTTGGTACCATTTTTGAAATTTTGGTACCATTTTGAATTTTTTTCTAGGTCGTAATTTGTTCCCCGCCACTGGTTATTTGAACATAATTTGGGAGATAATCGCCAAGGAGCGGTTTGTTCAACCGATTCATTTGCCTATAGTTTTCCAAAATTGTAAATTTGTGAGAGCGACAACAATGCCAAAAACCGGTTTTGTCACATTTTCGGTCTCGATTCAACGCAAAAATGGGTTTTTTGAAATTGTCGAAAATGATAGTATTGTTATGACAGGAGAGGTTTTGGTACCGGATGATATAAAGTCGTACCAAATTGATTTACCCGAATTGGAAATTAAAAATGATCCAAAGGAGTTTTTGGACGAATTTGAAGTTTATAAAGAGTTGTATTTGAGAGGTTATAATTACAGTGGGTTGTTTAAAGGCTTAGTTAAATGTAATATTGATGGGTCAGCTGGGTTAGTACGATGGGACAATAACTGGATCAGTTTTATGGATAAAATGCTTCAAATTAAAATTTTGCAACTCGATTCAAGGCTTTTATATGTCCCGACTGGCATCAAAAAATTGTCAATTGATCCAATCAAACATCTAGAAATTGTCGAAGAAACAAGGGAAAATGTAATTCCAGTCTATTCCTACAAAAACAGTGATGTTATCAGGTCAGTAAATTAAAAAAGTGTTTAAAAGTCGAAAATTTTTACGCAGTTGAACTAATCAGTAAATTCTAGTGTGGAACAAGGGGTCACACTTTGGGTCCATTTTGATTTTTAACTGTCTCAAAAAAGTTTGACAAAACGGCATAAAAAACTATTTTTTTTATAAATATCTTACTAAATTATAAAATTTTGATCTGAAATTTAGTAACTTAAAATTTTGAAATTGAACTTACAAAAAAACAGTCAAAACGGTTTAAAACTCAAACCAAAATTGAAATTTTTGCAACCTTTAAATTAATTGGTAAATTTTAGTGTGGAACAAGGGGTCACACTATACCCTTATTTTAATGTTTAGTTTTCATAAAAAAGTTAAAATGGCCTTAGAAATATTTATTTTTAATAGTTTTTTTAATATGATTTTGAAATTTTGATATAAAAATTAAGCAACGTAGCTTATTTTTAGTAGTCTGCAATTTTTTCAAAAAACCTTAAAAAACGACCTAAAATATAATTAAAAGTCTAAAATTTTGACAC